TAGAATAGCATTAATTGCGGCCAGTGGCAGAACTGCTTTTGTTGCGTTCGAATTCGAATTTCGAGCCGGTTGCAACCGATTCGCTATTCCAGCAGAGATGGAGAGGCGTAAAAGAAGGCGTGCCTAACTAAAGAACGTAGACTCATCATGGCATTCCCCCACGCTACATGAGCCTCGCAACATGGTTTGGCCGGTCGTCTCAAGATCTCGGAACGGGGGCTCAACCGGCCAGAACCTGGAACAGGCGCGTACTCAAATCCCTAGACATTCAAACAGTCTCAGTATTGAACGAGGGGCGAGATACTGGGCATATAGTATCATTCGTGATTGGCCCAACTTACATCGTTTGCAAATTCGTGCACATATTTCTGGTAGGGTGATGTGACTGAAGAGACCGTGGGTAAATTTAAAGTAAAAGTTGCGTAAATAGAAGGACTAGGAAACATGAGGAAGAGCCTGATGGATTGGCATGTGTCTCTCCGAATAACAGTAAGGTGAGTGTGTGGAAAGCATTCTTGCCAACGTGGGAGGGATGATTCCTTGTAGGGCGCGGAATTGAGTGACCAAGCTTAGGAACGCTCGAGTCAGGAAGCCTGTCACGGAGTTCGCCAAACAACGGATGCAATCAATACATAGTAGGTTCTTCGTGGCGATAATTGATGTGATTCGTGCTGGACGAGATTGGCTATGAATCGCTGTCTTCGAAGGGTTCCTGAGCAGTTGCGTCGACTTGTACGGCAGGTCACGCTTGACGGTGGAGCTTGATGCATACAGTTAAGTTATTGAGTGTGCCTGTAGGTAAGAAAGTAGAGTGCAAGCTCCGTTTTGTCAATGGTAGTCCGGTTTGATGGAATGTGGTATCATGTAGGATGGTGTAGTGCGGTGTAGTCTGGTTCCGGTGGATGTGCAGAGTTGACCGCATTGACCATCGGCATCTATCATCTATCCGGCATACAGTTAACCTGCCCTACAAGGATTCGAGGGCACGAGCTGCAGGACGACAATCCCTCCCATGGTCGTTGATGCAGTGGCCTGCTGCTCTGCCCTGTTCTGCGCTGCTCTGCCCATCCCATGTTGGTTTTGATTCGTTGCAATTGGAGCAGGATACGTAGAAGGTGTTCGATGACCGATGGGCGACGGCACCTAGAATGCCAGACAGGCACTTCTAGCTGCCTGCAAACCCATCCTCTTTCGTATTGTAGTGAAACCTCCACAGAATTGCTGATGAAGCCGTGACGCCACCGGCAATGCGAACCCTGATTCACGTACGTGGGTAGGGATGTTGCTGCTGCTGCTTCTGTAGCAAAGAAGGCGGTCAGTAGTTGGGTCAGCACCTGGTTTTCAAGAGACCAAGACGCCATTGGGACCTTGCAACTGCAACATGTGCAAAGCATGAATGGACACAATATGTCGCCGGAAGGCCATCCAGATTAAAAACGGCCATTTTACAAGTAGAATTATGAAATAGACGGCAGGCTCCAGAGGGCAGTCTAAGTAAGGATAGGCGTTTCTTGAATGAGTGGCAGGCTGGTATCGTGTGCGACTTTGCAACCTGAGTTCGCGTCGGAACGCACAGACTTCGCCCCGGCTTCTTTTCCTGCCCTCCATAGGTGGTTATGTCAAGTCTGGAAGAAGTGGTCTGTGGGTTGAGCTGTGAGCTGCACTGCGAGTGACGAGCATGCAGACACTTGCGTCTTAAGCAGGGAAATTGCCTGTAACCCAACCAGCCGTTGAGGTGGATCGTGGAATGTGCGTAGGTATCCAGGGGCTGACTTGTAGGTATGTATGTACGGAGTACTCCTTACTATGTAATACACACGACGTTTACAGTGTGTACTTCGCAAGTGAGGAATCGAAGTACATTAGTCCCTAGGGAACAATGATAAGAAACGTACTTGTCCAGTGCATTTCGATAAGTATGCCCGGCTTCGAGTCGCCACTTTCATCAATATGCTGTTGATCAAGAGTCTACCTGAAGCTTTGTCATCTCTGGATTCCGTCGCGATTATGATTGAAGATGCCTCAACACCACAAATGATGCTACAGATGGGGGAAGGTTGTGAAGAAGGACGCGAGGGACTATCAGTCTCGGTTGCAATCAGATGTTTTCAATGTTGTATGATTTTGATGCTGTATGATACAACATCATCGTGTGCGTTGACGGGATTCGATACACTTGGTACCTTTCATCTAGTAGTTTACTGATAGGGTAATGAGTAGTTGCACTGGTGGGGTAATATGAGGCCCTAAAAGGCACGAGAAGAACCGATTGACGCAGGATGCGAGTGCATGTGTGCTTGATTGGTGAGTGTTCTGGATAGGTTCACCAGCCGGGCACGCCAGGTTGGCGGAGGACGCTACAAGGTCAGATTTCATATGTGTCAATGTCCCTGTAATTATGCTTGTGTTCCTGAATCCTTGACCCCCTTCATCCCTGTGCCCCCGTGCCCCCGTATCTGTGCCTAGCCAGAAGCGAGCACTCCCGCCCGTAAATCTGTAATGACAACAGTGTTGCGCTGCTGTTGTGGTAGTTACTCACGGGAGGACGTGTTATCGATTCGGGTCTTTCGACAGCACGGTTTCCTGTGGTTCCTTACACAGTAGAAACATGCGGAGAGCTAAACAGTCTGAACGTACAGCCCTGCTGGCACGGGGGATGGTATCGAAGGGCGGTTTGATATCGACTCATGGATTCGGGTAAGGTATGGCGACGTGTAGGTGAGTACTACCTTCAAGCATGGCGACGTAGAGACCGAAGGAAAGAAGTAGCTAATAGTTTCTTATTGGAAAGACTGCCCTGAGCATTCCGTAGCTCGGTACGGTTCATTGAAAGATGGTAGGTAAGGTAGACACGTGCTTACCTCGTAGACGATTGTCGGTAGGGAAGTAGCAGGCTACTGTAAGCGCAATTTCGTTGTGGACAGGTACAGCACGCCTCGTAGAACCTCGAAGTGCTGGTTCCTTGTAAGGATAGTAGCGTCGAAGATAGTGTCAATTGTTGGGGTCGTTAGTGGCATGGGATGGCAAACGATGGATTGATGGGATGATGGATGGTGGATGGGTGGCGGAGAGGGACGAGGCGAGGCTTCGAAACATAGTGCACCGCTCCCGACATCCGCGTCCACCTACAAGGTACAAGTAGCCGAAGCTCGGATCATCTGATGAGGCTATACCGGATATGGGGTAGTCTCTTTCTTTTTCTCTTCCCCCTCCTCCTCCTTCTCCTCAACCATCTTTCCACCTTCCCACTTCCCTCCATTCACCACCATCCCATCCTACCTAGGCATCGTATCCTAGGTAGAGTCACCCCCTCTTTCCTACTCGTACCAATTCTATTCACTCAATCATCATCAGCCATTCATTCAATCATCTATCTGTTCATGCAGTCGTCCAGTCATGCTTCATCCCTACTTCATTATTCATCTGCTTCTGATCTAGTCACCTACCACTCCGTCCATACTTACAAAGTAGACGATTAATTTAACCGTCTCAATTCATCCATTTGACGCACACACACACACACACACACACACACACTACAAGTACACACGCTAGTCATCTTCATTCGCAAGTCCCACAATGTCCGGATACATGCATGCACATACCCATTCTTTATTCCATCTTTCTCTAATTAGAAATCTGTGCCGAATTGTCGCACGCATTGACAACTTACATCGAACCTGCCTTCCGAGCTAACCAGATTTTCGCTCAATCATATACTCCGCATGTACGGTGTACTGTGTACGGAGTATACCAACTTGTACTGTATGTCCTTAGTACATACTACATACATAAGTATCATAACAGGTATACAGTGAGTCGCAGGTCTATCAAAAGGCACACGACCTCTGGCTGAGGTATCACTCAACAATACAAGTACATTGCTACATCATGCTATCAAGATGCTAATCGCACCGGCCAAAAGCTAGCCTCGTTCCTTGTCTTCTATCATTTCACCACAACGAGATACACTTCCTCTACCACTCTACATCTGCACGGCATGGAATGCATATAGAACCGAACTGTACAATATAATACTAAGTACTCCGTACATGTGTGCGACGCGATTACTGGCTCCGATCTTTCCCGTCGTGATACACGTCGTTATGGCGTTGTAGGCCTTGGCTGCTTTGAGACTGCCACGGCCTTCTCCGCATTTCCAGCGCAGTGCATGATACCATCTCATCATTCCGATCTACGTTGATGTTGAATAGATAACTTGGGTGACGATACGAATACAGCACATCACCAGTACAACTTCAAAATTCAGTCGACTTCGTTAGGGTAGGGCACGGCCACAGGGTCGTTGCCAGAAACCGCACCGGTCAGGGCCACGCCAGGGCGTGTTCGTCATTAAGGCGCTGGCAGGCGTCCGCTACTCAGGGTGCTTCGTGAGGGGACAGAGCAACCAAACCAGCCCAATTCCACGTCCAGTTCACCCATGTTCCAGCTCGTCGATCGCGTCCAGAACTTGTGGCCGGCGGTGGAAGCCAAATTCTGTTGCACTTTGCTTGAGAACGCCGGACATCCTTGGACAGAAGGATTGCAGGGGCGCTGCACCGCTAACTTGACATCAACAAGTCGCTAGCTCGAGTGGTGTGTCATGGTCACGGGCACGGTCATGGCCACTGACACAGAGTCCCAGAACCGGAGAAGACCTATCTATCTACCATACATCTGTTGCAGTAATGCTTTATCGCAGCTCTGGGACGGACCACATCACTGACTGTCTATTCACCTTTGCACGACTTTCGCCGCTCGCTTCCTCTTGCTCTTGATTATTTATGGAGTACGTTCTCCACGGGCTCCCTACGGCGTGTCTGTCCTTGTGTGTACAAGTGCAGAATAGTCAACGCGCGCCACCTTTCTTATGCATGCTAGCGATCCCAGTCTTAGCTTGCATCCTGGCACATCCCTACATACTCAGACATCCCTGTTTATACGGTTACTCCCTACATCCCTACATCTCCTACATCCTCGTCACTACAGCACTCACAGTCTCATACTGGGCTAGTGTATGCCTGTGGTTGCTGTGTGTCGCTGCATTCGCTGTCTCGCTGTTTCTTGCTGCCAATGCTTCTGCTTGCTGCTGCACCCGTTACTGCACCGCTGCACTACTGCATCATCGAACCCTACTGTGCTTTTACGAGCACTGTACTGTATGGAGTGCTCCGTTCTGTCCCCAAGCCAGTACCTCTGATACCACATCTACATACCACTCACTCAGCAGAAACACCACCCGCAAGAACTGCAGCAGCAGTGGCAGCAGTGGCAGCAGCAGCAACAGCCCTCCTGTCCCCACTGGGCCAACTGATCAACCCCTCTCGTCGCAATCTTCTTTTTGCTCCCTCCTTCCTCTCCCTCTCCCTTTCATCATCTCTCCTCCTCATCTCCCCACATTGGATCGGCCTCAACCCCTCCAACATCATCGTTTCTCTACCTGCCTCATCCCAGCTTGTCATCTTTCCCCTGCTCATCTCTGTTTGGCCTTTGCAACTGCGCCTGCAGCTTTACGCCAATTGATCACAACCTGCCTGGTCCAGCTCCATTTTCTCCGACCAGCCCATTCCTACGCCCGCACACCCGCGTCTATAGCGTCGTCTCGCGTGGTGTCAGGCGTATGCCGGTTCCCAGCTGGCCCTGATGCCAACTCTGGGTCTACTTCCCCTTGTTTATTACTACAGCCAGGAACCCGCTACTCCTCTTCCATCACCTCCCACCACCCTTGTCGGCTAAGCGATTTGCGCCTAGCTATTATCACTGACCACATATCATATCAACTCGGCCCCGTGCTGGCCTCCTTGGGTACATACCTCCATACCTACCAAAATCTACCTTTACACTTTCTACATACCGACCTACAAACTCCCAATTCCATACCTCGACATACCCGCGACGTACTTTCAACACTCACCCGCCTCTCGACTCTTCCCCTTCTCTCACGCGCCCCTCGCCCGCCAGATTTGCTCCATCAGTGTCGTGTTGCCGTGTACACTGCTCTCCGGCCGGCCGGCTCCAGCCTACACCGTCTGCAATTGACCACAGCGGATTCGCGTACGACTCGCTGTTCCCGCGCCGTTGCGACGACTCGTCTCCGTTGTTGGATCCTTGGCACTGAGCTCTGTCTCTCATGCTGCTCTGACCTGACTAATCTAGCAGCATCGTGAACCTGAAAGGTGCCTCTCGCGACCCCCGCCCGACTCTCTTTCTTCCTCACGGGTGCAAGACTCCCCACCTGCCACGGCACTCTCGCTATCGAAAGGCCTTCCCCCTCCACTCTTTCCTCGGGTTGTTCAATAATTCGTTTGGCTTGTTATTTTTCTTAAGGTATTTACTGTTCGTCTCGGTTTTCTCTATAAGCTCAACTCTACTTCTCCCGGCGCGGTTGACTAACATTCGCAGTACCCGTGGTTTTGGCGGTAACTCGTCGGTTTGCAACGCAGCATAATCCTGATAATTTCTTTCCATCTACAGCATCTTTGCATAGCTTTAGTCCCCCTTTAGGCTTCTGCAAGGCAAGCGCTATCTTTGCTGAACACCTGGATTCGCGATACATTACATCGTGTCATATGCTCTTCACTTGACACCCGAAGGCATTCAGCGATTGATTACGATTTATTCGTCCACAATCTCGACGTCATTTGCTTTTCGCCCAAATTCTCGGCACTCCAGCATTCCCCATGTTACAAGGAATCCGCCCTTCGACCTTGAGCATGCCATCTTTTGGCCACAGTCTAAGTGTCCACAAGATGGACAATTACCCCGATGTTGATCCATGGAGCTGGTCCTCTCAACAGTCGAACTCTACAAATCAGACATATAGCGGTATCTTTGATCCCGCTCTATACAACTTCGCCCATCCGCCGGCACCGGCACCGGCAGCGACATCACAGAATGTGCAACCTCGACACCATTCTATCGCAACGTCACACGTTGTTAGCGCCCCGTCAAGTGTACAATCACATACTGCAACCCCGCCACCTCCAAGGCAGCAGGTCGCCGGAACTCTAGTCAAAGCTCAGCCTGCATTCAAGCCTACTTGGCACGGATTTCTGGATACCACCAAAGACGCCATGACCATCGTTGAAGCCGCTCTTCAGGGACGACTTAGCCACATCAGCCGTCGACCACATGATAAAGAACGAGCCGAAATGCTCACTTCCGGAACTGTATTGGTTTATGAGGAGAATGCTTCAGGAATTAAGCGTTGGACTGATGCTGTTCACTGGTCTCCAAGCCGTGTCATGAATAACTGCTTGATCTATCGACAGCTTGTACGTGCACTCAAACCAGAGGAAAAAAGATCCGCACTCAACCCTTCATGTGGCACGAAGCGAAAACGCAAAGAAAGTGTCAGTCCATCAATGACCAATACGGGCGAGAATGTTGCCAACGCCGACGACGAGTATGAGCATTCGGCATTCGACCCCTTGTCTGGTGATCCTACATCTAACGACAAGGTTTACGCCAATTTCGCTCAAACTCTCACTCCAGACCAACAAAGACGGTTTTGCGGATCCCTCATTGATAGTTATGAATTCAAGGAGGGTGGCTTGATGAAGAAGACCATATCCGTAAAATACAATGGCACCCATCATCATATCATATCCTATTACAGCCTTGAGGATGTCGTTAATGGCAAGCTCAAGCGCCCTTTCCAGGATCCGAAACTGTCGAACGTCCAACCCAGACCAGAGCTCTTGACTGGATGGAAAGTCAGTCTCGAGGACGAGGAGAATAAAGAAGCGCCTTTGATGGCAGGCTACTCCCAGCATCCAGTTGTCGGCGCTGTTCCCCAGCCAGTCCCGGCCCACCACATGGTGCAGCCGCAAGCACCACTCCAGCTGCAGGTACCAACTGAGTATTGGTCAGGTACGCAGGTCCAGGATTTTGGTGCGACTCAATCTCCTCAGCATTTTGCTTCGTCGCATCATCCTACGACTGCCTATGCACAACAAGCGCCCCAGCAATCAATCCATCACGGACATGGTCAACATTACCCTGCTCAATCACCTCCGCAGCATTACACTGCTCACCAGTCGCCGACTTCCAATTATCCTTATTCTATGGCTAATCACTATACGGCGCAGCCTCGGGCAACCCAACACTACTCATCAGGACATCGTGCGAGCCCTGTGCAGGGGTACTCGCAACAACACACTGCGCCTTCATATCCTTCGGCTCAACATACGCAAACTGCGCACCATTCGCATTATCCAATTGCACAGACACCACTTTATGACTTAAATGGTCTGCCTGCACCCTCTTCACAGAGCCATACTCCCGTCGAGCAATTACCCCACAATGCCATACCGCCGCCAAACGACTTGCAGAGAAGGGCGTCTGCGCCTGTTGTGATGCGATCGTATGGCCAGACTCAGACTCAGCAGCAGTTTTCCGCCGCCCTACCACCGCAAAGTTATTATGTCCCTGATGCGAAATATCCTGCAAATCCTGGTTATGGATACTAATCAGGCATTTTTCGGATGAGAACGAACCCCTTGCTCAATAGCGCAAATTACACCCCCAAATCTCAGTACGCACAAACGGGTGTTGAGATCTTCTCTTTCTTAATGTTCAACACCGGCTCGGTACATACCATCGTCATGAGAAATGATCACGGCGGACAGATCAGGACTTGATACCCCATCTCAAAACGGCATCATGGCGAAATTTATTTCCCTTTTGTTCTTTCGACATTACTCTCTCAATGTCTTTGCATACCTGCGGCAATAATTCGCTACTTCATGATTATCCACATTGGACTCGCGGTGTTGGCGGAACCTTGTTTCAGACTTCGGTTTACATTTACAGCACAGCATATTCGTTTTCACAGCCTTCTCGCACTTTTTGTAGCTCTTTGCTGCGATTTTCATTGTCATTTGCAAACACCCTTATGAGAGGTGCATCCCATGTTGTTTCTCATTCCATTCGTTTCCACCTGGGCCAAGGCTGTCGTTCGACTTAGTGGATCTTATAGAGATCCTTGTAACCAACGACATGGCCATGTAGCATGGTAATTGTAAGTAATATTGATGGAAAGCTAATAGGCAATGTTTTATCGAGGGAGGGCGCATATGATGATAGCTAAGGATTCACGGCCAATCTATTCAACAATATTTTCAGAAGCAACGATGGTACCGTCGTTCCATAGACAACTTCCCATGCGAGACCATTGTTTTCAAAGAGGAAATTACCCGAATTGACTATTGCTTCGTACTCGTGCCAACAACAGCTACCATTAGAGTCCGCACTCATGCTAAAAGTCTAATTCGCGTATCGCGTCTCCACGGGAAGCTCAGCCGGCGGAGCGTAGCGAGTGGCATGATCTTTGCGCACGTTCGTCGTGGAGCATATGATCATTCCGCGATCTATGCTTCATGAACTGTTTTCGCTCAGAAGGCTTGTGCCGCGTGCGCGAACACGCGAATAGCGTATCAACACCATCCGCGCTTGGCATACAATACACAATATTTCATGCTCAACGCGGTGAGAGGTATGTCTATGCACTACGACACATCTACGCGATGAAAGACCCCATCGCTCTGTGGCTTCTTGGTCTAATGATATGCTCACCAAGATCGACATAGTGTGCCATCCTTTGGAACTCCCTTTGCCTGAAATGGACCAAATAGCGTTAGGGCAGAACGCCAACTTGGCGGTCCATTTTTGTTATTCTTTCAGCACGAACAAGGTAGGGAGAATCTGCCAGTTAGTTGAGGCCATTGTGATATAGGGACAGAGGACTTATTGAAGAACAGGAAACTTGTGAGCTCTGCTGATAATGGATAAACTTGGACTATATGGAGTAATAACATAATAGTTCAGGGGGTCGGCAGTGGATCGGCTAAAGTGGTGAGGCGGGAAGAGACCAAGTATCGGGTAACAAGCCTTACCATACCGAACTTCCAGATCGACAACTACGGGATACTCTGTAGATCAGTGGAACAATATTGAACGAGGTATGAGACGTCACACTAGGATGCCCTTGAAGCTTTAGATGATATGTGCAAAGAAGAGCCACATTGTGCATAAAATCGTCACCCTACCCGGGCGCAACAGGACCGGTACAACTGAGAGCGATACCGAAGCCAACTGTCGATCGGCCCAGTGATGGCCCTGGCAAAGGAACGCCATCATAAATGCAGAGCCATGCAGCAAGTGGGGAGCCTGATCACACTGGCACCGCCTTGGACCTTCACCGTAATGCCGATGCAAGAGCAACGGTCCGGCACGTCTCCCACTGTCCTACATGTGCAATTAGGGAAACGACCCAAGAATCCGAGAAAATTTCCCTCATCGCCGATGATGCTAATGGCTGTGACTGAATGTGCCGATGGGAGGCAGGGGGGAGAAATGCACACCATGGACACAAGAACACAAAAATTGACCGGGGTTTTCCGTACATGCGGGGAAAGACGCAAAAAGTGAGGGGGATGTGGCGTCCAACACTTTGAAAATCACCCCGTTCATGGGATTCTGTAAATAGCATGGTGGCCGGACCTAGCAACGAAAACAATCCGCAGAAGAGTAGATTTCCAAACCGCCGGGAAAAAGCACTCCAACATAGGTGTGGTGCAGTAGTAGAGGTAGTACAGAGTGGAACTTCACGGGATTTAGTAGATATGAAGGGATCCCTTCGGCGTGGATACTCCCTGCAACCAAATCCTTCGGCAAGAGTGAGAGCAAAGAAAAAGCAAAGAGTAGCGTCATGTATGCACGCCGTCACGGCCGTGTAATCCCTGCGGCGGATGTAAGCTCCCATGTCCCCATACATATCGTACCCTCAACACTAACAAATGAGAAAGGCAACAGCATCAGCCTTTCGAGACACAAACTCAACATAATCATGCCGTGTACGGAGTACGTCTGCTCTTCTGACTGCTGGAACCGGGTATGCGGGGAAGGAAGAGATGGTCGACTTTCCATCGTCCAAATCGATCTAGACCTCGTATCTAGCCAACAGGTTGATGCTTTTGTGTTTGTTTGCTTTTCCCCTCTCCACGTTATGTAGTCGTCTTGTACCACCACAACCACGGAGAGCACTGTCATGCACCCAACATCGCAGCGCCATGTTCCAATAGGCGCACCTTATATGTCCATTCTGTCCACTTGCATCGGTACACGAATGCGATTGATCCACATCATAATCGCCGTTTTCTCTTCCCGCGTATCGAGCTTTCCTTGCCTCTCCAGATCTCCTCCGTCCTCTGCGCCTTGATTTGTAGATCCTCGCTACATGTTTCTTCCGACATTGAGGAAGAAGCGGTCTAGAACCTAGGTAGCCATCCAAAAGGAAAAAGGCTTGATGCGCTGCACCTTGGGCCACACGGGTAGGTAGTGTAAAGTGGATCGCACCTCAGGTTTGTGCATAACGCTGGTTCTGAGCAAGCTCTGTCAAAAATACCATGTGTATTACTCCGTATACACTGTATAACTGACTTTATCTCTGGAGCATCTTTCGATGTTGCTCCTATAGAAGGACTGTTCACCTAGCCTGAATGGTGATATTTCTATCTTGTCAAAGCGTGAAACTTCCCACGCTTTCGCCTCCATTTTCTTTTTGCAAGCAGCTGTCACCGCTCTGGAAGATATAAGTCTACTGGCTACGGAGCACAGATGGCATGAAAACCACCATGTACAAGGCTGCAGTGCTGAAGTCTCTCCTCAACTAGCTCTACACCACGTTGTCCTTGTGAACCCAAGGAAGTCTTGATGTGCGTTACGTGGATATCACTTCCGTACCAACCATGGTCGTCTCCACCCATTCAGCCTCGCTTATCCAATCTTTCTCGTTTATCATTTCTTTTTCCTCTGGCGCACAGCATCTTGAACCAAGCATATGGTTGCTTTTGTCTGGCTAAAAGGCTCTTCTTTAAAGACCACTGAATCATGTTCTACTGACCATTGCCCTCGCAACCAAAGTTTATTGGCCATAATGGATAAATTCTCGGAAGATGTGATGATACCTTGAGAATACGTCACACTCTGATACCCGTCCACAAAATTCAGCCTCTCAGATCCGACGCACCCGCATCCTCTCTCTCTCTCTCTCTCATATTCCACCGCTGAAAGGGGCCCACCTCCCCGACGCGACGCAACAGCGTCGGGACGGAAATCCAAGCGATTTCGTATCGTCCCTCATCACACATACATACAAACACAAACAAGGATTACGATCCTTCAAACCATATTTCCGAACATCTGGTCCTTCATATCCCATGATCTTTTTCGCTACGGAGATATTCCAGTGGCATGGCAGTGTTGTACCGTACACACGCACGTAACGTACGCGTACATACAGTAAACGGTGGGTGCTGAATGGTGCCATCGTCATTGGACGAGGGGTTTCGGAGGGTGGTACAATGTGCTATGAGCGGTGGTACGAACATCTCCGGAAATTCTGCTCAGTCAGCATGATGGGGTATCCGGTGTAGAGGATGGTTACTCTGGCCCCAATGGCACACTTTTCACTCATTCCCTTCGGAGACGTGATAGCATCAACTCTAGACACTTTTCTCCATAACTTAAACTCGCCTCCCCTCCCCATCCCCAAGAACAACACCAAGTGAAAGAACTTCCCCAGTGGAGCATGTAGTCCCCCTCCCTCTCCTCCCTCCCTCCGCTGAATCCCCGTTCCGTCCGACGACAAAAAACCGCACATAAAGCGACGTAGCACAACATCTTCCCTTCCCTTCCCACGTACCCACACAGTCCCTCCTTCCTTCCGATCCCCGCTCCGGGCCCGCTAGCTAGCCACATGCCATGCCATGCATGCAGATAAAGCATACATGCATTTGCAGGTTGCATTGTGTACATAACATGTATGTACAGCCGCGTGCTACTGTCGTGTTCGCTTGCTCGCTTGCGTGGTTGTATGTATGTGCTTCGTACTCTTTCTTGTGTAATGTATTGTAATGTACATACTGTTGGTGTTGTACGAGGAGAAGCGAGTCAGGTTGGAGTGAGTCGTAGGGAGCATGGGAGGTCGGATAGGATGATGGCGATCTTGTGCTTTTCTTTTGTGAGCAAGGGAGTGGTAACTGGGTCTATGGTGGTGTGTTGTTGATATCGTAAGTTGCTGTGCATTGTTCTCTGGGATGGATGGGTGCGGGGTGGATGCAGTGTGCGTTTGTTGACACTTTTGAGCGAGGCTACTCCGATGTATGCAATGCCATCATTACACTCGTATTCATGCTGTATCCAATTCTTTTCACATATGATGCAAGGCGGTTGACTTATCTAATTACTATCAGTATCCACCAACTTGCATTCATGCCGTCGCCCATCAAGCGTCCCGAACTCACCACACTTCCATCACTCATCCAAACACAACAAACCACTACTCCAACAACCAACGACAACCCCCCATCGTAAACCCCAACCCGCAATGCAGAATATCGCTGCTTCAAAAACATCCGAGCATGACGCTCTAAACAGATGTTGTCCTAACAAAGCAATTCCGATCTAGGTCTAGCCGCGGTACGGGCGCGCACCCTCGACCACTCCGGCGGGACAGCACCGGTCCAAACCTTAATTGCTACTCTTCCCGCATCTGAGGGTTTCTTTCAAACTCTCTCCCGCGATTCTGCTAGTGACCTTCGGAGTAGCGCGACGCTGGGGTTAAATCGATACGTGGACTGTACTAATGCGAGGGATTTGGTGATCTATAGTAGGAGCATAGCGAAGCGACCCGCGGGTACGGACGAGCGCGATAATAATGCCGCCGAGGAAACGAAGTCGCGATGATGCGGATGGCCACACGTCGCTGGGATCGCCACCGAAGAAGCATAGGCTTCGTTCGTCGACACGTCTGCAGGAGCAGCGACAGCAGAGGGCTTCAGTTGAAGAAGATGCAAAAGCAAAGGGAGTATCCAAAGGAAAATCTACCAAGTCCGCAACGTTGAAAACAAAGAAGGCCATCGCGAAAGCACCTCCCCAGTCTACCAAAGCTTCAAGCAATGTACCTCCACCAAAGAAGAACAAGCTCACCAGCACCTCCCCATCTACTGTGGAAGTAAACGATAACGAAAACGATGCTTCAACATCAATTCACCCAGAACCACTCACAATTGAATCGCCGCTCCTAAAGTCCCCCTTACACTGCGAACTCTGGCATGGCCAACGACCTGTCACCACCACCTCAGCCTCCTCTACAAACGACAACCCCGAACCACCTCCCCTGATATTCACCCACGGCGCAGGCGGCACCCTCTCCGCTCCCGCCGTCGTATCATTCTGCAAAGCCTTCTCATCGCCCTCCCCCTCCATCTCCAACCCCATCCTCGCATTCCAAGGAACCATGAACCTACCCTCCCGCACCAAGGGCTTTCACGCATGTATCGCCCACCTCTCCCAGCCCTCCAAACCCAGCGACGACGAAGACGCAGTAAACAAGAGCAGGAATCTACTCCTCGGCGGCCGAAGCATGGGATCCCGCGCCGCGGCTATCGCAGCGACAGAGTACCTCTCCGCCTCGCCGTCGGCGTCACTCGACCTCCTGCTAGTATCGTACCCCCTCGTCGGGCCTAAACCGCCCATCCGCTCTGCACCGCTGCTCGCGCTGCCCGCTGGTGTGGCCGTGCTGTTCGTCGTCGGCGATAGGGATGGCATGTGTCCGCTCCCTGCGCTCCACACCGTGAGGAAGGAGATGAAGGCGAGGAGCTGGGTTGTTGTTGTTAGGGGCGCGGATCACGGTATGGCAGGGCGGAAGGGGGCGTTGGCTGAGGAGGGAGGGAGAGCGGCGGGGGAGTGGGTTAGGGGGCGGAGGTGGGATGAAGGGGAGGTGAGGGAGGTTGGGTGAGTGGTTCTGTCGGAGGATGATGGAGGGAAGGCCGGGTGTGCGGACGGGAGGGAGGGAGGGAGGGACATGGGGGTTATGTGCGATGTGCTGTGTTTGTTTGTGGTGGGCCAGGTGACCTGTATGGGAGTTTGGGAGTACGCGGCACGGGACGGGGTGGTCAATATGGATGTATAGTGGGTAGCAGCAGATGAGCGTTTGAAGAATTGAAGTGATTGGTAATAGGGTTTTGTGAAGGACTCCAGGAAGATTTGATCAAGAGATGGACTGGATTGCATTTGAAGCTTCGTGAGAGGCTACTGATGGGTATATGATTTTTGTAGCTGCCGGAGCAGGACACCGTGATTGCAAAATATCCAGATTCGCAAGAGAAGAAAAGAAGATATGGAAACAAAGAGAAAGGAATTGAAACGAAGAGCGCACCGCGCGATCTCGCGCAAGAAGAAAAAAGCCATTCATTCGTAAACGTCCATCCAGCCTGAAGTTCCGCCGTGCTTCAGGTCTTTTTGTCGCTCCTCGCAAATGCAGCTGAGTAGTAGAACATATAGTTACAGTTGTTACAAAAAAAACACACATGGATCTGCAGGAAGGGAAGCGACGACACTACTCGTCCCTGGCGATCACCTCGCCCTCGTCCTCATCGTCGGCAGAGAGCAGGCCGCTGATGGTCTCCACCTCGCCGGCATCCATCAGCCTCAAGACCGTCTTCAAGTCTTCAGACGCGATCTCCTCGTAGAGCGCTGTGATGCCGGCGATGCGGCAGACCCTGGCGGTGCACGCCATCAGCACCAGGCCGAGGACGGCGAAAGGGCCAACGGCCACGACCTGCGTGAAATGCCTGATTGAATTGGTTAGTAAAAAATCATACTTATTTTTTGATTAATCAACTTACAGGTACCATTGGTGAATGCACCGATCGTCCAGGAACTGCAGGCGGGCGTTCAATTTCTCCTCGACCTTCCGGTCGCTGCCCATCTCGGCGATCAGCAATCCGAGTTGCTTCCTGAACTGCTGGAGGCTCTTGAACCAATGGTTCCTGCGGTGCTGGTTGCGGTTACGCACGAACAGGAGGTGCAGGAGCTCGTAGATGTGGCCGAGCAGCTCCTTGTCTTGCGCGCTGGCGTGCATGAGGATGTAGGAGCTCATGGCTGGGTGGCCGCCAATCCCCACAGGGGTCGGATGGAGAGGATTGAGGATCGCAGGCATGTTGACCAGTCCTACAAATGCCCTCGTTCCTTCAGGTCGAAGAGAAAGAATAATTGGGGCGTGGGAATGCGCTGCGTTCAAAAGTCGGCCGTGTGTGCGGTGGTCGTGGTGATATGCAGTCGCTGAGTATCGCTCAGTATCGCCGGAAGCAGCAGCGGTGTGCGAGTACCCTCAGGAATTTACCTAAAGGGAGCGAAAATCCGGAGAACAAGGACGACGATGTGTACTTCCGTCTGTATCAGGTACGTAGCCGATATTTCTTTCTTAATTGAATATCCTGCACGATGATCCGTGACCACAGGAATTGGTGATGGTAGTAGTGGCCGCCAAGCGCGGATGCGGGAGCGCGGGAGCGAAGGTTTTTGTGACACTTGAGATGGCCCAAACCGTCACGTTTGTGGTACTTGAACGACGCTCTGGCGAGGACACAGCGACGTAGATGAATCTTGATCAAAGCGCAATGGCTGTGATGTAATGAGACTTCGTCGATGACGTTGAGATGGTGGAAGCGGTGCGCATGCTTTTGCTGGAGAACCAGGATCAGATCGGATGGGTAAAGAACGCGATGAGACGAAGTCAGGAACGTTAGAGGAGAAGAAGATTTTGACGAGGGATAAGAGGAAGAAGGAGTTAAAGTTATCGAAAGTAGGAGGAATAGGGTGTGTTGGGAGGGTGGGAGGTGGAATAGGTGATGTGTCTGTTGTTAGAATTGAGAAAAGTTGTTTGGTGTTCTTTTGAGGAAAAACGTTGCGCGGCACAGACGAAAGGCACGGTGGCCCGATATGGGATCATGAGAATCACCTCCAAACGAATCCCTAGCAGATCTCCGCCCAACTACGCTGTTTCAGGGGCCTCGTAGGATGGATCAACGGCACGGTTGTGCGGGATATACAATTTCTGTCTGGGGTAATCGAGAAAAAAATGGGTGCTGCGGTGGGCCTTGAGCTGCAGGACACTTTGTGGAGAAGCGGTGAAGTAAGTTAAAGTAGGACCAGCGTGCACCTTTCTGGTCTGTCTTGTGTCATGATAGAATTGAAACCAGTCTCGCGGTACCAGAGATGCAGGCTGGATGGAGGTTCTGATGTAAGATGCTGCCTAAGTCGTCCTGCATTGTACTCTGAGGAGAGACGAGTGGGAGACCAGAGGAGAGATGAAACCTCTCCAGGCGTTCGTACTGGAAGAAGCGGTGGTGGGATCAGCGTTGATAGTCTTCACAACGTGACACGTTGACCGGGCTTTCTATCCATAAGATGGATAATGAGGACTCAGCCCGTCCGATTATAGTTGGGCTTGGATCTGCAGGCTGTCAGATGTACGAGTGACCACGAAATACTCATACTAATACTTCATTCCCCCTTTGGAAGTCCGCGTCGCGTGCTCCCGGCCCCAGGCCATAAGGCTGTCTAAAACCAAACCACCGGGCGGGCTGCCTGTCAGCACAATTGCCGGAACAAGCCACCACACATTCAATGATGTCTACGGCCAGGACACCTTGCCACGCCTATTCTTATAAAGCGACTCGAATCATTCGATGCTCGTCTCCTCTACGATTCCTGCATCGTTCATGCAACGCGGATTGGTTAGTCGTCCATACCTCCCATGGCTTCATAGTAGGTTACTGGTATGTACATCGCGCCTGTGATCAGGTGGACTGACACCAAGCATGTAGGACAGCGAATGAATCTCGGCAACGTAGGAGTAATCTATCTGCGCGATGCCTCTCGTATCCGGGAGTCGTTTTGATTCTTGGATCGCGACCATCGACGTCCGAAGGAAACATGGATCAATCGTTGGCACTTCGCAGTACCATGTGTGTGTCACTGTATTCATATGTCAGGTAAGTTGGTTGGTGTGTACCTTGCATATGCCCCACAACTTCCCCCGCATTCCCGACTGCCAGTATCGGAAACGAATGCGTTCTTCGTCCGGGTGATCAAAATTTATAAAGCCGTATGTGCCTGCTCAATATGAACAATATGGTTTTTTGGATGTCGCATCTGGGTTTGCGCTTAGATTGGTTACTCGTCCCTACACTCCGACATCGTCTTTTTTCGGCCCATGTGAACTGCACCTCTGGCTGGCTGCCGGACGATTGAGAATAGATGATTCAGCAACTGAATAAATCATCGTTAGCTTTTGCGAATACCACCAAAATCCTCAGATTTATGCCCTAAACATGAACGTGGCAAACAACGACGAAGGATCCTGCATCTGCGGTTGTGGCTGGCGGCCCGTAAGCATGTTCCGTCCACGCTATTGCAGATGCGGCGCAGACGGCTTGCTTATTAGAAAGTTGTCATCCCCACTGAAAACTTCCGATCGTTCAGAAGGATTCAGGAGACGACGTAGCCTTATCTACATAGATGCGCTGTAATGGATGACTTAAGCGGAGGAAACAGTGCTTTCACGGGTGGGGAGACAAGCCACGTCTGTAGTGCCGAATTTCCTTTTCGAATTGTTGCGAGCGTAGAATGTAAAGAGATTCTAATGTCCAATAAAGTGCATGGCTCGACTACTTGTGCGTTTATATACTCTCCCGGATGTGCATGCCTCAAACGGCGAAATCGTTCGAAGGCTATAAGCGGGGGAGAAAGCTTGAAGGACATGTTCATCAAGATCGCCCTATGCCTGACGCGGCGCATTCGAGTGAAGCCAGAAAGAACAGCGTGTTGATGTAAGACGACCCGGCGATACCATTGTGACCCAGGCAATATTATCCAGATTTAGTTCGACGTTCGCACGTAGCGCCGCGAGACTCTACGATGTCCCGTCTACCCTCAGTATCATGCTGGAGCAACATAGTTAGCAACGCTGCAAACTCGCACAAACTCCCAAATGGAACATTGCAGTCCTGATTGAATTCAGTGACATCATATTGAGAGACAGTGGGGACGATATCCTGCTCGACCCGGTAGGCTCCAACCTGAATTCTAGCGTTTCCCGGAATATCGCGTCGTTCGACACAGAGAGTGCCGGTGAAGAACTTTCAAAGATCGAGAGCAGATACTAGGAATGTCCTTCAGAAGTGCTATTAGCCACTGCTCCCAAGTTAGCACTACACCTAGGAGTGTCAGCATCCACTCAAGTGTCGCCATGTAGAACGCCCACCTCCAGTCCATGTCTGTAATGACCCTCGAGCGTGGGAAAGTGATCCATGAACAGAGTCGTAGTAGCATCCGAGACAGACATAGAGAGATCTATCTATATCGTCTTTGAACCCCAGATTCGCCTGCGCAATCGATCGTCGAGTATTCTGCGCCGAGATGTTGTATGATCGAAGTGAAGAACCTGGCCGGTGTCAATTAGCTTCCAGCAGAAAAGTCCATAGTCGACCCACATCTTATCCACCATATCTGCGCAAACCCCTCTTGTTAAACTGGGTGTAGGCAGTCATTGTGACCTCTAAGCCAGATTGCCGGACCGGTCCAAACTCTGCGTGCTATCTTGAAGTGTCACATGCGTCACTAGCTTTCCACCGAAGAGTCTTGCAGAGCGCATCCTGGAGGTTTGCCTGGTCGCGTCTGAATCGTCCCTTAAACGTAGAGGTAGGCGTCAAGCTTTCGATAACAGTGCCGTGGTGTCTCGTGCCGGTCTCGAAAGAGCTCATACGTGCCCGACGACGCGGCGGTGTCGTCGCGATAACGTGTCATGACCGTTGCGGTAAGGCTGCGCATATGAGTCCTTTAGGTGGTCAGCGAGGTGTTTCTTTCATTAGTGTACATGCGTAAGTTGATTGCTATCGGCATACTGCTTTGCGCTGATGCCTATGGGCGCTGCTGTAGTAGCTAAAAGTTTGCCTCTCCTGCCTGCCGCACATAGGGAGGAAACCCAGACAGCAAAGATATTTGTGTCTCTCCACTAGAGTCTCAGCAGCGTCCCGTTTGTTTGGTTCTGCTGTTGATATTCTTTGCATTTGTGATAGACCCTCTCGCCGTGCCGTTGTTGACTCTGTGGGTGTGGCCGCCTGTGCGCGCGTCGTGGCTGTGAAAATGAGCGCAGAACATGCAATTGTATTAATCGTCATCCTGTGACAAGAGGTGGTCCCTAGATAAGTTTATACAACCATGCAGGCTTGCTAATGGGTGCCTGTGTGTCTGGGGCATCAGGAGGTCGCAGGGTAGGACACTGGTTGGCGCATTCGTCCGTGCCTTTCACTGGAAAATCGGACAATGCGTGACGGGCTTTGAGTATCTGAAACGAGGAGTGTAGGTATAGCGATAACTGTTTATACTTGTTAGCAGAAGTAGAAGTAGGTTGTAGGGCTGGGTGTGCATTTGTGGCTCGTGGTTTGCGAGGCGGCGCTGAGGGTGGTGGTTGATGCGCGGCGGGCTACTTGGTCAGTAAAGGCTGGGGCAAGGCGCAGAGAAAACGCAATAGGCAGACCCCCACACAAGAGGCCTTTGATGACGGTGCATGAACATGCTGTCGAGAAGCTTTCAGGACTGGCAATGTCTCCCTAAGGAGCCTGTTGTTGGAATGACAGATGCAGCAGGGTGAATGGGGGCAATCTTCTACACTGCTATATAAAATCATGGTCTACACTTGTAATACACAGAATATCAATTGGAAATACTCATGACCCTCTATACAGTATCCAGCACTATATATGTAAAGGCAGCAAGTAATTCTCACTCAGTGTGCCCCTCATGTGTAGTGAAGTGCTCCTACAGAAGTGCGCTCTACTAGCCACACTGCGCCTTTACCCTACCTCTTTTTTTACTACACCGACTTCTTTTTGGCCTATATAAACAACTAACTTACTCTTCCTTTCACCCAATGATTAGGACGTAGCGTTCATCTACGTCCTTTGAGGGCTTCCACTCTGGCAAAGTGGTCGTAATTCCAAGAACAATTTACTAACATCTGTACAGGTACCCCCTGGGCTTGGCCCAAAAACTTTACGAGTTCGACCCCCATTGGGGGCGAACAGACGGAAAACTTTTTTTTGCATTTTTTTTGCTCTTTTATTTTTTTGGCATGTGATTTGAGATTGGATGAGGAAGTGCTGTTTGGACTATGAGTCTATGATGAATTACGCTCTTGGAGCTTCTGTCTGAGATGCACAGTAATTGCAGCAATCAATTCACCAGTGCGATATCACGAAGGTTCTTCAATTTACAGGGAGGAATCAGTCAAGTCAGATAGTCAATCAGCCAGCCAGTCAATCAATCAATTCTTTTTTGTGCCCACCAATCCTCTCACAGCCCACTATCCCAAACCCAAAAGTGAAGAAACTCATATACACCCCGAAGGACCATCCAAAACCCAGAACACCAGAAGTGAAGCAATCTATAAACACCCCGAAGGGCCACCCAGCACGCACCCGGCATCTCCTTTGCACTCTCCAAAACCATGTTGCAATGCCTGTCGAATGCCTTCACGCAAGCGAGGAGGAGCTTGCTGTTGTTTCGGCATGAAATGAGGACCTAGGTTCGTGTGCGGACGGCGGTTGGAAGGATGGAGAGGGGGCCAGTGGTCAATTCATGCGCCTCGACTTGAGAAACCTCACACTCGCTGAATGCTAGACCCTGCATCATGTTTCCCATGCCTCCCAAACCTGCTAGTGCGTCAGCTACGATATCCAGCACAGGGTGTCGAGAAGTGATAGTGACTTACCTGCCACCGAAGACGGCGCAGTCTACGTCCTGCGGACGTAGGAGGGCACCACGCTCACCGTGGAGACGGATCTGGGCAGCGCGCTGCCGACGATGGGGCGAGGAGCCTGCAGCTCCTCGAGGTGGTGGAGGGCGTCGGTGGAGGAGGAGGGAGAGGAGGCGGCAGCGGCGGCAGCGGTGGTGGTGGCGGCGGGGGCGACGCGGGAGGCCGGCGGGCAGAACCAGCCGAAGTTGAGGCAGTTCATGAGCTTGGTGAACAAGCCCATGTTGGTGGAGGTGGCGGTGGTAGTGGTAGTGGTGGTGGTTGTGGTTGCAGTGGTGGTGATAGTGAGATTGTGTCTGTTGTTGCTGTTGCTGCCGCTGATGCTGTTGCTTCTTCTGCTTGGTCTTTGCAAGCGCTAGAGGATATAAAAGCTTTATACGTATGAGGCTGTAGAAATTTGAAAGGCGCTGGGAGGCTCTGGCGCTCGAAATAGAGGGGTGGTGGTGTTGCTGTTGTTGTGGTGTTGTGGTAAAGGTAACGCTGCTTGAAGTTTGCCCTTAGAGCTACTGCAAACACTGGTATTGTAGGCACATCACTGGGTACATGTGTTTTGTCTATTACACCTCAGCGTCTCTATTATAAGCGTACATCACAATGGTAAAGTGCAGTGGACTCTCTATTGCTCTGAAGGCGTGTCCTATTTGCAACTTGAGGGATGGGAGAGACTGGCCGGGCTTCATCTGCGAGGACTGAACCTTCGCTGAAGTAGTCGGACGGCCGGGGGGTGTGTTATTAGCAGTCTGTATCGTTGAGGTAAAACCCGCTGTGGACACTATAACGATAGAAGGGCACCCTATTGAGTACATCTCAGTTGTATTATTGAACACAACCTAGTCCTTTACATTCTTCTCCCTATTGTTGAATAAGATCCCCAGCCGGTCTACAACATATATCAAAGGTGCATCGGCCTAGATTATCTTTTAAGCTACCTTTCCAACAACTTCATTCCTTACTGTGAGTAAGCTATCTGCCTAATCAAGCTGAATACCTAATAAACAGAGTAGCGAGTAGTGTCAAAGTCAGTACTTGGGACAGACCTTCAGTTCAGTACTTGAATCTTGTGTGATACTGCATCTTCCAGCTACACTTCGAGGCAACATATCCTCTGAGCCCAGATTACCTACCACAGCGCCGTCAAGGTTACATCACAAACACAGCAAATGCAAGAAGACGAGAAGATGGTGGGCAAAAGCCTCTGTCAATTTTTTTCTATCTTGTTTTGTAAGACCTCTAGTCTTGAGGTGTAAAGAAGGCACATGAGCCTAGATGAGTCTTTGAAGACTGTCAAGTGTTGATGCACAACACCTCAGATCGTGTTGAAACCCCAGCCAGTGAATTTGTTCCATCTATATACGTCACCATGTCAGGCGTGAAAAGCATCATCATTGAATTGCATAAGTCGTTGCATACGTGACTCATGATCTGAAAGAAAAAGAGAAGAAAAGAAAAGAAAAGGAAGAAAGAAAGACAGAAAATCTTGGATTGTTGACAAACTACAACAAAGTAGTTGTAAAATCCGGTAAGATCGGATAATATGTTGATCGGGTAATATGCTGATTGTGTAAGTATGTAGAAGTTGCAACTGGTGATTGAAAGTCCGTGAAGGTTGGGAAAGTTGGCAAATTTGAGGAAAGGCGTCTAAGGTCGTCTAAGGTCGTGATGTCGCAGTGGAAAGAAGCGACTATTTGGGCTGGAAAGTGGGGAACGGAAGAGCACCTGGCTGGTAGGCGGTTTCAAATCTGAGGTGAGTGTTGGAATCCGAGGACAGTGATCACTCAGAGATGAGCTTGAGGAAGAGGTCCAGGAGCACTGGCCTGCTGGTGTTGGAGACGCATAGCATCGAAATGCATTTGCAAGAAGTGAACCACGATGCTCTGAGGGATCTGCAAGAAGGGAACCCTGTAGCCACCCTGAGACCGAGCATACCAGTTCTCACAGAACTGCTGGACATCCTGAGGAACAGAGTCGATGCTGATGTTCAACTCAGCGTGAGGGCCTGTGTGGTGTCCGTTTCCGTGCATGTCCGACGTGTGGTGTACACGAGGCGCAGTCTGAGTAACGCTCTTATGCTTGGGTGGGAACAAGCCATTCTGGGAAGCACTGGCGCATGAGCGTTGTAGCTTGGGGATGTTGTCTGGCTCAGGGAAAGCTTGCTCGGTGCCGACATACGAGTATGACAGACCGCACTGGACGTCGTCAAAGGTGTTGAACAGGCGCGGCTTGCAGTTGGGAGACTCTTGCATGACAGAAGAGTTTCTGAACTTGGTGACCAGAGCCTCCTTGCCTTGGATAGTGGCGTAAGAAATCTCGACGGCCTTGGTAGATCTGTAGCCGGTCCACTGCTGACCGTCGAGGGCGTTGACAAATGCCACGATACCATTCAAGTCGGAGAAGTTGATGAAGGCGTAACCGACGTTAGCCTGGGTAGTGAAGTCCATGCGAAGGTAGACGAAATCGTATGAACCGATGCAGATCGCATCCATGATCTTCTTGAGGCCCATCTAAATCTCTGTCAGTAGGATGAAACAAAATGAAGAAGAGTCGGACATACCCAATTCATCTCATTGGGGATGTTGCGCAACATGAGGGTAGAGCGAACATCAAGGCCAGCAAGAACGCGGGTCACATATACACGATTGTGCGCGTCACGAGAACGGTAGATGTACTGCTTGCCACGAAGGGGAGGGCGGATCGAGGTATCGACCTCAACACCAGAGTAGCGCTCAACGCGAACAGTCTCCCACGGATATGCACGTGCGTTCTAGAGATTGCGTCAGCCAGGTGGTTAATACTTGAGAAAGGGAGCAAAAGGGAACATACCGAATTATGTTCAGCGAGAGGGTTGCGATCCTTCAGAAGCGTGACAGCACGATTCGCGTCAAGGACAGAGAAGAACTCGACACGATAGGTGAAGGTGAAACCATTCGAGTGCTGTGACTTGCGCAACTGGCGAACAAGACGAACCTCTCCGATGTGGCTGCAAGTAGTCTTGACAATGTCTGCAAGCAAGGAATCATTGTTGAAGACTTGAACAGAACGAGTGAGCATCTTCAGGGCAATCTGGCCCTCATTGCGGTCGATGGCGAGAACATCCTGCTTGGCAGCCTGGGCGTAGACGGACTGGAGAGCATAGCGGACCTCGAATTGGAGCTGGCGCAGGTACATGTAGGCCTGTCTTGCAGCACGAGTGTCGTCGAAGTAGATCCAGACACGAGTCAGATCGTCTTTCTGCGTGAGAATGGAACCATGGTCGAACATGTCGTCCTACAGGAACGTCAGATGGATCGAAGCTGGGAGATTGGGAGACAGTAAAACTTACCTCCGTTTTCATGAGAATGACCATGTCCTTGATGAGGTGACCATACTCGTCGCCACCGGAGATCTCAAGGTAGCGGGAATGGAACACGCCTGCACGAGGGTCAAGCTCATCGAGGAAGACAGTAGGACGAATCTCCTCAACAACAGATGGGGCAGGAGGTTGAACAACATGAGGGATACCACCAGGGATAACACCAGCTAGAGGGACGCTCGCGAAAGCGCCGGGACCGCCGACAGGAGCAGCAATAGGGTACACGGGAGGAGGTACAACGGAAGGAGCTGTAGCTCCGAACAAGCCAGGTACAGTAGGGGCGTAGACCACATGAGGGGGAGGCGCTGGAGCCTGCCCAGCGTTCTGGGGAGGGAAGTAGTCATGGGAAGCCTCAGGCGAGTACGTAGTGGTAGGGTAGGTACCATCTGAGGTAGGACTGGAGGACGGACCTCCAACCACAGTGTTGATGGACTCAGGAGAGCGGTGAGACATAGTGAAGAATTGTTGAAGAGAGATATACTGGAAGGTAAAGTAAAGAGTCAAGAAAGGGTATGAGGTGTTGACCAAAGGGGAAAGAAGGGTCAAGCTCAAGTGTCAAAGGTCAAAGTCAAAGACAAGGACAAGGACAACTGGATGGTCAAGAGGCGAAGAAGGTATGAAGGTATGAAGTGTAAAGGTAAGAAAAGAAAGAAGTGGAAAAGAAGGAAGGAAAGAAAAACTTGAGAAGCTGGTGGGCGGGTAATGAGAGCGGTAGAGGAAAAGAGAGGGAAGAGGAGAGGAAGGTGGGAGGTGGAGGGAGAGGTTATTATAGTAGGCGTCACCGCGCACTGACCGCCTGGTGAATGGCCATTAGCGGTATCGGAGGGTCGGTGAGCGTCGACGAGAGGAGAGGGAAAGTGATGAGAGGGATGAAAGTGACGGGGAGTCCAAGATTGAGTGGGAGGGTGAGGGGAAATGTGAAGATTCGCTGTCGTGAAGGCGTCCGTGAAGGGTAGAGGAGACGCCTACGAGATCGCGACGCTTGAGTGAAAGGAAGGAGCGATGCAGGGCGCCAACTGCCACACCCCGAGCACGAGGCATCTTCCATTTCCACCGGGTCAATGTGGATATGAGAAGATAGTCCTCATCGAGCTCTATCACCTACACCTTTTGTGTGCCACAACACTATTTGTGGGTAGAGTTGTAGGGCGCTTGGAAGCGTTGGAGCCTCCTCACAAGATACTCGAAAGCTCAACACCATGACTTCATCGCGGAATAGTGGGGCTCCTCCAACCAAAAGGCATCTTGGCACTTCAGCAATCTTATGACTCCAACGATAACTGGAAGGAACTCCGATTGCGGCCGGGGTTAGGGACGGCCCGACGGTGGTGAGTGACAGAGCGCGGCAATAGTTCGTAGAAATGTAGGTAGAGTGTCAAGGTGGTAAGTAGTATGTGAAGGAAGCTTGATATAGTGCGAGCGCTGGAACCTGGGGGTGCAGTCTTGTGAGGCAGTGAGTTTTGTGATGAGAGACTTGCAGCTAGATTGACCTTTCTTGAACACTGAAAGCGAGGAAATACTACCAGTTTGAAAAAGTTCGAAGACTACATAATGTTTGTGTATATAGATGAGTGAAATTGGAATGTTAAGCAGGAGATTGTGCAGATGTCTTGACAAAAATGAAGCTTATACTTGCGTGCAATCCCGCCCGCAAATATTTACTACACCAAGCTACAGCATAGGCTACAGTACAGACTACAGCAAATGAGCCGAGCAAACAAAGATCAAAGGATGGGAAAGTATGTGTAGTCCTTTCAGTGCAATACAGTCATTCAAAGCATATATCAGCAAAAAGGTCGAATCCAGTTGCAGGGGTTTCTTCACTCAGTGTTCTTGTGAAGGCGGTTCGTACAAGGACATCAGACCTTCCAGTGCAGAGGCGCGTAGCAGCAAAAGGAGACATTCAATAGCTTACAGTCAATTGCAACTATGTCTATATATGTCGTGTATATATGCCCCTTCGTGAAGCTTATTGTCGTTAGAATGATTGCATTTGCTGTGACCGTAGCTCTCTATCTGGGTTACCTACTGAGTAGCGCTCAAAGCAGGTCGGCTGCTCAGCGGCAGGATGTCTCCTGTGAACTTGCTGAACTTGCTATATTTCAATAAGAACAGAGCTCAAACATTGCTTTTGCATTCACGGGCACAGGGTATTGATGCCATAAGGAATGGCGCGTCACTGTTTGGTGAGCTGCCGGCGCTCACAGCAGTATATCGCAAAGCAGCACTTTCGACACTAGACTTGCTGTATCCACAAAAGAGGCTCTAACCCATACATACTTAGGTAGCTTACAATGAATCATTCCTCTACTTGAGGTATTGGTGGAAGTTCCTACTGTGGGACACGGCGCACTGAAATGCCTCTCGATTGCTCGTGCTGCTGAAAGGGCGTGACCGGATAACGACGCTGTAGTGCAGCCAGTGCCTCACCACCTGAACAGGTAGAGAGATGCCGATACAACTAAGTATCTCTAGCATGTGTTACAGCTTCAAGACTAGATAGGGGCAATCCGGTAGATCGGACGAGCTATGCAGCAGGGTGGGCCTTACAGATTGCGCCTGCCCTGGTAAGAGCTCACGATGCAGCACCATGCAGTCGCCTCGCTATCAAGCGCGTTGCCATGCGGCTATACTCCACCTCTGATCAAACAGAACAAAATGCAGAAAACCTCGTGCTTTGCCATGTGCCCAACAATAGCCCTGCGCCTTGTGACCAGCCTACTGTAACTGGCAGTCACGCCATGCCTTCTGCACTTGGGCCTCCTACCCCAGGAAACCCTCCCAGCGCAGCGCATCATACAGCCGCAAATAGGTCCTAGCCCCAAAAGAAGCCATCCAAAATCATCAGGGCACATCAGCGCATTATACTACTCATCTACATCTCAGAGTGTGCAAATGCGCTGGTGCGGCGGGTCTGTTCACCAAGCAAACTTACCCACCTACAAACTTCGCCTGTGCCCTAAGAGCGCACCCTACCATCTTCAAAATCATTCTTTGATGCAAAGAACTTGCTATAAATACCAGGTATCCTGTCCGGTCACAGGCTCGATAAATCCCGTGCTGATGGTCGGCCTCTCACCTTGGTCGCGGCTGCAGTGACGTATCGCGGAGGGCAGGACACCAGGTCACCAGGTGGGCACAGGTAAGCGCCCAACAACAAACACCCCATTACTCTGTCCATATTCACTGTGCCTAGAATCGAATCTTCTTATATGACTGAATAGCTTCACAGGCACTCTCGCCAGCTGCGTCGCTGGATCGAAGTTACAGACCGCGCCAGCGCTCCTAGAATCCACCAGGGTGACCCAGGCGCCAAACCACGAACACAACAAAAACGAGCAGCAGTTCAACCTCCAGCCCTCGAGGATCCTATCTCAGATCCTATCCTAAACGATTTCGAACGTCGGTATGGCATCGCGCCACTGTGGGGATGCGTCTCCTGCCTTCTGTTTCCCCCTACCTTGCCGATCAACAACACTGATGTTGCCTCTTACATCAAAGACGACTAAGGAAACGACAAGGAGAGTAACCTCAGTATACTTATGCGCTGGTTGTGTTCACAGTACAAGGAGGATCCTATTTCGCTGCTATCAGTTGAACCAGCTACACAAGGCAACAGTGCGTGCGGCGCAACCACTGACAGAACCACAACCCCCCAACAACGAGAAGAGAAGTCGGCTTGCCATCCTGCATATTGCAGCGCAGCATAAAGAAGCTGCGCTGGGCATGCAGTCTAAGATATGATAACCCTACAGTGACACATTGCTGAAGGCGACCTTCGCGCGTTCTTCTATGCGCATGACACGACAAGGTATTGCTAGAGGAACACCGGACGCGTCCTATCGAGGCAGGAGGCAAGTATAATGGCATTATCGTGAGGACATCGTTGACGTATAGACTGAGCTGACAGCCTATGGGCACTCCTTCTATCTCAGAGTCTATAGTAGGCATACCTCGACAGGAAGAGGATGATACACTCCGCAGGGGCTCATCACCTTCTACATAGTTCGTGTACTACGGCGCAGGATAACCATGCTTACATTTTACCGCGGCAGGTCTGAGATCGGAGACACGGGGAATAGCCTTTCACTGTTAAACTACTACAGCAGCTGAACAGTACGCAGAACGGCGACGGGGAAGTAAATCGCGACTACCTGCAATTGTACTTCCCACTGAAGAAACGCCCAATCCCATTCGTCACACTCATCATGGTATCTGTGCCCCTCGTCCTCCTCAGCCCCACCGCGATGATTTCGTCCTGCTTCACAAGGAGAAGATGAGGATCCAGGCGTGGCGAGACGCGCATACAAGTCCTCGCTCGCCAGGAAACCAGAGTAGTATCGAGAAGACGAAGACGAAGACGAAGAAGGAGTCTGGTTACCCGCGTCGGACGTTCGACCGTCTCACGGGACGGGTACATATCAAGTCTCTACCCCAGACAAGTACAGCTGGAATACAAAGCCGAATGAATACGAGGAGGGTGGGACGCCATACAGCTGTAGAAGCGCCAGGGCGCCAACGAAGGTGGGGTACGATTCAGAACACGGAGGAAGTGCGGCATGAACTATATAGGCCCTCTGGGAGTGCGCGGCCTTATGTTCTATCGCTGTGTCAGGAAATAGAGGTGGTATGTAGATGGTAGGGTTAGAATGTGACAGGCAAGCTATTGGACTCAAACCTTTTGGAATTTCGGTTTTTGCCAGTTTATTTGCATGGGTCTTCAAAGCAATATCTGCACTCCTGCTGTCAAACACAATGAGAGTATTTCCATGTTTGGATACTTACATTGAACCGATCCCATTGTTTTCAAGCCTACGAGCTTCTGCACGTTCGGTGCTGTCTCATTGAGCTTTAGGTTGTTAAGGCTGATGTCCATTCTGGAGGCCGTGATAGAAAGAACTGTACGAATATGGAGCGGGTTTGACCTAATTATGCCTGTTGGCTTAGTTGAGCCCGCGTTGCCATGTCTTAACACGCCAATCAAGCACCCAGAGATTGATGCTGTACCACTTTGGCATATACCAGACACTCTGCAGAAGGCATAGGGTGGAAGCAATACGCACTAACACTACTACGTACCCATCAACATGGAATTTTGAGCAGCTTGCGAACGGGGAAGCTATAAAGGAGTTATCCTCCGATCGGGCAGTTCAATCAAAGTCATAGTAATCTACGCTGATGGCGACGAACACCCATTGTTAAAATGCAGTTAACTAACCTAATCAAAGAGACAGCGAGTCCACGAACTCAACAGGGTCATACAGGTCTATAAAGAAAGTGCCTAGCTTTCGTATTATTTTGTGTAGCCATAGAGACAATTGTAGAACCTAGGCTGAGGGATAAGCTCGATAGACGACACCAGCGGGGTCCTCAACGTGCTTTTTAGTCTTGATACTCACGGGTACTGAGAGAACGGATTGAATGTGGGAAAGCTTCAGCATGCATACAGAATGTATTCGCAATTATGGGTATCTCAAAGTGAAAAAAATGGTCCCACGTAAAATGACCCTAACACCGTCCAATGCCCTCTTCCAAGAGCTCAAGTAGGGCACTCTACTTACGCTCGCCCCCGAACATCCACTGATCAGCATCCAAGCTCGCGAGCTTCTTGTTAAGGCTGGATTTGAGCGCGATCTTGATCTCGTGCATGATTGCTGGTGGCGTTCGTTAGTCACGATTCGATAGCGGAGCGACGTGTTTCAGGGGACCGTCAGCTTACCTGGGTCGGACCAATGGGTATCTTGCTTCTCGTACAGGGCGATCAACTGGTTCTCGTGCTCTGTATTCATCAGATATGAACTGTGCTCAATGAAGTTTCCGCGGTTCATGAATGGTATGTACAATTAAATTCATGAAGCACGTGATGCATGTGCACTGACCGTTCTTATTGTTGTCCTTCATCATCTGCACGTAGATGGCGCCGCTCCGGAATGACGGGTCGACAGTGAGCATTTTATACTCTCCATTCTCCTTGACGACGAGCTCGTTGTCATCGGCGTCGGCATCCTCGGCGTTGATATGCACGGTAGACGAAGACGACATGGCGTGGTTGAGGTGAGTACGGCGAGGAGGGAACATATGACGACGGGATGAGGGATTGGGAGGTCGAGTTGGGCGACGGAGATCCATGGCGCGGTAGTTAATGTAGGGGAGCTTATGGAGCCGGGGTGTTGAGTGAAACAATTACGTTCCGAGAGGATGTTGGTGGATATTTCATGGGTTTATTGTGATGTTTGTTGTTTGGATTTGTGGTGTTGGTTGAGATGGCGCGCCGTAGCGGCGGAGACAAGGGCAGGGGATGCCGCTGCCGCGAACTTGAACATTCGCGGGGTGCAGGGGGGTAGCTTTGGCTCGTGAGCTTAACTTCTCCCACATCCATTCACCAACGAGAATCTACTCATAGCTTGAAGTACAACAGCACACTAGCACTATTTTACGATTCATTTACTTACGCGCACTTGCAGACACATACTACGAAACAGACTTCTCACATCTACGGTCCCATTGTCCGTCAATGGTTGCATCCATCGTATTGACCAAGCAAGCTCGACCTTAGCTACTACACCACTGCTACCACTCTACCTCTTTCCATGTCGCAACTCCCAATCAGTGATGCGTCTTCTCTACCACCAAAACCTCCCTCACCTCCACATCCTCCTCCCGCTACCGAAGATGACGATTCGCAACCACGAAAGCGGGCTCGAGTAGACGACGGCACACGAGAGCTCTCATCAGAGATCCCGCCTCCGGCAGCATCAAACGTTCCCCAAGCACAACCGGTGCTCTTCCCCATTCAACCATTGAATCGCTTCCACGGTGCATCAGCGACTATCAAGCGTCCTCGCGAGATTGCGCACTTCTCGTACGACGATGTTCATGGATATAGGGAGGATGAGTCGGGCATTAATTATTATTACCGACCTCCGATCGGGGCGGATTTGCGCGAGGGTTTTGATACGTTCCAATATTATGAGGATAAGGAGGATCCGCATTTGGATAGCTTGCTTAAGACACTTGTCAGCAAGGAGAAGCGGGAGGATAAGAAAGTGCAGACGGATTTTGTCACTTGGAGGGGGATGATGACCAAGGTATGAAGTTCCGTAGTCTTGAATGGGCACCAGATCACTATGCTAACCGTTGTAGATCATGACTGTTCCCTATGACATGTTCGCCGAATTCGAGATGCTGGCAACTTTACATGATGGAACAATTTACATCCACGAGGACTTCGATGCGAAGGCAGCTTCCCGTGCTGCTGAAAATGATCCACCACGTACAAATCGGCGTCCAGACCCCAATCAGCAGTCGCGCGAGATGATGACGTACTGGGGCTATAAATTCGAGACCCTCGCTTTGATACCTGATGTTCCACAGAAAGTGTCACCAGAGTTCATCGAAAACAGAACGAAGGCAGTTGTCTCGAATTACGCTCAACACTGCTCGATAGTTCGCACTGCATTTGGTCCACACGGAATTGTCCTTGGCGGGGAGGTAGACGGTCTATGGCATCCGAAATCCTCCGACCCTGATGCACCAATACCCTGGATCGAGCTCAAAACATCCGAAGAGCTACCTCCTTATCCGCACAATCGCGACATCCTGAAGTTCGAGCGTAAGTTGTTGAAGTTCTGGGCACAGAGCTTTCTTCTCGGTGTAGAGAAGGTCATTGTGGGTTTCAGGAGTAAACAAGGGATCTTGAAGGTGATCGACGTGTATGAGACTGTAAGGATTCCAGGGATGGTCAGGAGGGGAACAGGATGTTGGGATGGAAATACTTGCATCAATTTCGCGGCCGCATTCTTGACTCATCTCAAGCAAACCATTACAGGCCAAGGCGTATATCGGGTTCGACTGCGAAAGCGGGGCACGCATATTGAGATCTCGAAAACAGCAGAGCAGGGAACTGGCAAGATCCTGAGCAAGGAATTCTTGGATTGGAGGAGCGAAGATAAAGAGAAGGAGACGGCCGGCGACGTGGACAATCCAGCCGCAGAAGCTGATCCAAGCAGTTGAATGGTTAGAAAAGCTACTTCCGTGTCAAATAAGACTTGATGATACCCATACCAATGATAACCCGAATTCAATCCATCAAACTGATATAAACTTTGCATGAATCTATTTGCGATCTATATTTATTTCTCCTAATTTCCTATTCCGCATCGCGTTCATCATACACCTAAAGACAGCCGAGGCTTGGCGTCTCTCCTTGACTGGGTACCTACCTAGGGTACCTAGGTATTCATCAATCGTCCATGTACTGTCCACTTAAAAACGACCCAATCTTCATCAATGTCACAATCACCCATACACATCCTAGGGATAGGCAATCTTGGAAAACTCCTCGCCAATTCTCTTCGTAAGGCCCATCCAGAACTACCCATAACACTACTTTTTCATCGACGCAATCTCCTCCAAGAATGGGACGAAGCTGGCCGGAACATAGAGATTGTTAGAAATGGTAGTCCGGACAAGAGATCTTCGTTTGACCATGAATTTATTGATGGGGACGATAAAGGAGTTGGGGAAATCGCGAATTTAATTGTCACGACAAAGACGCATTCTACCACCCGAGCGATGAAGCCATTAGTACAGAGGCTGGGACAGAGAAGCACGGTATTGTTCTGTCAGAACGGCCTGGGTATGTCTAATATCTCCTGGGTCTTGTCGATTGACAACAACTTACTTGCTCGTATATTTGCACAACCAATACTAATCACATGACGCAGGCACCGTCGACGAAGTAACAAACGCACTCTTTCCAAAGCCTGAATCTCGCCCCAGCTATCTCGCCGGGATATTCAACCACGGCGTCTATTCAACATCGACATTCTCCTCCGTCCATGCAGGCCTGGCAAACGCCTTCATCGGACCTATAGCTCCAGACTCTGCACCATCACCAACAAACCTCGACACAACCATCCCAACCCTGGCACAGCACATCATCGAATGCCCGGAACTATCCACGACCTTCGTCTCCCCCCAGGATCTCCTCGAAATCCAGTTCCAGAAGCTCGTCGTCAATGCTGTGATCAATCCTCTCACCGCGATACTCGACTGCTACAACGGCGAGCTCTTCCAAAGCGCAGACATCCGCGTGCTAATCTCCCTTCTCATCTCAGAGCTTTCTGCAGTCATAATCGCCATACTATCATCAAAGACACCTACTTCAACCGCATCCATTCAGGAAAAATTCTCCCCTGCCCGCTTGGCCAACGTTGTGAACGATGTGGGAGCACGAACAGCGAAGAATATAAGTTCCATGAGACAAGACGCCCTCGCTGGGAGGAAGACGGAGATTGATTATATTAATGGGTATATTGTGAGGCAGGGGCAACGGTTAGGCATACCGGTGCCGGTGAATGAGAAGATTGAAGCGTTTGTCAGGGAAAATAGGAAGGTGGACAAAGAGGGTGTTTTGAAAGCATTCGAGATCGTCGATCAATAAGAGGGGACGGGACGTTGGGTGTGTCGTAAAGCCTTTTGTACATACTGCTCAGAATAAGGTCGTCATCGTAGAATAAGGGGCCCTTAACAGTCCTCTAAAATCATACCATTCATATTCAATCTCCTGTTGATAAACTCCAAAAAATTATACGTTCTGCTCCATCATCATATCCTTAACATCCCCGGCTCCCCTAAGTCATGCAAGCATGTTAGACGGGTTACTCTCTCAATTGATGATATAGGTATCCGTGGTATCTCTTTTGTCACTGAGGGAACCGATCCGCAACCGGTTAGAGCACCTTGGTATCAACATGAAGAAATATCTCAGGAAGCAGTCAGTTCATTAGTTGTAACAACAAATGTCGGTCGCCCATAGAATTGTCATTCTTTAGCTGACCTACGTACAGCCTTTTCTTATTAGAAATATCTCCAGAAGATCCAATAGTCAACCGACTTATGTTTGGAATCATCCCCATTACTCTCACATACCTCTACATCAGTGGTACGCATACCAAAATCCAGCAATCGAGCCAGAAATACCCTTCTACATGAGACGCGTGGATATTCAGAGAGACCTGAGCGGTCTTATAGTTTCGTGCCGTAGCTGGACGAACATGAGCTTCCATGCGCACAGGATACAGCAAATTCTCAGCGAACCATGCCCTTCGGAGACCGAATGGTTATATGGCAGTTATCTAGTGTGGGTATACTTTCCCGTCTCTGCTGGGGAGATGATATCTGGGATCTGGGTCATAAGGCATCTGGGAGGTCCAGCATCAGTGGCTGTAAGAAAATGCTTTATCCGTCTAAGTACGTGCACTCACTGAATAATTTAGGTTTATACAACGCTGGGACGATCATGTATTTTCAGATCTTACCTAAGACCTGAATGGCGGTCCGGTGTAACAGTCCAACGCCTCAATGGAAGCTCAGATGGAGACGTCATCTCCTTTTATTACAACGACCTACGACCGCAATCCTCGGAACGAGATTTGCGACTGGCTATTGTCAGCAAGGGATTGGGTAGGAACGACGTACCTGAAAACCCACCTTGGCCAAAAAGCGAATTTCCAGACGAGTTAAGAGCCTATGGGGGACAATGGTTTCATTCCAAAGCTACCCTACAGGGTGTCCAATCCGTTGATATCTGCAGACACAGAACAAAAAAATACTGTCTAGGCATTTTGCTTCACTACAAGAACCGCACAAGAGAGGTGTTAGGCCAATGGCGCGTTGACCAGGTCATCGAAACTATGACTGAGGATTCCGTTCCTCATCTGATACGCTTCCATCGGGGCTATGACATGAGTACACCATACGTGAGGGAAATCTGTTTCAAGCAAGCAGCAGATCTCCAAGGATGGACAACATTTCGCATGCACGGGCACTTGGTATGGTGGTTTAATGAGGAAGGGGGTCTTATAAGACATGAGGCTTGACGATGCACAGGAGAACAATCATTTTTTAATCTTCGTCCCATCGAATATATGTAGTATATCGGAGTTTCATAATAATATATGCCACGCCTGGTATCTAACATCCAGTTACTAGACACTGTTAAAATGGTGTTTAGAGCCCTAACATTCAAGACATAAATTTGAGGTAATGAAGGACCTTGGTTTTTAAGGCGCTGAAGCCAGCCCAGGATGTAACCTTCTCCCGCCCGGTCACCGAAATCTTGATAAACTGTGAATGTGCCCAATGGCTAGCTGTCCATAGGCTCCCAAGCACCTGCTTTCAAGTGGAAGAACCGTGCACGACTTCCGACGGAAGTTTGAGCATATATCTCGTGTGTTTTATGCTTTTTATAATAGCTCTTTGAAGCAGTAAATGCCTGAGTCTCCAGATATTACTTTTCAGCGCTTCTACACTCATTTCCCTTGGTCTCGTGAAACAAAAGGACGAAGACAGTACCCTAGTCAGATTCGAGCATCGTCACTGTTTGGTCAACTTTCTTTTGGCCTTGTTCCTCAATCGTTGGAAGATCTTCATAGTCAATAATGTACCGGGGGCTGGCGAACACTTCTTTGGTATAGACAAGATGCCAGAAACTTTGAGCAGCATTTTCACGACCCTAAGTTCTGGACCTGTTTCCACAAGTATTTCAGGGTCGGATCGTCGAGTAGAGACATGTTGGATAAAACACTTGAGTTGCCAGAACCAACAGCAGGCATGCATTGTATAGTAGTACAACAGAATCTTGTTGAGCAGATCCATGGCCCTTCTCCACAAAGCAACAGCCATCTTGCGTGTGATTGATATACGTTTGGATGGTCTCCTCTGAGATAGTCAGCTTTCAAGCGTACTGTCCATACAGAAGCTCAGTAATCGTGGCCTATTTCCTGATGTCGGAAGTTGGTCCTTCCGTACGGTGCGCCGGCATAGTTAAACCCCTGCTAGGTGCGACACAGAGATGCAGCAACAGTAGCAACAAGCTAGTCCAGCCTTTTCTATGCATGTAAATGTGTTGGCTTTCGAGATCTATTGGTGTAAATTTTGTGCCAAAAGTGTCTCTGCTTGCTACAAATACAAGTGGCAGATGCAAGGATCAGTAGGCAAGGCGCCAGTCGTCACCAATCGCCACCAATCCCTACTAACGGTACCGACTGTGTACCAGGCGCTTCCAGTCTATCATGCATCACCAAATAGTCCAAATAGTCCATCATGCTCGCCTAACTCAACATCAGTACACAATACCCCGCCCGCTTCTGACCAGTTTTCACAGACACTCAGCCTTCAGCATGGCGGTACACCTCCACGACCCAGCTGCAACAGTGCAGGGACTTGCAGGACTGAACAATGGCCAATGGCGCCGTTTTATTGCAAGTATTATGCATGTTATATGTGTAACAAAAATAAGCAGAAGATTACCAAGGATGAAGCGCAGAATCTTTGCGATCGTAAAGGACAAGGCCTGACCTGGTCACAACTACCTTACATAGAATCTGAAATGATATTAAGAAATGTTAACAAGAGATTGGTGGAAGAAGGAATTCCTGAAGTCACAGAGGATATCCTTCGATGGCGCATGTCCAACGCATTCAAGAAGATAAGTAGGTATGTACATCTATCCTGCAAGCCTCCTCTGATGAATGTAGATCCTAGACCACCAAATCTACCAACCCTGCCCTACGATCCAACTAGATCTAACTAGCAAGCCATGCCGATTTCGTCTTTGTGACGCCCGGAGGAGAACAGATGGTAGCTAGAGATGGTAGCTAGAGATGGTAGCTAGATACATTGCTTTTTAAGTCACCCATTATCTTCGAGGGCTACTTGCTCATTCTGAGCACTACAAGTCTACTCATGGTTTTTCCTAATGATGCAAAGTTGTGCTCATAAATAGATCGATACGGGTACGTCTTTCAAAATAAAGATGCGTTGAATCAATAAGAGCCGAAATACTTCCACTTGATGGACGAAAATCGTTGCTAATCAAGCTCATCATGGCATGCTCGTACCGTCACACTGTCCTATAGATTTGGGTTCTCACCAGACCGAGACTTATTAACAGGCAGGCATGGTGACCTGAGAAATAACTGGCTGGCTCTTGCAATCCTCATCGCGACTTAAGGAGGGCAGGGGATAGCGCCTGGAAGTAGAACTTGCATCGTTTGACCCAATTTCTGTCTCAACTGTACCTGGCCCTGATCAGTGCTTCGTCCGCTTGTCGCCTCTCCCTAGTTAGACAGCAAACTAGCTGCAGTCTTTGAACATACGTCTTGCCCCTGTGCCCTCGCCGTGCTTTGTCCTTACACCTAAAGCGGCAGCAGTGAATTGAAGTCTAGCTCCTGCACCTGCACTGGTAGTATGATAGAATTACCCGAATCCGATTCGAGCACCTGTTCGAGCACCTTGCTATTTGTATAACGATTCGAGATTATACCTCTCTAGCATAAGCAAACATGCTCGCAAATGGAGAGATTATGCCCTGTTCTGGACTCCTTTGTTTGTTAGGCAGGACTACAACAGTGCGAATCTTCACTGACCAAGAAATGCAAGAGTCAAGAAAACCGAGTGGTCATCCATGGAAATACATCAAAGTCATCTCTCTGAACAGTCATAAACATCCAAACTTCAGCTCCTATGATTGTCGATAGTTCAACTACTAACTACCAGCAGCTGCTTCACAGCAATTCTAGAGCTAAATAGTTACTTGAACACCTTGAGCATGAATACCTGGTCGTAGCATTCCATACCTCCTTTTAATCCCTGTTACGCTTTGTAACATTATGGATATTAAAAGAGACTGCAGGGTATCTTCTCAAGACATGTCATCACAGACTTTGTAGTTAAATATCAATGCAACAAGTAAGTGTCGGTTGGAGCATGTATTGTATAAAGGTAACTATCGATGCCTCATCGTTGGATAGGTTGCACCAACGGACTTGTCAGAGGCATTTTCGATTCGAAAATCTTAACAACATTTAGTCTTTCTTGAATAACATGTCAATATAAAATGAGCTCAAGTATATCAACGGAGGCCCAGCCCCTGAGTCATGCACGCATGTTCCACAACCAAATCCCTCCTAACCCCACATAAGCAAAGTGGCCCCTCCCACAAGAGGGGTAGCTTGCTGACCCGAGGTCTTTGCATCATCGACCCATTCACCCCCTCATCCACATATTACGTCCCCATTCTTTGTCTTCCATTCTATTTCATCATCTGCATGGCTATATAAGTGTTAGAAAGAGAAAACCGACATATTGCACCACTGGTAAATGCCTGCATCGATAGTTTAGTGGTAGAATTGAAGCTTCCCACCCACGTGACGTCTCTGAACGATGTCAAACTGGTGAATTGCTTCAGGCACGGGTTCGATTCCCGTTCGATGCATTTTTTTGCATCATGGATTGATTGTGGTTCTTTTTTTGGTTGAGGTTGTCCAGTGGGACCGCTGCTAGGGATGTGGAGACGTAAGGTGGATGAGAGGTGGCTATTTGAGCCGTGCAGGGGTAGTGAAAACTAGTATGGGCATTATTATTGCAGATGTTACAGGTAAGATGAGAGTAGACGCGGGAACGGTTACGAAAAAGAGATATTCTTTGAGTGCAGCTACATTTATCTACTGACATATATAGGAAAACCACCACACACTAGCGTCCGGGCAGATTTTTTATGGCTGCCGAGCGGACTCCGAACGAACCAGCGTTGTGCAATCCACCTTCGCACAAGGCCAAGGGGCAGGAATAATCAATACAAGACATTATTCTCTAATGGACTTGGATTCAGAAGTCACTTCTGTCTTTGCTACGTTGGTTTCAGTCTTGGTCATGTCGCTGAACGTCGAGGAAGGTGTTGGTTTTGGCGACTCTGCATCAATCGCTATCGTTGCGGTTGATCCATTGGGTAGCTTAGCAAGGTGTTCGCTCTTGGTCGTGTGCGGTATCTCCTTTTCGGATCCTAACCATGATCCTTGACCCTCCGATTGAAATGCTCGACGCTGGAGTTGGAATATGCCATCTTGCACCCAATGATCGATGCGTGGAGCAAGAGCTCGGCGGAAACGACTGAGGAAGATGAAGACGCGCAAGACCATCATGTTGAATGCAGTCACAGTGACGGTTACTGTTACGATGAATGCCAACCCAAAGACATTGATGTTTGCGAAGCCACCGGATTTCTTCATCTTGACGGATTGGCAGAGCTGTTTGCCGGCGGGAGTGGTGGGTTTGTCGACGTAAATGTCTGCATTTTCTTCATCGCGCATCTTCAAGCCGACAGCATAATCTGTCAACAGTGTCTGGATACCCGACCATGCAAAAGCATTCCAGCCAACAATCTCCTTGATCCACTGATCCTCAGGGAGCCCCATAAACCGACCGTTGCTCTCCATGCTCTTCGCTTGGAGAATCTCTACTGCAGTGCCAAGTGAGACGTCATTCAGAGTCAGAACAGACCGTAGAAGATTCAAGAGTGTGAGCTGCACATCGTTGGGATTCAGGATGCCGCCAGGCGAGAAATCGCCAGGAAGACCACTGAGTTCGGTGCACCTGCCACTTTCACCTGACGAACCGACACAGAATTGATACTGTTCCGCGCATCCAACAAAGCTGCTGGCCTGATCTGCCTCATACCACACTTCAGTCTCTCTGTCGGGTGACAGGCTTGGATATGAGAGGTTTCGATGAGCCGAGAACAGTGGATCATCCACTGGAGTTGCGTATGTCACCTGATTCATACGCACTGCCATCAATGCTACATCAGCATCGCTGCGTCTCAATGGAACAATAGGGACAAAGCCCGGAATGCCCGGGTCTGCCATTGCATATGAAATGAGTCCTCTTGTATTATATCAGTCAATGCTGCGTGTACGCGAATAACAAAGCTTACTCTGTCAGATAGCCTGTCACCCGCAAAGGAAGAAGAAAACTGTCTCCCGGGAGCTCTTCCGGCGTCATTGCTGTCCAATTACCGTACTGGTATGCGATAATCTTCTGGTCGGGTTCTTGCTTCTTCGCGAATCTGTTCTTCCATGCCGAGGCATTTCTCACTTGATTATGTCCATCCAGTGGAAGAACGTTACAAGTAGTCTTCTTGCGAAGCTGGACATTGTCCTTGTCTCGCAAGTTGTAACCAAGGTGTTTCTTGAAGTCGACATAGCCCGAATCCATCTCGATGGCGGGGAGACTTGTGTAATCTAGACACATCGATTTCTCCCAGGGACAGGCAACGGGATTCGCGGTGAATGACACGTTCGGCCGAATGAAAATGTTTTGGCAACGTGCCGGTAACTTCGTCTTATTTTGGTAGCATTCGCGAGCGTATGTCTCCATTGCCGGAAAGAGGTTCGCGAATAGACTGTTTGTCGATTGTTGGTACATGTATAATGTTGTGTAGTTGAGTTGACCGCAGTAAGGGCTGTTGATCAAAACCTCGAGATTGGAAGTATCAACCACATATGAGGAGAACAATCCGCTGATAATAGCTATGGCGATGAAGCATACGGAGAATACTACTTGTGGGAGGCAGCGAAGGAAGGCCCGGTCAGAAGTTTGTTTCCATGTCCAATAAAGTTTAATAGTGTCAGTCAACATCGCTGCAGGAGCTGGCATCGTCCGCATCAAAGCTTGTTGCTGCCAGAAAAGACCATCGGCACTTTTGCTAGTCGCACGGCTTTGGTGGTAGAGAAATGTGATAAGGTTCCATAGTTGTCCAGAAGCAACAGTAACGAGCACCGTGAGAATGGCAACGACGGTGTTTCCTGTCTGCGCATCAGTAGTAATGGTTCGTCCCATTACCGGTCCCTGGCTCCAATTGATCCAGAATCCCTTGTGGACGAAGCGATCATCAAGTTCCGACATTTTCTTAAAGATTGGACAAACGTTTCAATGGAAATAATCAAAACATAGAAGAAAGTACAGGCATGCCTTGATCCATTACAATAAGGGGATGCTGTCTAGCCTGTACATTTATCTATCTCAATCTGGGAGTGGGGGCCAAACAGGCACATTACCGCATCCGACGTTAATATACGAACAATGCCTGTGCCTGTACAGTACCACAGCTGAGCCAGGGTTGTGGTCGAGCTCGATCACCATGCTCGCAGCCTTGACTCGGTTAGTGCGTGAGGCTGACGGGTAAGGATTTCTCGACAATGGGCCCTCACGGAAGCGATAACGCTTAGTTTTTGGGCTACTCTTTGACCAGGATAGTAATTTGAATTGCAGGGCCCCAGGAATGTGCGTCCACTGAGAGGATGCGAAGGCGTGTATTCAATAAGAACTAATGCGAGCAGAAGCCCAGGAGGAAGGAAACAAAGGTGGTTCTGAGGTTTGGATGAGAAATCGGTCAAGCACGACAAGCCCTTGGTATTCAAGAATGGTGTGCAACATGAATCATTGGGCACAGGAGTAAGCACGACCAAGATGCAATGCACGGCTTTTGTATGATTCCATTCTTTAGGTTGGATCGGGGTTGATAATGGGTGTGTGTTGCATCGAAATCGATACTGCAATAGGATAGAGGTTCCAAGAATGTCGTGCTACGAGGGCTGAGTCATGGCCACATTCTTCAATTGCTCCATTGCGAAATCATTATGCAGCTTATCTTGCATGTGCTCAAGTTAGAAATGAAGGCATATTATGGTGGAAGTAGCTACATACACATTGTGGTGGCGGGTGGAAGTATTGGTGCAACTTTGGCGATCGTACTATGTACACAGTAAGAATAAGGCTTGGTGGGGTTGACACGCCGCAAGTTCAACTCCAGGCGATGACGCACGGGCATTGATTCCACTGCAACTGCTCAACGTGCCCACTACCCACCAGTCAACTCATCACCATATCAAGCGCATAGGGAGTCTAAGATGTCTAAGATAGAGAAGACAATACAGCGCCAGCAAGAAAAGTACGTCAGTTGAATCTAATCTTCGAAAGACCTGGTCCTGGTCGCCCGTCCTCGTACATGGCGGCACAACGATGCCAAAGCACTCATCCGCATTTTACTATCAACGCATTCTACCACACACATAGAGGTTTTGAAGGCACATGCTGACTTGTTTTGCTTTTTGTAGGATCGCTGAAGGCCAATTCTACGAGGCGCATCAGCAACTACGCGTCATCGCATCGCGATACGTGAAACAATCGAATTGGCCCGCCGCCACCGACATCCTCTTCCAGGGCGCACAATCTCTTCTGAAGGCCGGACAAGGTGGTTCTGGAGGCGATCTATGCATATTTCTTTTGGATGTCTTCCACAAGGGCGAAATCAAGCCAGATGCTGCGAGCAAGGGTAAATTGCTGAGCCTTTTGCGCGCATTCCCGAAGAACGAGCCAACCCGCAAGAAGTTCGTGAACGAAACGATCGCCTGGAGCTCGAAGCTTGGAGAGTACCCTGCTGGCGATCCGGAAATACATCATGTGGCTGGATCCCTATACGCCGAAGGTGGGTTGAAACTGCATACACGTTGCAGGTTGTAGCAAAACTGACGAGCTTGTATAGATCTCGAACCCTACGATGCAGAGCGACATCTGATCCTTGGAACCAAAGATTCGCCCGAAACACTTGCACAGCTCGAATACTCCTGGTATGAGGCAGATGAATCACATACCGCACCTCTCTATGCCGCAAGAGGCGTCCTTCCCTACCTAATCATCGGGAATTTACGCGCGGCCAACAAATTCTTTCTCTTGTTCACGTCACGGCTGGCACAAAAGGCCAATCTCAGTGTGCAAGAAGTCTCGACATCATCCTCGGATTTAAGAGTCTATCCCAGCCTGCCGCTGCTCAACTTCCTTGGTCTGATATTGCTCGCGGTAGAACGAGGGGAGGCAAGTCTTTTCAGACAGTTGAAAAGTCGCTACGCATCCCATCTCAAGGAACTCAACTGGGACGAAGCATTGGACCAACTAGGCGAGATGTACTTTGGCGTCAAAGTGCCAAGACAGGGCAACCCTATGATGGATATGCTTGGTAATATGTTTATGGGAGGAGGTTTAGGTGGAGGCAGCGGCAAGAAGGGTGGCAAGCCTCTTACACCAGCACCAGCTCCTGGACTTGATTGATCGGTTCAAAAGGCCAAAATCATAACTTGATCTCGAGTATGGTATACACGCTGGTTTCTGTTGTCCATGTACAAATGACCTAAAAGCCCCAATGAGAAGTATACCCATGATATATGAACAAGCGGCGACTCGGTCACACCTTACTTCCCTCTCCATATTTCGCTATGAATTCACTTGCTGGCTCATCTCTCTTTGCCAATTCCTCATATACTCATTCAGGGCTTCGCCTATGTCGTCATAGAATTCGTTGCGTAAGCATTTGAGTATAGATTGTACGATGTAAAATCGTGGAGCGAAAGCGTCCCACCATTCCCCTCCATCCTCATGGTTGTTGCAGCATATAAATCCCTCCGGTACCAAGTGATGGAAGGTGGTATTTGAGGACTGTTTCGCAACAAGCTGGCTCAAAACCGCCCGCATTCCTTCAGGCTGTTTGAGGTGATCGATAACAGACTCATCGAAACAAAATGGGGGCTGGCGAGCAAATTCCAACACAAGGCCGGCGACTGCCGCAGCGATTGGGGTTGCACAAGACGTTCCTGTCATCCGCTTGAGTCCCTCCTTTTCTAAATTCGTTGGCCACGCGGATTCAACGTTCTCCCCAGGAGCGGTAAATCGCAGCTTTCCGATGTCTGGTGGGTTGAAATCGGACGGCACCCCGAGGCCATTCGCAGAATCGACCGCTTATTGAGTCAGAGACATCTTTCCGAGGAAAGTATGTATAATTGCTTACCTATAACTTCAAGTGCTCTCGCTGGATACGCAATGGTTTTGGCTCCAATACCCTCGTTTGAGCTTGCGGCAAATAATAAAACCCCTTTGTCTTTTGCCCTTGATATGACTTTCCTGAGGTTCTCGGACCTGTTCGTTCTCCAGCCGAAGCTCATACTTACAATATCCACCTGCTTCACGTCGATTGCATTGGTTAGAGCTTCTGCCACTATCTCCGGGAAGAAGTCGTCCCTCTCTGCAACTCGATATACGTAAAGATCGGCATAGGGGCATGTCTTCAATATCAAACCAGCAGCATGCGTGCCATGACCATCTGTATCTTCGAACGGCTTGAGCGGGTTCGTCGCAGTCTTCACGGTCTTGATACGGCTTGCTGCAAGTTTGATCATGGGTGGGGCATTCGTTGTTCGTGCTATTCCGGTATCGAGAATAGCAATTTTTACGGTCCGAGACTTTAGACCTGGGTGTACGTGTCCCTTGTATTTGTCCAGCAACTTATGAGTCTCATTCCGTAATTTTTTGAACCAGCTATCTGTCATGGCTGCTGGTCTACTTTGAGTTAGGACTATGCTTTCAAAGTACAGTAACAGTACTCACCCGGTTTCCACCACGTGCGACACCGATCGTGAATGTGGCAGATGAATTGTAATAGGCCTCGGCGTGCTAGTCGTCTCCAATGCTGGACTTTGGTTTATCTCTGGAGGAGCTGATTTGTTCAGAAGGTTAGGATCACTCTTCACAGCCTCCCGATCATCAGAAACAGTTGGCCAGCCACCAGGGACCCGGGTCTCGTCCACAGACTTTCTCCGAACATATGGCACAACTGGACTGAGGCTGAGATTTGGTGTATGTACAGTCTGCTCTTTGTGGTGGTCATCAATCCTAGGGTCTCGTTGTATGTCGCCGAGAGTTCCCTTGTCTTTGATCTTGCCCAAGTCCACTGGCATCGATTTGCGTTTAGTATGGCCAACGCTATGGGATCGTGTACCACGATTAGAGACTGGTGGTCGCAGTGTAGCGATTCCCGTGACTGTGGATGTTGCAAGTGCAAATGTCTTGAGAATGCTGTTCGTCAAAGGTGTCGTCGGTGCCTGGTGATGTTTGTTCGATGCAGTTGGCGCATCCTGTATGCTTCTAGACGCCATAGCATTGTACTCGGACCCTGGCCCGGTAACTATGCAGTCGCCTATAGGTGGATCTGTATGCAAGCCTGCAGCCTCATCCGTTGGCTCTACAGTACGGCTGTTCTCGCTTTGGTGGTCTGGGGTTGTTCGTTCCGTCGACAGGTCCTTGGGCGTAATGTTGCTACTCAAATCTTCCACTGTACGTGTATCAACGTTGGTGTTGGTCACCCACACTCCTGGTAGGTATTGTTGCATTGGAGGGATTTCATCTTGGCTGGTCTGTTCTGCGATTTGAGAGTGGTTTGACGAGTCCAAAGGCTGTGGTTGTGAATCTGCTGACGGTTTCTCTATCCTTCGTGCTTCCATCAACAGCCCCTCTCTCTCCAGTTCTTCCTGCCTCTTCTGATGATCAAGCTGTTCCAGTCGGAGCCGTTCGGCTTCGTCTTGTCGCTGCTTCTCAATTCGTTCGCGCTCTTGTTCCGCCTTTACATAAGCTTCCTGTTCTTTGAATGCTTGTGCCTCCTTCTCCTTCTTGGCTGCCTTTTCACGCTCCTCCTTTGCTTGTCGTTCGCGCTCCTCGTTTTCCAGTCGTTCACGTTCTAGCATTGCCTCTCGTTCCCTCTCTTCCTCGGCTTTCCGTTCTGCCGCTTCTCGGGCTATCCGGTCGGCTGCTTCCCGGGCTTTCCGTTCTGATTCCTCTTCCCTAGCTTTTCGCTCTGCTTCTTCTTGAGCCTTTCGATCTTCCTCTTCCTGGGCTAGTGCCTGCGCTTTTCGTTCTGACTCCTCTTGTGCTTTTCGTTCCGCTTCTTCTCGAACTATTCGTTCCGCTTCTTCTCGGGCTGTTCGTTCTGCTTCTTCTCGAGCCTTTCGGTCAGCCTCCTCCTTAGCTGCTCGTTCTGCTTCTTCCCGGGCCCTCCGTTCTCTTTCTTCCTGTGCTTTTCGTGCTGCTGCTTCCTCTCGAGAGATTCGGTCCTTCTCTTCCTGGGCTTTTCGTTCCCGCTCCAGCGCCGCCTCTCGCTCTGCCTTTTCCTTAGCTTTGAGCTCACTCTCATTACTAGCTCTTTGCGCGTCATCTTCTCTTATCCTCTGTTCCTCAATATCTCCGCGTTGTTGTTCCTCGTTTTCAGCTCCTTGGTCCCTCTTTTCTGTATCCGGTGAATCCTCGTGTGGTTGTTGCAGCTCAGTACCTTGGCCCTTGCTTGCTTTGGCGTCTTCTTCTTCTTTGGTGTCGTCTTTTTGTTTAACTTCCAATTCACCTTTTGGAGTGATTTCTTGTTCCTTCTTTTCTTTGGCATCCTGGGCCTCTCGTTCTTCTCTCTCCTTTTTGACTTGTCTTGCGATACTTCTCTCACATTTCCGTATAGATTTCTTCAAAACGTCCATCAACCCTTCATACGATGGATCGGATTTACATTGGCATGTATCTCGCGTTAGGATTGCCCAGTTCTTTTGAAAATGATCCAAGGCGTCTATGTATTTCTTCAACTTTTGGAACTCGGCTCCTAGATTGAAGCGGACATCGCATGTGCGCATGTGGTCCTCTCCGAAATACTTCTCACACCGTTGCAAAGTCGCAAAACTAATATCCACCGCCTCTTGCACGTCTTTGATATCGGGAGATTTGAAGAGAGCGTCTGCTAGGTTACTGCGATCATCGCACCAGGTCTCAATCTCTCTATTTGATTTTGAACATTTGCTGACGATTGACCTGAAGATCTCTACGGCCTCTTTGTGCTGACCGAGGACTCCATAGCTCTGGGCAAGCCGTCTCTGCGCGTCCAATGTTTGTTCGTGTTTCGATCCATGAGCTGGAGACTTGGTGTATCTTTCAACACTGACAAGGTCACATGTTATCGCACTTCCAATCTGTCCTGCTTCTTTCAGGCTGGTAGCCCAAAGATCTCGAGTTCGGAGAGTATTGTCGATGTAAAGACCCCAGTGATGTTCGGCGAGTTCAGTCGCATTCTGGTATAGTTTCGTTACTTCCTCAAGCAGGTCGCTCCGCTGACTTTCCGACTCTGTCGTTTCTGCTTCCGCCTCAAGTCCCTTCGCGGCGTCGATCAACTTCATAACCTCTTCTTCCACTTCCATCGTGTATTCAGTTCGGTGATCAGGTGCAGCTGGGCAGCACAGCTCCCATCTTACTGCCTAAGCTCGGGATAGAGGGGTATGCAGTTGGGTTGGGGGCTGAAAGTATCAACCGCATAAGCGATATGCATCTACAAGGCTACGCGAAAGGAAGGTCGAACAAGACCTTACATTTCAGGTGACTGCGGCTCTAGAAGCACTCAGCACCTCGTCCCGCATCTCCCAGCCTCCTTCATAACATCATTTCCTTTGACGCTTTCCTGGCTTATCTGCTCGCACTTTTAAGTTCTCATAGTTACAAGAACTCGGATTTATCAAATCGCCTCGATGTGATCATAGTAGGCAGACCACATGCCCACGCTTTCTACTGCGTACCGAAACCCGGAATGGAGTTCGCCGGGATCAACCAGTTCGGCTGTACCGAACGGCTCTGTGACATGGAGTGCCCAAGCTTCAACAGAGACATTGATCAACACTGCGAATCAACGACCTCCTTGGCCTGTCATTGGGGGAGCCATTGTTGGCTCACTCACCGGGACTATTCTTATTGTTGTAATACTCATTCTCTGTTGCTGTCGAAGAGCATCCGATGATACAGACACATGGAGCCCATCTACTAGTACCACCGGCTCACCAAAACAAGCACTCCCGTACATATCTCCAGCACCAGGCCATACTCGGCGTCCTCCACGAAGACATTCAACCTCAACACCTAAAGTAACTCGAGTGACCCAACCGCCGCCGCAACCTCCACCTCCTCCACCTCCTCCTCCACCTCCTCCTCCCTCTGCCCCATCTCTCCTTCCATGGTCTGGTCAATCACCACCGCCGCCGCCGCCACCCCCCTCTGCTCCTCTTAATCCTTCCCTACCTCTTCCACCTCCTCCACCTCCCCCTCCCCCTACAGGATTTCCATGGAACCCTTTCAGGTCAACTACCAATATAGCTACAGATTCCCAGTCCAAGGTTCACGTTAGGCCGGATCCTGGTTCGAGTACAGCTAAAGGGAAACAACCAGTACCGCAACCAGAACCGCAACCAGAACCGCAACCAGAACCGCAACCAGAACCGCAACCAGAACCGCAACCAGAACCGCAATCAGAACCGCAGCCAGAACCGCAACCAGAACCGCAACCAGACGGCAATACCTTGGGTTCATCTCAAACAGCTCAGGGCCACGGAGTTTCACAAACACCCGAACAGATCGAGCACCCGGGTCCTGCACAGGATTCTCAGAAGAAACCACATAATGATTCTCAAGGCGTGGTACCTAACGATCTTCAAGATGCAGCACTCGATAACTCTCAAGGTGAGCCACCTGATGACTCTCAAGGAAAGCCGCCTGATGATTCTCAAGGGAAGCCGCCTGATGATTCTCAAGGGAAGCCACCTGATGATTCTGAAGGCGCGGCGCCTAATGGCGTTCAGGATACGACACTCAATGATCATCATCCGGCTCAGTCAGAATCACCGCAACCGCAGACCAAACCTCCTAAAACATCAAGTAGCAAACAACGTCCGCCATCACAACCAAGTGTAATTCAACTCGCTAGGAAATACAACAATCAACCACCATACCAATCAATAGCCAGCACACATGTCATGCAGCCGCAGAATCCCAACTCATACTCTAGTTATCAGTACCCCCAAATACCCGGAAATTCTGCGCCAGTGAACCACACGCCTGCTACGAGCATACACCCTAGCAGTCCACCACCACTGCGGCGAGCATCAACCATACAGATTCCTTCGGTATACAGTACTAATAATGCATATGGCCAGCCTCCACCTCAACCGGCTCCAGCAGCACACTTACATAACGCACATTCTTCATCTGCACCTTTTACTATTCAAGGAGGCTCAAATCCACGACTGCCACCACCCCGAGCTAACACCATTCAAATTCCATCTACGCAACATCAAGTTCGCTATCAGCAGCCAATTCACCCCGGAACCGGTCAGGGATTAGACGCGCATACTGAATTCCAAATTCACCATCTGCCTGAAGAGTATGGAGATGGTCCACCGATAATTTCGCATGCACCACGACGCCGTGAAACGTTCACACCTGGTGCAAAGATACTGCCCCAGAAGAAACTGCGCATTGGCCAGACCAAAATAAAGATAATCCCTCCAATTTCCAGTATTCCAGGAGGGAAAGGCTGGGGAGCTAAAGGCCTAATCGTACCAGCAGCCAAAAAAACAAAACCCGCAAGACGTCACGCAATGTCTGCAGACTCAACTTCATCGCAATCAACCGGTTCCGTCGTTGGCGCTGTTCCTCCACAGGTATGAACTATGAAGTGACCTTTCGTCATCTATTCAACTATACTAACAATCCGTTGAGGCATATCAGTAGTGAAAACTTCGTGTATATGCGGGGACTGCCTTTCTAGTACCCCAGAAGTTATAAATGTGCTTTGCATGTGGAAGATATACCCCAGTACCTTTTCTCGACTATCTAAGTTTCACACGCGAACTTTTATCTCGACGTCTCTCTTGTTCATGGTCTTGTCATCTTACTCAAAGGTTGTGCATAGAAATAATTTATTGAGTATAGCAAGATATTGTAGATAGTAGCATCTGACTTCAAGATACCCGTAATTCTGACGTCTACATCTTCTCCAATGACACACTAGAATCCATCTAACTCGGGCATAACACAAACACACTCTTCTTCGTCCCCATCGTCAGTCTCCGTGATGCATTCTTGCGCTGCTAATCCAAAGTTCTCGCCATCCTCATCCAACAAATCGTTATCAACTTCAATGGTTTCACCAGTCCCAACATCTACCTTTTCATCCCCATAGCCGAACTTTGCGCCTTTGTCAAATGGCTTGTCAGATTTCACAGTTCCTTTCCTGCTAATCTTGATCTCACGAATTCTGAACGCAAAGACATAGTCCTCGTCGCGGATTGAAGACTCTCTCACAAACTCTCTTCTCTTGATCTCGGCCTCTGGGCCTGCACTCACAGGAATGCCCGTCCAAGCCGACGCGTCGACACCAGCATGAATATAAACACCGCTTTCCTCGAGCGACTCGCGGAAGGCAGTGCTACACGACGCAATCATCACCCCCGTGATCATGTATATCTTACTAGTAAACCGGTTGTTGACAACATACGACATAACCTCCTCGCTCGCAACACTTTCTTCGATGAACGACCTCGATGGCACGAAGCTCATAGTGCACATGTTCTGCGCCTGCCAATGCTGCCGCAGATTGCGATCTACCTGTATCCCAACGTCAACGCCAACACTCAGAATCATCTCGAGAAACGACGTCCATATTCCGAATCTTGTGGACGACTTTGAGACGTGCGAGCCGGTCCAGTTTCGCTCGTTGAACGAGGTTACGTCGGAGATTTTGGGGATCCCGGGTGTGAAGAGAGGTTCGTCTGGAACGTTGTGGGATTGAATGATGGCTCCGAGGCGGATTGGACCTTCTGGTGGGTAGGGGCGTGGTGGAGTGAGGAAGTAGGTTGGCTTTGGCTTTGACATTTTGAGGGACGCAGTAGATGTTTTTCAGCCTGATGTGATGTTCTATTGGTTTGGCTCCAAGATGTTGCTCGGTTTCTCTTCAAAGATGAAGGTTTTCTATGAATGATATTGGTAATTGATAGTTCCTGAATCTGAAGATAAACTGATCGAAAAGGATCTAGATTTTGTTGTTGGATGATGGCATTCACAAAGATCAAGACACTGCTCGTTGGCGGGACGGGCTAGATAGTGGAGGGTGAGCAGGGTGGGGTATCATCCTTCATGCGGTTGATGCATGGGTGAAGCGAGAGCTGAGCTTCATTCAGCTCGCTGGGCTCAGAATGCATGTCAGCCTGATCGGCATCAAATCATGGACTTTTCGTCGGCGAGCGTGAATCTATTGGGTCATTGGAAGCATCTGATATAATGCTTTAATAAATTGCTATCACGATTGCGTGTCGTAACCATTCGAACAATTGTAAACGTGCAACGATCGGCATACTCGTGTATCGTATAGTCGAAGTGGGTTCGCTAACATTATATTTTCCAAACTCAAAGAGGTCTAACACTAATCAGCATGTCTAAAACATGGAAACCAGGCATTTGAGGTCAACAAAGATTATCATGGTACAACCATTTTGAATTGAGGTTCCAATAAGAATAGACCCTGATTTATAGTGACGCACGGATCCGAAAGGGTCGGCAAAACCTTCCGTCGCCGCCAACCTCAAAGGCGCATTCAGGAAACCAGTGTTCAGAGCTCAACCTTTCAAGCTCCACCAATATCGCCCAAGATGCAACTGACGGAAGACAACATATACCGGAGCTCCTCCCAGTTCCGAAACTGGTCCTTCACGCCCGCCAAACTCGCTGCGCAGCGCCAGACAACAAATATTCAAGCCAGCGAGCGCGTCAAGGCAGCTTTCGCACGTCAGCGCGCGCAACGCGCCCGACAGCCCGACACAGCGAGCGCAAGTGAGAGCGAAAGGGGCAATGGCTCTGGTATTGATACTGGCTCGAACACGCCAATACCGGTCACAAATCCTGCCGATGTGAATTGTCTTACCGTGGCGGAGGAGATGAAGCTGGTGGATTCGTTCTGTGAGCGTACATTGGAGTTGGGGAAATTCCTCAAGTTTCCTATTGAAGTAACGGTACGTATTCCTCGTTCATTTTTTTAAAGGAAAAATACTCACGAATTTGACAGGCTACAGCTATCCAGTTCTTACGGCGCTTCTATCTAGTCAACTCCCCTATGACGTACGAACCACAAACGATATCCCGAAGCACCATGTACCTCTCTACCAAAGTGGAATGCCATCACCGTCCGGCCGCAGACTATGCTGCAATGCTCACAAAAACCACTCCTGAATCAGTCATTGCGCCCGAATACCTTATCGTACAAGGTCTGCGCTTCACATTCGACGTCAAGCATCCCTTCCGCGGTCTAAAAGGAGGCCACCTCGAGCTCATGGAAATGGCGCGCGGAAACGCCGCACCTACACCTCACAATACGCAGACTCCAGCCGAGCTCCAGAAAGCCATGCAAGCGCTCCCCAAGAAGGCCGGCGAGCCTCCATCGCATCTCAGCGCCGCAGATCTAGAAAAGCGTATAACGCACGCATACACTCTGGCTTCGGACACATTGAAGTCAGTTGCTCTATTAACAGATGCATACTTCCTGTACACGCCCTCGCAAATCTGGCTCGCGGCACATCTCCTCGCCGACGAACCTCTCACTGCCTTCTACCTCTCCACAAAGATCCCAACATCCTCCCCCATGTACCCCAAACTCCTCTCCCGACTCAACGCTTGCGCCGAGCTTCTTTCATCGCATCGCAAGTTCGCGTCGCAAGGGACATCAGAAGAAGAGAAAAAGGCGCGCGAGGAGCGCGACAAGAAAGAGGTCTCCGCTCTGATGAAGAAGTTAAAGCAATGTAGAGATCCTGACAAGCTCGATCTCGTCAAGTTGAACCAGGCACAGAAGCGGGACGCACTGAACGCAGACGGGCAGTTGGAAGAAAGCAAGGCGAAGAGGAGGAAGATGGATCGAGACGCGCTAAAGAAAGAGGAGGGCGATTTCTGGGGCCCGGAGCTTCCATCAAGGAATGGCGAAAAGGCGTGAGACGTGGAGCAGAATATAAATGCTTTGGATGTGTAGGATATAGATTTACATTAGCATTGCGTGGTGTTTAGGATTTTAGGTGCTTTGTATGGAATATTGGGACACCTAGTATTGGCGTCCTGCGGGATTAGAACTGGTTCACAGAGCAAATTTGAAATTTGGTGCAGTATACGAAGATACATTTTTCAGAATCATGATTGTTTGAATTGTATTATACACCAAAGCCATTATAATCTCCGTCCACTAAGATATTCGGAATGCCTTGCAATTCTCCGCATGGCAATTCGATGTCACCACGATACGGAAATGCTCAGTGCACTAACGACTTAGTAGAACGGATTGAAAGATCGTAGAAGCATCATATGAAGGGCGAAAATAGGCCGACACATGGTCAGGAATGGCCCATAATCAGCCTCGCAAGGATGTGTACTCCAATTCAGCAAAAAAGCTGAACACTGGCACTTAATCCGCGAGACCACCTCTGAACATTCTACTTGTCCGCCTGAGTTCCCTTCTTGGGGCCCAGCTTGGAATTTCCCAAGGAGGGCACATCCTGGCGAGACTGCATCTGTCCGGTGGAAGGAGAGTTGCTTGTAGCGACGAACAACTCCTCATCATCGGCACGGTTTCCAGTCTGGACGCGTCGATCCGGAAGGAAAACACCGGCGCTCCCATCCCTATTATGATTTCTTCCGTGCTCAGACTGGCCTTCAGCGGGGGAAGACATGCGGGAAGCATAACTGCCATCGTACCCACCGAATCGAGAACCGGACCTTCGAGCCCACTGAGAGCGACTGTCACCACGGGAGTCTCTGTCCCGACCGCGGGGGATCTCAGGGCGGCGGAAAGGTGACTCGTTGCCGTTACTGCTGTCAGAGTCGAAAGGTTGGCCTTGGACTTCGCGGATCTCGCCATGGATTTGCTTGAGCTGGCTCTTGAGAAGTTCCTTCATGTCTTCGTCTCTGGGAATCGGGGTGTCTCGTGAAGCAGCGCCGGATCCAGTTATCTTGGTTGCCCTATTCTTCTGGGTGGTCGGCTTGGTCGAGCTCATTGATTCATCGGATGGCAAGTGTTGAGACGTAGTATGACCAAAGTACGTTTGCTGGACAGATTTGTGTAGCTCAGATGCCAATGATGCGATTGGGCGCATTTCGCTTGTACCGCTACGTACGGTATAGGGCGTGGAGCGGAACTGATGTTGAGCTCGGCCGGATGGTTGCGATCCACCTTCAGCTGGCAAACCTTCAGACATGGAGCTGGCCTGTCCTTGCATATACTCCTGCCTGAGGTCTCCTACCTGAGCCTGCCTACCGAGAGTGGCAGTCTCTTTTTCTTTGCCCTGTTGCATATATGGATGTGCAGGAGCTACGTAACCTCCAACCTGGTTGTTGTGTTGATCATCCTGGTTTGATTGTTGCGTATCACTGGATTCTCCTGGTGATGCCTGATTGCCCTCGGGTGCTGGGCTCTGCTCAATCTTGACCTTGGTATACTTGCTCTCCATTTCCAGTAGGACCCTGTGGAGGTCCATGATTGTCGTATGAAGAGCCGGAAACTCGGTTCCAATGCTCTGGAAAACTGAAACCACGTTCCAAGCAGCGGTGAGAACAGGATCAATGTCCGGAAATGCAATCTTGGCGACTGCATTGAACAGTTCTGCCTTGGTGCCCTCTGGGATCTTGTCGAAAGCCGCGTTCTTCACGGAGTCGGGGATTGAGGCAATACCGATCTTCTTGCGCTTGTTCGCTGGGTGTTTGATGACATCTCCGGGTCCTTCTCGCTTTTTGTTGTTTGCGTCTTGAATGTTCTTAGCACAACATTGAGTAAGTCGTTAACCATATCACTTACCATCAGAAGAATGACCATCGGTCTTTCGCTGCGCCTGTTGTAACTTCATGATAGTCTGTGTTTTGAGTGAGTGATTAGAAGGATATGACTGAAAGGGTGGCAGCCCTCAATCGACATGAAAAAGAAAAGGAAATTCACCGCATTCTTACCTCGCCATATGGAAAGATCTCTCTCTGCATGTTAGCTGCATGATGCGCAACCGATCTGGCTTCATTGACCTGACGAGCATGTAGCTGGATGGCCTCGTACTTCTGCTTCCAGAGCTCAAACAGATGCACGAAGACTGAATCTAGGATGACGGCAGTGAGGAGATCACCAGGATCCCTAGGAAGAGGTTCCTTGACGTGCGCCTCGGCGTGGCCATTCTCGATGGTGACCCAGACATGGTGTACACCACCTCCCGCCTCCTCACACAATGACACATTACCGAAGTCATATCGATTGGCGTCCTCTTTGATGATGACAGTTGCAAGTGGTGGTTGTACCTTACCATCGATGATTTGGTAGATGGGTGGCTCGCGATTCGCGATGCCACTCAAGAACATATCCAAGTGAGTCGGTTCAACATTCTTGAGTTCTTCCTTCATAGTCTGGGTTCGCAACTGAGCCCGGTTGAAGTGGGCTTTGTCGGCCATGGCGAAGACGTCGAAGTGTTTGGGTAGAACAACGATCGAGGGTGGCCGTCGAGAAGCGAGTGCGAGAAGCAAGCGATGTATACGCACAAGCTTCACGTAGAAGCGCCGCCGGCACGTAAAGTGGAAAAGATCAAGCAAAGTAACGCGTTGCCAGACTACTTTGTACGGCAAGATGGTGTCTGGATGATTTCGGGAAGAGGGTGGGGCAGAAGGAGGGCTTATATAGGGAGAGGTGAGAGAAATTGGCCACCAAGCATGTCAAAACAAACAAACCCTTACGCGTCATAGGTAAAGGTAGGACACCTTTTCCATGTGAGGTGATTCCAAGGGCGCGTCAGAAGTCCAGTCGGCAGTCCAATGGATGTATGCATGGCATTCATGTGAACTTCACTTGGTTTGGCAGATGTTCGGTGGGTATATATTGGTTACTGAAGGCGCAAACTCAATGTCATGTTGACATATGGCAGGAAGTAAACAATAGCAAAAAAACATGATCATCTTGAATCCGTGGCCACATTCGTCTGAACAAAACCGAGGACCTCGTAGACCAGAACTAGCAGAGAGTCGAATTATCAGAGGTTTGAGCTTGTGCGAATAGTAAGTCAAGTAAGGAAACACGAATAGAAGGGAACAAAGCGATTGAGTCCTGTTGTTCACTTGTCTGCCCATAAGTTGATCACGAAATGATATTGGGCATGTATTTCGGTATTATTCGGATCCACCTCCTACTGATACAGATCGCTACTCTATTGGACCAGCGGTACGGCTCTTGTAGAAGACTACAAGTAGAGACCTTCTGGCTCACCCTCGCTCTTTGTCTTGAGCACTCTTTCTCTGGCAGCCCGGAAATCATCCATCTGCACCCTCATACGGCGCTCTCGCAGGGCCATGAGACCTGCTTCGGAGCAGATAGCCTTGATGTCAGCACCAGATAGGTCGTCCTTTTGGCTGATGAATTCATCAAGATCAACATCCTCGTTCAAAGACATCTTGGATGTGTGGAGTGTAAAGATCTTCTTCTTGGTCGATTCTAGACTAGGGTTAGCATTCACATGGCACGATATTGAAACTTGGGATAAACTCACGGTCTGGGTTCTCGAAGAGAATCTTTCTGTCAATTCGACCAGGTCGAATCAGGGCAGGATCAAGAGTATCGATCTTGTTCGTAGCCATGATGACCTTTACGTCGCCACGGTCATCGAATCCATCAAGCTGGTTGAGCAATTCCAACATGGTCCGCTGAATCTCACGTTCTCCACCGGATGTTGATTCATAGCGCTTCGTACCGATAGCGTCAATCTCGTCGATGAAAACAATAGAAGGAGCATGCTCTGCGGCAACCTGGAAGAGCTGTCGGACAAGTCGAGGACCATCACCAAGATATTTCTGAATCAACTCGCTACCAACGATTCTCAAGAAAGTAGCACTGGTCTGGTTGGCGACGGCCTTGGCGAGAAGTGTCTTTCCTGTACCTGGGGCACCGTAAAGAATGACACCCTTCGGGGGCTTGATACCCATTTCCTCGTACAGCTCTGGATGTAAAAGGGGAAGCTCCACAGCTTCTCGCACTTCTTGAATCTGTTGCTCTAGACCACCAATGTCGGCGTATGATTCCGTGGGTGCCTTGTCCAATTTCATCACGGAGACGAGCGGGTCTGAGTCCTCTGTCAATACACCCACAACCGACACCGACTTATGGTGCAGCAGGATGCTTGCTCCGGGCTCAAGCAAGTCCTTATCAACGAAAGACATGATAGAGACATAGTATTCGGGGCCGGTGGCGCTGGAGACGATAGCGTGGTCGTCGTCGATGAGCTCCTCCAGGTTTCCAACTCCCATGGGGCTGCCTCTCATATCATCCACCCGTGACCTCTCATCGGCGTTCCGGTCGATCGCATCCGAATCCCCTCCGGCGCTTGCGGGTGCGGAGGCGTTGGTGGCTTTGGCCTTGCGGAGTCGCTCCTGATTCTCTACGTATTCCTCCTCCAATAACAGATGGTCGTGAATGCGCTGCATTCGTAGATATCGGAGCTTGCATCGTGCGGTAGGATAGACGGTGGGAAGCTTTGCGGCAGCACTGGGGCCGGCAGCCTTTCTCTTCTTGCGTCCGATGCGGGTTGTGGGCTGCGGCGGAGGCTCGTACTTGGGCTTATCCTTCTGTGGGCGGCGTCAGTAATGTTATCATGAGTGAAGCGGTACAGTATCGTCTGGGATCAAGTGCTCCGACAGATACAAAGTTGTTAACATCAACGTACCTTATCCTTCTTATCTTTGTCGCCTCCTGGAGGGCCTCCACCAGCGCTGGACTGCTGGTTACCCTGTTGGATTGTTAGTAGGTGGCTTCGGGGGTTTCACGATTTGGTAAGCTCACCATAACGACGCGCTGTTATACGGCTGTATCTGCAAGTCAATATGGTGGATATTTTCCCGGTTTCGAGTGGAAATACCAATCAATCAGAAGACACTGATGACTTTGGTGAAGTGGTAGCGATGGTGAGGGTGGAGGTGGTTGATTGTTTGTAAGGATGATGGCGTCGGCGAGCTGGTTCGAACAGTCGGAGGTGCTGGGGAGCCAAGACCCGACCTCAGATGGAAGTAAGTGCTGGAAAGGGTTGGAATGGGTGTGGCGCTGGGAGCACGTGATCATGCGTTAGGTGAACTGTACCAGTGGTGCCTCGAGCGCTTCCGCCTCACATTGTCCACAGAGCGAGAGACACGTCGAGCAACCGTTGGCTGTCTAAAACATATACCCTGTGCGATACATCCTTTATCTAGAGCTCTTTCCTTGCCCAAATTCCTCAACTTTCTACCTCTACTACGACTGTGACCTCATTGCCCCACCACCAAGGCAAGCTCCCCGCAGGCAGTCCGTACCTAGAGGTACTCATCATCTACATCCTCTCTTAATTACGTCCAAGACAATCAGGTACATATTATTTTGCTGTCAAGTCATGTCTTACAGCTCGTCCATCTCCGCAAGATCCAGATTCAGACGAGAGTGGAAATGTCCTACATTTTGATGCACTGTTTGAGTCAGGCTTGATACTTGTTTGAGCCTCAGGCTGACATTGCACAACGCGAACAGACTCATACCGGATCTGCTGCCTGCGCCTTAAAGCGAGCCGCCGAGCCTCCATCCCTCCGTTTCTCCCACATTCCTTCCCACGGCACTTCTGTTGAATCGATCACAACCATCATGGCCTCCAACCGTGCCAGGCGCATTGCAAAAGAGATTGCCGATATCAAGGCCGACGTACACTCCCACATCGTCGTGGACCCAGCGGGGAATGGCGATGATCTCACACACCTTCGGGGCCAGTTCAACGGCCCTCCAGACACACCCTACGAAGGCGGCACATTCTTCGTCGACATCAAGATCCCCAGCGAATACCCCTTCCGACCGCCGAACATGAAGTTCGAAACCAAGATCTGGCACCCCAACGTCAGCTCTCAGACCGGAGCAATCTGCTTGGATACACTCTCTTCGCAATGGTCTCCGGTGCTCACAATCAAATCCGCCCTCATATCTCTCCAGTCTCTCCTCAGCACACCCGAGCCGAAGGATCCCCAAGATGCAGAGGTTGCCGGCATGATGATCAGGAATCCTGCTGAGTTTGAGCATGTTGCTCGTGACTGGTCGGTCAAATACGCTGGCGCGCCAAAGAAGGAGGTCGCAGAAGGCAGTGGAGGCGCCACTGCGGAGTCCATCAAGCGAAAGGCTCAACAGGCGAAGGATAATGAGGAGAAGGTCAAACTAGCTGCGTATGTTATGCTCGTCCCCATGGCAATATATTCAACTAACACTTCTATAGGTACCACGGATACAACAAGGATCTCATAGACCGTTTCGTCGCTATGGGTTTCGACGTAGAAAGCGTAGTCTCCGCGTTTGAATACGTCGGCATTGACAAGATGAACGGTGACGACTACGAGCTTGAGGAGGCATACATGGGTGACATCACCGCTCGTCTATTCGGCGAGGCGTAGATCGAATACGCCCTTCAATGACCATTCCATATGCCGCGCAATACTATCTAATACCCGTTTCTTACAATTAGAGTATCTAAGAATACCGACGATTCATGTTACTTCACCTCACTTCAAGTGCTAAAGAGCAACTACACTGCTGACGGGGGATTTCTGGCGTTCCTCTTTCTTCTCCTCTTTCCCTCCCAACCATTGAACAACTTCAGCCACCCTTTCTCATGTTCACGGCGTCATGATTTCGGGCATTTTCCCTTCCCCCTCTCTTGTGTCTGTCTGTCTGTCTGCAAAAGACTTTCTTCCTCTCCTTTCTCCCTTTCCACCTTCCACCTTTCCCTCTATTTGGTACCTTTGCCATGTCAGTTTCTTGTATCTCCGGAACCAGAGGGGAGGAGTCGTGTTAGCATGGATTAAACAAGTACCAACAACAGCGAAATAGCAACCTCGAAAAGAAAAACTTAGTGACACATCCACCTTTATTAGTCTTTTTTGTGAGGAATTAGTAAATCAACCACCCGCCACCCTCGCTCCCTACCCGCAACCCTAGCATATATAACCAATATCTTCAAGCCTACAAGCTGTGTATCCTACTTCGTAGCTCTTATATTCGTGTATACAAGCGACGCGGCGGCCACGTGAGACCATATAGCCTGGGACGTTGCCACGAGGGCACTTATATTTGCGCGATTGGTGAGAGAGAGGGGGGGGGGACAATACCAAGAGGAGGTACCGAGGTAGGATAGATGATCAGTCTTATACGAATGTGTATGTACGAGCCATGGCGCTGTGGTTCTCCGGAGTGGTTCTCGCTCCGGTTTTTGGAGTGACCGGCCGGTGAGTGGAACGGGAGAAAGGGGAATGGGGTACATTTCATATTTGACTTTCATAGGGAGAGAAGCAAGTTCCTAGTAACAGTGATATATGCGATGATATTTTATCAAGATGGTGCTAGCTTATAACTATATGAGTATTGATCATGCCGAATGAACGGTTTTTAAATGAGACGCGCGTGGGTAGGTTTTAATTTACAACTTGCTCGACTCGCCGGACTTCCTGTTCAAGTGGAGGATGTCGTCGGTCGAGACGCCGTACTTCCTGCAGAGCTCCTGGCCCTTCTTGGTCTGTGCCTCGATCCTCGACTTGTGCGCGGGGCCACGCTTGTTCTCGTTGCGGCCGAGCTGGAGGAGATGCACCTCGTCGGGTCCGTCGACGATGCGCATGGTGCGGCCGCTGGCGTACATGCTGGCCAAGGGGGTGTCCTGGCTGACGCCGGCGCCACCGTAGGCCTGGATGGCGCGGTCGATGACGGTGAGGTTGACCTCGGGGACGAGGACCTTGACCTCTGCGATCTCCTTGAGGGCGCCCTTTGCGGTGGACTCGTCGATCTTGATGGCGGCGTTGAGGACGGCGAGGCGGGCGGCGTCGATTTCTATCCGCGAGCGGGCAACGCGCTCGAGCATCACGCCGTGCTTGTGGAGTTGCTCGCCGAAGGGCTTCTTGGCTGGGTCGTTCAGACGGGCGAGGAACCATTCGAGAGCCTTCTCGGCGGCGCCGATGCTCCTCATGGCGTGGTGGATACGTCCGGGTCCGAGACGTCCCTGGATGATTTCGAAGCCGCGGCCCTCACCGAGGACCATGTTACCGGCCGGAACACGGACGTTCTCGAAGGTGATGTGACCGTGTCCGTGGGGAGCGTCGTCGTAGCCGAAGACGGAGAGCATGCGGTGGATGGTGATGCCTGGGGCGTTGTGGGGGACGAGGATGACGGATTGTTGCTTGTACTTGTCTGGGTTGTTCTTGTCGGTCTTTCCAAGGACAATGTAGATTTCGCAGCGAGGGTCTCCAGCGCCGGATGACCACCATTTCTGTCGGTATTGTTAGTCGGGACATGTAGTTTTTGAGATTGGCAGAGTGAACATACCTGGCCGTTGAGGACGTAGGAGTCGCCATCACGAGTAATGGTCATCTCGATGTTGGTAGCATCTGAAGAAGCGACCTGAGGCTCAGTCATGAGGAAAGCAGATCGGATCTTTCCTTCAAGCAGAGGGTCGAGCCACCTGCGCTTCTGCTGTTCGTTGCCATATTTGGCGAGGACCTCCATGTTGCCAGTATCAGGGGCAGCGCAGTTGGTAGCCTGGATTTCATATTAGCGTTTGTTACATGATCAATTCTACTGGGGATGCCCCAGGTGTCCAATGGATTCATACCTCACTAGCGGTCCGGCTCTTGCCCAAGTATTCAGCCATCAAGCCATACTCCAAGTTAGAGAAGCCAGCCCCCTCCTTGAAATGAGCCTTGGGAAGGAACATATTCCATAGACCAAGTTTCCTGGCCTTCTCCTTGAGTTCCTCAATCATTTGTGGATGGGCAGAGAAGCGCTCTTCTGTGGTCTTGCCAATCTGGCGTAGATAGACGGCATCGGCGGGGATACATTCCTCCTCGACGAATTTCTCGACCTATGTAAAGGTTAGCCATGGCCATGGTGTTAATTGTCTGTGTGAACCATACAATGTCGAGTGTCTTTGCAGCTCGTTCACTCACGAACGGCCGTGCGATGGGCGGGATTCGCTGCGAGGCCGAGATATGGCCGTTATGGCTGTTGATGAGGAGTTCAGACATGATGGGAGAGGATTGTGATGCAAGGGAAAGATGAGGAGAAAAATTTCAGAAAGAAAGTCAGTGAAGGAGAGGGAAAGGGAATAAGAGAGAGAAATCTGGGGTAATGATTCTGGGGGAGAGGCGAGTCGGGCATAGCGACTACCTATGAGATAAGTCGGTCGGATGTTGGAGCTTAGCTTGTTCCCCCCCGCCAGCAACATAGCGAAAGTTGCCTCGGCTGTTCCGCTCAGCCCTTCCGCTAACATACCAGATATCGTTCGACCTGAGCGACGATTGTTTCGGATATCCCCTCAAAGGGTACTCATTAGTTTCCGAGAGATGTGCATTGCCGGTCATCTACATCTTTTCGCCTCGGACCCTTCTTGCCTTTGTTATTGTCATATCATCAAAACATGAGTTGACAGCTACCCTAGGATGATTGATGATCCATGCATTACGCCGTAGCTTTCAGTTCCGCATTGGCAGTCTACTATGAGTAAATTACTCGAAGCAAGGCAATAATATCACTTGCACCATCGATTATTAGTCAATTAAGACAATTTTGAGAAACATCTACGCGCAACTCCCCTTGAACATTGGAGGTCAATCTGCCAAGCAAATTCCGTGGAACAACTATTCCGTACTTCAACCAAATCTACATGTAGACATGATAAACATCTTCACTTGGTATAATTATCATTGGTTATTGGTTTTGCCACTCACATCATGATGAATTGCGCCCTTATGCTCTTATATCATAGCGATCGGAGGGAGATTTTATTCAAAACCAAAGACTGAGGCGTGATTGGCTAAGAGTGATTCCGATTCCATTCGGACAATATTTCCGTAGAAGACGTCCAGAAACTCGTGGGCTGCTGAATTACCATCTCGAACGACTTGCAGTCTGATAATTGATAGACTCAAGGACCGAGATATTAATTCATGCCTTGAATTCTAGAAACCCAGATATATATGTCATACAAGGAGGAAAAGCTTCCAGAACAGAACGTGTGAACGTATGGTCCAAGCTCCATCCCCAAGTTGAGCCCCATGCCGAGAATACAGATACAAAGCAGGTGGAATTGCGACATCGCCAGGGCTTCGCTTCTCCAACATCATGCCACCCGACAGTCGAGGCGGCTCTAAGCCTGCAGGATTCCAATCTAGATCGACACCGAACCTTCCAACGCTACAATCGCTACAAACACGCACTTCCAATACACGCAACGGTCCCCCCGCGTCCACATCTGCTACCAGCCCACTGTCAAACGATGGCGTTGCATCCCCGTCTGAAGTCGCGTCCGCTGAGGACAACCAGGATGAGGAGGATGGAGTTCTCACATTTGACGGTGCAGACGATACCGAGTCGGACGACGCAGAAGACCCTCCACCAACCGCCCGACCATTGTACACCTCCAAATCGCACACCCAACTCCCTCCACATACCTCCAGTAACCTATTCCCACCGTTCTACAATAGACCACCGACCCCTCTGCCTCCTTCGCCGTCGCTGACATCGCTTCTTCGACCCTCGTTCAGTACGACGACCTCACGGCCGACGACTCCAGAATCGTCCGATGTAGAGCTACCCACACGCACAAACACAAATGGCACAAGCATAAGCACCCCAGGGTCGTCGGTCAATCTTGCAAGCATCACCAAGTCTGCGCGGCATGCGCCAGCCGTTCCTCGGGCGTCACCCAAGGTTCCGACGTACGAATACTATGGTTTCGCGGTGTATCTAGCCAGCTCTGCTGCGTTCCTCTTATACATTGTCTGGGCCTATGTGCCTTCGCCTTTGCTGCACCAGATGGGCATACACTACTACCCCAATCGATGGTGGGCGCTGGCGGTGCCGTGTTGGCTGGTCGTGCTGGTCATATACATATATGCCGCGCTGGCGAGCTACAACACACGATATCTCACATCTCCGCTGACGAGCTGCGAAAACCTGGTGGACGAGTGCGCACAGATAGCGATTGTCGACAGGCGCACCGGAGAAATTCTGCGCGGACGACAACCGCAAAAGGGAAATCAAGATGGCAGGAAGGATAAGGAAAAGGGCATAGACGGGAAAGGCAGTGGGGCAGCGAGTCGATCTAGCTCGATGTCTATCCAACAGCACCAATTCAGCAAATCCGACCAGGTTGACTGGAATCAACTATGGAGCATGGGCACGGACGCAGTCATGGATATACCGCTTGGTGGGGTGAACGAGATTTTGTATGGCGCCGGCCGGGACCGGGCAGATGTTGGGAGATAGCGACTGCAATACACAACATATCCACATATCCACCACATCCACCACATACATCACGACTCGGTGCTGCAACTCTGCTGGGCTAGAGGCAACCGAGGGGACTGGGCGACAAATCAGCAGCTATGTTTTCATGCTGCATCTGCATCTGCTGTCTACAGTACGAGTAGGTCAATGGATTACGAGGGCATTCCGCCGTCAACCATAATCACGACCACTCTAGCACAAACACTTCGTATTCGGTCCGGAATGATCCCTTTCAGTTCTCTGAACGACGGCATCCAAACCGAGAGATATCCATAAGCCACCGTTGCCATCCTGTGCTTGCTAAGTACCAAAAGCTTGGTCATATATAAGCTCTCCCGAGCTTGAGCCCACGTCCGAATTTTCCGAGCTTTAGGTTAGATCGTAGGCAATGGCTTGCAAAGGCTGCACGCCTTGCAGGTCAAGCTTTCCTGTTGTTGGCATTATCTACGGTCGTGTGCAGGCCAACCTGCAAATAGCTACTGCTACTGCAGAAATCGATTAGCTACCCCGCGACTCCCGCTGCAATCCGGCACTCCCATTGGCTCCGTCGACCTCCACCATTCACGAGCATATCCACTCCCACCAGCCCAGCAACGTATGACCGCTTTCGTTCTTTTCCGTTGACTTCCTACGGTTTGCAATAATAATGCTAATGCTAATCAAGTTGTCAATTGGGAAAGATCCAATGCATTATAAGACCCGGGATCCCAAGCTTTGATAAGACATTGCTTCTTCTTGCTCCTCCTCTTCAGCAATCAACCAAATCGGGCATCTGTTTACGGTGAATTGCAGCCGAAACATCCCCACAACAGCTGTGCGCATATACAAGTCCATTGATTGAACTCCGTCAACATGCAGCACGCCGTTAAGTTGTCCCTCCTCTCCCTTCTCGCTTCGGCTGGAGCCGAGGAGACTGTCCTGGGAGCTTACATCTACCACCGACATGGTGATCGTACTCCCAAGGCTATTTCGCCTGCCCTCCTCACCACATTGGGCTATGAACAAGTCCACGCCTCTGGCCAATACTGGCGTGATCGATACCTTAGTGGCCCTCAGAAGATCTCCGGAGTCAGCGAGGATGTCGTGAAGCTCTCGCAGATAGCCGTCACCGCGTCTGTGAACGATGTATTGCAGAACTCTGCCATGGGTTTCACTCAGGGTCTCTATCCCCCTGTCGGACAGGAAGTGCAGACACTCGCGAATGGCAACAATGTTCAGGCTCCTTTGAACGGCTACCAGCTGATCCCCGTTAACACTATCTCGTCTGGTGCTTCGCCGGAGGCTGCTACATGGTTGCAAGGTGATAGCGACTGCTCCAATGCAAAGATCAGCTCCAACAGCTACTTCGACAGCAAGGAGTACCAGGACCTCTCCGCCAGCACCAAGGACTTCTATGCTTCCTTGAACCCCGTCGTCAACGCCACTCTCCCGGCAACCCAGGTCAACTTCAAAAACGCCTACACCGGTCAGTATATCCCCTCGCGTCCTCCCTACAAACCTCCAACAATCTAACACGAAACACAGTCTACGACCTCATCAACGTAGCCACAATCCACAACCAGACCATCCCCTCCTCCGACCTCCTAACCAACAGCACCCTCCTCCAACTCCACACCCTCGCCAACGCCCACGAATGGGGCCTCGCCTACAACGCCTCCTCCCCTATGCGCGCCGTCTCTGGCATGCAGCTCGCAGGCGAGATCCTAGACTACATGAACTCGACCATCACGTCCGGCCTCAAGGGCTCCACCTCCAACAAGATCGGCGTCCAGTTCGGCGCCTACGCAACCTTTCTGTCCTTCTTTGGCCTCGCCGATCTACCCAAGGCGTCCACCGACTTCACAGGAATCGTCGACTACGCCTCCTCCATGGCCTTCGAGCTCTTCACCACCGCCGACGTCTCTACCTCCAACGGCTTCCCGAAATCCGCAGACGACATCAGCGTCCGCTTCCTCTTCCACAACGGCACCGCGTCCAACACTTCCACCCCCTCCGTCTACCCCCTCTTCGGCGGCTCCGCCACCTCCCTCTCGTGGAAGGACTTCGCATCCTCAATGTCCAAGTTCGCAATCCGCACAAACGAAGAATGGTGCACTGCCTGCGGAAACTCGACCGGTACCTGCGCCGCGTACGCCCCCTCTTCCAACAACGCAAACAGCAACGAAGAGGGCAAGGGCGGCAGCCACATGTCCGCAGCCATCGGCGGCGTCATCGGCGCGTTCGTCACGCTCGCTGTCGTCATGGCCGCCCTCCTCGCCGTCATGCTGATCGGCGGCGTGAGGTTCGCGAGTAAGAAGACGCTCGCGGGTGTGAGGAATGGGTCTGCGGTTGGTGAGGAGGTCAAGACCAAGGCTTGAATACACGCAATATGTAAAATGGCCGAGTTCGAATGTGACAGGGGAAAGAGATGATTGATACACCGTAACTAATTATGATATAACGAAATTGAACACCAGCAATTCTAACGTACATACACATGTCCATCCCCAAAAAAAAAACCCAACGTCACTACCTATCAAACAAAATCTATGAGTCCGATACACAGAACAAATGCAAAAGAGGGAAACCGTACAACAACCATAGTGACCTGGCTACTTCAACATGCGAGCGAATACGTCTACATCTGTCCAGAAAATCTCCTGACCACCTCTTCTCCCTCTTTCTGTGACGGAGACGTAGAGTGGATGGGGGATATCGCGGGGTATGGAGAGCTGTGCGACACTAAGATTCTAGAGTGTGGGGTGAGATGTAACGAGGGATCATGTCATGGTCAGGCCAGGATACTGTATCTTGTCTTGTGTAACACATATAACTGCAAATATAGTGGAATTTTGGTATGACAGAGAGTTTTAATTATAACGTTTGATTTGTGATTTCAAGAAGAGAAGTAATAAAATATACATCCTTTTCTAGGATCTGCTTAACTGCTTATTACTAAGAGGTACATCAGTTAATTCATTCACTATTGGTTTGTTTATATTTATAATGGAGATTCGTTCGACAGTAGGACTTAATCACGTATATTACTGTAAGGTAGCTTCTCCATCTAATAAACAAAGCACTTAACTTCGACATTCACCTTTCCAAGCCCACACATTGATCAAAAACCCCGACATCACCCACCATAGCATACCATCTCCAACTTCGTACCACCTCCATCTCCCCTTGAAAATCAACACTAAAATTTACCAGGCCAACCCTATCCAATCAAGCAAACCACGAGCCCTTCAAGATGCACAAGAAAGGCTTATCACGCCTACCGTTCAGTCAGGGTATGCGGGAAATGGGGACGACGCCCGATTCGCAGGTTCGTGGTGTTGCTTATCTTCACCTACATTGTCGTTGTCTTCGTTTATATTCGCTGGAAAGCCAAGTAGGTATATATGTAATATACTTATGTACAATATCTCCGGAGTACTGTACAGATACTCATACCTTTGATCAGCATGGAAGCAGACGTGATAATCCAGAACAATCCTGGCAACCCCCCCCTCCATCTCACACAAAGCTGAAGAAGTATCAAACCGAGACAGAAAGTGAATGCACATGCCCACACCCAGCATCACCGTTAAAAGAATCCGACTGAATTTCATCTTCGCATACATCATTATCTAAGGAGGAAGTGCGTTTCTACCTCCGCTGGACGCTTCAGCTTGTTAATCGTACCTGTCTTGTCATACTGCTTCACTGTCGTATGTACATACTCTTGTCCTTCCAAGAGAACAACATATCAAAGAGCGATTCATAAACATGCACCCCACCTCTGCCGCACATCTACTAATTCACGTCATGATTGACGCAAAAGAAATCCACACCAACACACATAGACCGACCATAGCAGTAACACGACAGCACACCTCGTTCTGATTCTTCTCACTAAAAGAAGAAAATGGCGTCGCCTCCTGATTTCCCCTCCATTACATTTATCCTCAAACAAATCACATCCCATCAGATAACCACCCCTCCAAGCACCGCGGAGCGGAAGTCGCCTAGCATGCAAGCCTTCAAATGCCGCTGACGGGAAACCCAGCATCTCTTGATTCGACGAGACGAACATGGCGAGAGGAACGGACATGCGCGCCCGCATGCACATTATGCACGACTCCAAAACAAAACACACATGTTAAGAAGATATACCGTACCCGACAGTACGGATCGCGCTATCTACGACCTACCTTTTACCTGGATTTGATATCTCTTGCTTCTTACCACATACATACTCGTACCCTACCTCATGTCATGGAGTATGTGTGTAGAGAGAGCAGCAGCCCCTCTCCAGCACACGCTCACCCCCCGAAGACGTCCGAATATGCACATCCCGGGAGTCTCTCATATGCACGCACGCCGGCTTCCTCTCAGCTACCCACATGCCTCCCTACCTACCAACCATAAAAAAAACCTCACATAAAAAACACGAAAAACCACCCTCCCCCCTTCAGCACCCAACACAACCCTTCCCGTATATTCAAAACCCCCGGGAAACAGAAACCCGCATCTAACCACCCATCGCCCTCATCCACTACCCCTCCCCACTGCACTTCCGCTCCGTAAACACTGTAGCTGAATGCGAAGGGCCAACGTACATACACACCTAGGTACGTTGAGGGATTTAAGATTGGTCGGATCGGGATGTTTGTGAAGGTGTATAATCCGGGGATACCCAATTCGGAAGTCGTAGGTCTGGATATGCTGGGGGACTCGAGGTGCGGGTAGGTGGGTATGAGTGGGTATGGTAGGCTGTGCATGCACAGGAGCCGAGGTGTACATTGTATGTATCGAGGTTGAGGTATATATTTTATATGGTGCGGTGCCTACGGGGTGGGATCTTGGCTGGTCTTGAAATTCAATGCGTAGAATAGAATAGGCATGGAAATACTAGGTTGGAGCGAATGGTTTGTCGGGTGAGGGGAGTTGGATGTTCACATATGTACCTAACGCACACCGCCGACTTTATGAGTACATATATAGGTACGTAAATGTATCAATGTACCTGTAGTATATGAATGGTTTGAGTACATAGGTGCACGGTACATCCCCCTCTATATACTTAAGTACATGCGAACATCAAGCAGACTAGGTTCAAAGAACGAGGCTATTTTCTTCACACGAGGCAAATATACATCATACACATTCGGCATGGCTATCAAATCATCACCTCAACCCAAGCACACAGCATCCCACAACAACAACGACAACACCCATCGCAACTAACCCCAATGACGTCGTCGCGGCCGCCCACCCGCCGTACCTACCTGAGTGACAGACCTTAATAGGTACCCTCGTACCTAATTAAGATAATCGCCGTTACCGCAGAACCACCACGAGGCACTCTCGCGTGTTTGGCTGGGTTGGGTCGTTAGGGTAGCTTAGGTACATAGGTCGGATCATATGTTTGGTATGTGGTCTACTGTCCAGGTGTGGTGTGGTGTAGTGTCGGGTGCTTGAAGGGTCTATGTGGGACTGGGGATGGGGCGGGGAAGGAAGAGGCATGGGAGGGAGTGGGTTGATGATTAATGAGATGCATCGTGGTTTGGTTGTTCAGCTCGGCGGAGCGGGAAGAGACGGGTGACGGGGACAGGACAGGACAGGACAGGACAGGACAGGACAGGACAGGTGACGGATGACGGATGACATAGTTACGGGCGAGTGGAGGGACGATGGATGATGGGAAGGAAGAGGAGTGTGTGAGAGTTGTACCGGTACATTGGCATCCGCTATTGATACAATACATAACTAGTAGGCAGAGGTAGTAGGAGCAACAATTGAATTGGTGGAGGTGACCATGGAGGTGGACAAAGGACGGATGGATTAGGGATGGGGATGGGGATCATTGGGAATCGGGGTACGGGTAACAGCAAGTGATAAAATAATTAACAGGTCACAGGAACATAGGTAGGCACCTTAGTTAACAGATAATAGGTGTATCGCTGGCATCATCGTCGGAATCGTTTCGTCATCATCGTTGTTAACTAACTATGTAGTCGTAAATACTTCGCCCATCAGCCATATTCTCCGATGGTTTTGAATACCTAGGTACTTGTTAACACAGAGTACGCAAGACAGGTCATGAAGCAAGCAGCGCTTGAAACAGGTGATGGATCACGCTGACGGTACAACGGGGATCAAGTGTATGCCTGTTAGTGGTGGGAGGGACTAGTTGTATGTGCATGTGCAGTCGTAAATGCATACCTAGTAGGCAGCAGGCAGGTAGTGGTGATGATAGTGGTGAATGGTGGTGACGGCTTACATTTGGTGGTGGCCATCTACTCGTACACATGTCCTCGCACTTTGTAGGGGCGCAAGCACAATGCTAGAGATGATTATTCGCATTCTCAAGCTCACAACAGAAGGGAAGTAAAATTGGAGGGTTACAACAGGAAAAAAAAAAACAAATCAGCTGCGGCTATGATGATTCAATAGGGGAAAAAATTATTTGATGCCACAAACAGAACATACATGAATGTGGGTGTATATACCTACCTAGGTACATACAATATATCAACACAAAGTCAAGCCCACCTTTTTCTCTACTGACCGTATACCTTTCACAGGCAGTGATCCACACCACACAATAAATGGGTGTGCATCTGTATCTGAATGACCATCGACACGAAGAGCAAGAAAAAAAACCACCCATTTCAATTATCCATCATGCAATTTCCACCATGTTACAGGCCGCGCAGACGGGTAGAAACCCACGAACCCCGTAGAGGATAGCCGTTTGAAAACTGCGAAGAACTAGACCTGCCAGACCTGTTGCCGTTTTTCTCATTTCAGTCGGTGGCCGTCCGTTAGCTCAAATCCCCATTTCACGACGTCTCTCTCCCTGGTTTTTTTTCCCTCTATGGTTCCCGTTTGAAGAAAATCCCTCATAGTAAAAGTGATTGGAAGGAGAGGCACGAGAGGGTAGAAGGGGGACGGCGGGCTGTGCTAGCAGTAGCAGTGCAGCGTTGCTGCATTCCATCCACGGCTAGAAGCTAGAAGCTAGAAGCCTACACGCGAGAGGGTCTGGTCTGTACCCGAGACCTACACAAACTACCACAGTACATCCTAATTACCTTTTTTTTTCTCACTTGCCAGCCAGTGCAGTCCCCACCCCACGGAAGACGTTTGTTGTTATTCAATATTATTGAATTTCTAATCCATTATTATTATTTTCTCTTGTTCCGCGATCGTTGTTGTGTAGTGCCGAGTTGGATTGGTTAACGCCGGGAGTGCCACCCACCACCTCACCATTACCATTACCGTCGTCCGCAGGATCACATCACCATAGGATCACCACTATAGGACAGACCATCACCCGTCAATGACCTTGCATCTTCATGTACCGGGTATCTCGTAGCCAACACGACCTGAAAACGTCCCTTACCATTATTACCAACACGAGAGCACTTTACCTATTCCCCGGGTACTAATTCTCTTCTTTCTACTCTTTTCCACCCTCTCAACTATTAACTATTATTGTTGTATTACCAATCCGATATCTACACCGCACCGCACTGCACCACTTCACTGCGAGTAGATAGGGAGCCGAGACATACACAGTGCAAAGTAGATACTACTGTACCTTGTGATAGTCGCATAATTACTCTGCAGTGCCCGAAAGGGAAGGGAAGAGGGAACAAGCAAGGCGGCCGCTGATCTTTGTTACGGGGTCTTGCCACTGACATCTTCGTCTTACAAGCATCCCAATCATCATCATCAGCATCATCCTCCTCCCATCCTCTCCACACATCCACATCCACATCCACATCCACATCCACGTCCACACTTCGGCATCCGCATCCTCATACGTTGGTCGTCCATCCCATTCCCATTTCCCAGTATCCATTATCCATCCGGGTGGATTGGATTGCCACGAACCCTGCTCAGCCACCCGCGAACCCTGGAATTTCCCTGACTAAAAGCGTGTACCAAGCCAAATACGTCCACGCAAACATTTCTCACATATACACGCCTCTTCTTCTCTTTCATATTACCGCTTGAAGAAAAAACACTACTAGGCGCGTGCTGTATTGCGTAGAGTGTTTGGTATAACTATTGTACGTCGGTTCACGTGTAAGTAAGCATTCCTTGCCATGGCCCTGCCCTGTCCAAGTGTGGCTGAGTCCTCCGCCAAACAGCATTAGTATTGAACTAATAGACTGTAGTTGCGGAGACAGAGACAGAGTGACAGTAAAAGCGACAGTAGTTTGAATAGGAACAGCAGCAAGTGACGACAAACGCAAAAGCAACGGTCGTCCTCGGGTTCCGCGTGCCCGTCGAAAGTGCACAACCTACGAGGTTATTACACTACCACTCCCACCACCACTACGACAGTACCGATACCACGAGTCTCGGTACAGCTAAAAGATTCCAACCTTCTGGACTGTCTAGTATTTACTACCTAGTTATTACCTGGACTGGACTACCTACTTAGAGGTACCAACTACCTAGCAACCTAGAGTAAGTCATTCCCTATTCGTTCGTCTCCCCTAAATCCGCCTACCGATCTGCTCAACCTTCCTTCTTCTTCATTCTACCCTACCAGCCTACTACTACCACTACCACTACCACTACCACTACCACTACCACTACCACTACCACTACCACTACCACTACCACTACCACCACTAAAGGGCCAAATAAAATAATACCTCATAAAACCCGCTTTGGTCGTTGCCCTTTTGTCATCATCCTCTCCCTCCAGCTCCCATCGACTACTCCTCCCTCTTACTTCTCCTCTTTATTACTCTTACTCACACGCACACACACTTGACACTCCGTACCCTCTACCTTGCCCTTACCCTTACCCTTACTCTACTCAAGCCTTGCTCACACAAAACCTAAGCGTTCTCGCCTTCCGCCTGCCACCAACACCGCCGCCTACCACAGCGACCACCACCACCACCACCACCATTTCGACCTACCTACCTCACCACCCACCACAACCACATTTACAATCACAAACCACTGCACTGCGCTACCCATTTCTCTCCCTCTCGCCAGAACATTCTTCGGTTCCAAATCGCCCTCTCCGGCGCCCACCACGGTCATCGTGACTTTTTATAAGAAAGCAGGCCACACCCAGCACACTCTCCCAAACCTCATCTCCACTTCCCACCGCCGACGAACGTACGCCGTTTTGAGAGTTCCTCAATAACAAAATCTGGGCTGCGCCCCAGCCCTCCCTCTTCGACTTCCACTTCGACTTCCACTCTATCACCCTCTCCCTCTACTACTACTACTCTCATCTCAAGCCTAATACGTCGCTCCTCTCGACCTCTACTGTCTGACAAAGTCGACTCTCGTACTCTCCACCACCCGATTTCCGCGCGCACCATACCTACTCGTACCTAGGCCATCCCCACCATCCACCTCCCACCACTCACCACTCGCAACTTCGCGACCATCGCGACCACCACGACGACCACCATGGCTGCCCCGGTCACTACTAATCCACCCGGTGCCGTCACAAAATCTGCAGCCTCGACAAACCCTTCCTCGTCATCCGAGGCTTCCTCATTACACTCCCAGTCCGACACCAACGCTCACCTCGCTCCTCCCTCCACCTCCACCGCCGCCGCTGCTCCCGCCACCAACGGCGCAACCCCCTCTGGCAGCGATGCGCTGCTGAAGCCGAAGAAGCCCACCATGACGTCGCGCATCAGCGGCATGTTCGGTCGCAAAGAAGACTCCAGCAGAGAGTCTTCCCGCGTCAACCTCACCCAGCTCGCCGAGAAGAAGGACGACCAGAAGGCCACGAACGGCGCGACCGCGCGGCCCACTCAACCCTCGCGACAGGCCTCCGTCACCAAAGCGAACGCCGCGTCCACTCCCTACCGAAGATTCTGGACCAACGACGATGCAACGCACGAGCACCACCTCAAGGTCGCAAAGCGACAGGAGAAGCTGTCCGACATGTTCCAGAACCTGATGTTGGGAAAGAAGAAGGAAGGCCACAACGACGAACAGCCTCTGAGTCTCATGTCCAACTGGGTTGACGTCATGCGGAACGAGAAGGAAAAGCTCGCGGAACAGAAGAATTCCGCCAACAACACCTCCCAGACTCTGGTGCAGAAGTATGGCAAGTGCCAAGAGGTCGTCGGTCGCGGTGCCTTTGGTATCGTGCGTGTCGCGCACAAGACGGACGCCAAGGACCCTAAGAGGGAGCAATTGTACGCCGTCAAGGAGTTCAAGCAGCGACCCGGCGAGTCCGCGAAGAAGTACCAGAAGCGCCTCACGGCCGAGTTCTGCATTTCTTCGTCCATGCAGCACCCCAACGTCATCAACACTCTGGATCTCCTGCAGGACGACAAGGGTGTCTACTGCGAGGTCATGGAGTACTGTTCCGGTGGCGATCTCTACACTCTCGTCCTCGCCGCGGGCCAGCTCGAAGTGGTCGAGGCCGACTGCTTCTTCAAGCAGCTCATGCGAGGCGTCGAGTACATGCATGAGATGGGTGTCGCGCATCGCGATCTGAAGCCCGAGAATCTGCTCCTCACCCAGCACGGATCCATCAAGATCACCGATTTCGGTAATGGAGAGTGCTTCCGCATGGCGTGGGAGAAGGAAGCTCACATGACCGCTGGCCTCTGTGGTTCCGCTCCGTACATCGCTCCCGAGGAGTATGTCGACAAGGAGTTCGACCCCCGTGCGGTAGACGTGTGGGCTTGCGGTATCATCTACATGGCCATGCGAACTGGCCGCCATCTCTGGCGCGTCGCCCAGAAGGGCGAGGATGAATTCTTCGATCGGTACCTGGAGGACCGCAAAGAAGAAGCCGGCTACAGGCCGATCGAGGTTTTGAGAAGGGTTGGTTTCCCCGAGACCCCATCGATATTTGAATTAACACGAGGACAGCGCCAATGCCGTAATGTGATCTATTCGATATTGGACCCCAACCCTACTCGCCGCCTCACGGCCCACCAAGTTCTCTTCTCGGAATGGGTCAAGGAGATCAAGGTCTGCCGCGCGGGCGACGAAGGATTCTAGAGCTGGTCTCGTAGCACCGGTTGAGAATTTGCGACGCCATCTCCCCAATATGCATGGTAATCGTTCTTAACAAGACCGACCGAACAACCAACCACTATCTACGTATCCTACCCCCCGAGTAGATCTGGGGCCGACTGGATGCTTCCGAACGAACCGGCTCGTCATTATGTCTCTCTCGTTTACGAATTTCCCTTCGAATAAGCGCAGACTAGTTCTAGCGACACATACCCCTCGGTGCATGATACCTCAGCATAGCGACTCTGCACACTATTATACGACTATTTATTTTCCCTTTTGCAAGGCGTTCTGGACTCGACACCCAAAGCCCGGATTACACTGGACGAATTTCTACAAAAGACCCAAGACTGTAGACGACTGATGACTAGGGAGTTCTTTCAACTTTAATAACAAGGACAAGGACAAGGACATGGTTCAGGAACTGGGGGTTTCAATTAGCAATGGGCACACAGTTACGAAAGTAAAGGCTTCTACAGGGCGGGGCGGGCGGGCAGCGGCATGTTTTGCGCTGCTTTTTCTTTCACTCGCTAAACGGGGAGGCCAGGCTTTTTTTTTATTTTGTTGTATTTGAAGCGCAGGAATGATTTTGCACACAGTACGGTTGGAGGAGCCTTCTTTGAATCTTTTTAGTTGGCGATCTTTGTTTTTTCTGGTTATGACAACTTAGCACGCATTCATGTGAACATTGGGAGCGCCGAGGGTGCGTGTGTGCGCTTGCGTGCAACACTCTGAATGGCATTGTTGCAGCACCACCATGCCCTCCGAGCGTCTTTAGGTAGAGCAAGCATATATATCTAATATATGTGCTTTACCACTTCTTTTCCTTCATCATTATGTCATTGAAGCGCTCATCTTTATTAACGAACGAACGAACGAACGAACGAACGAACACGCAACATAAGGCACGGGTTTCGGCATAGCATGTAGCATGTAGCATAGCAAAAATGAAAAGAAAGACATATCAAAGCAACAATCATCGAACATGGAAACCTCGTCACATCCACCATTCAGAAGAAGAAAAAGAACAACAAATCAAACCATCCATGACCAGTGAATTGCCCAATGGGAAACAACCCTTGGAAACCATGGGAAACATCTTCCTATAGACTACCTAGCAACTCTGCATGGACGTAACGAAACCTCACGGTCAGAAATATAATTCCCCGTTACAAGGCGCGGGAGGTGTAGTGCAAAACCGTTCACCTATATTTAGAAAGGTGATTTGTAGATTTGGATCGGGTCGGGCTTTTGGGTGATCTAATACACGGCTGAGATGGTAAGGTGTGTACCGAATTGGTATGTATGTATGTATGTACATCTGGACAGGTGGTCGATTTGAAGGTTCCGGAGGTTTTTACGAACAGGGCTTTTCATCCACTTGGCGCCGCCGGCGGGGGATATTTGTTTGGAATGACTTGGTTGGGTTTATTAATTAATGGAGTGACTTTGTAATTGTTTCCCAAGGAATTGGTGCTGGCGTTATTGATCCGCAAAGAACGAAAGACAAAAGTGTGACATTTTTGGTTCTGGGCGAGGCGGTGAACTACTAACTGTGTAATTGACTATTCCAATTCACACCGCTCGGCGCCTCGTTCGCCGCAACGCTTTCCCGTATTTCCAACGACACAAGACGACAAGACGAGACGTCGAGTCCTTCGAGTGGAACATTAATTACCTACCTACCTAACCCTTGGGCACGAGATACGCTTTCAGAAGTTATTGTTAGGTGTACACCACGTACTCGGCCATCGCATGCACTGTACCTGCCCTCGCCCCATGCCACCCGCTCCGCAAACCGACACAGGAACATCCTTCCTCCCCATCTCCTCCTCCCGCCGCACATCCTCCTCCTGTACCTCTCCACCATCCCGCCGCACCACCGACTGAAAAGGAAGCCAGCAAGAGAAAAGCACTGGGAACGTTTACTCGGGCGGAAAAGCAATGCTCGCAAGCAATGCTCGCGATTGGCGCCGCACCGCAGCTCCACAAATGGACGACCTCGACCTCGACGTCGCTTCTGCTGCTGCTGCTGCTGTTCGTCTGCAGCCCAGTACTCGCGCAGCACCAGCAGCAGCAACAGCAGGGAACCACGACGACGAATGAGACGACGACGACGGATATCTCGCATACTACCACAACCACCACATCCACATCCACATCCACGCCCACGACAACACCTACCACCACCACTACTCCTACAGCCGTGGTACTCGTCGAATCCCCCCCGTCCTCGCCCGACGGAGGTGCCGCTAGGACCACGACCACCACGACGATAACGACCACCGTGCTGCCACACATTCCCTCCGCGACGAATTCGAAATCGAAATCGAAAGCGAATGCGTCGATAGCGGCGGCAGGGGCAGGGGAAGCGGTATGTCAGTTCCGCACCATTAATTACATCACGCACACGCTGCCGCAGCAATGTCTGAAGACGAGTTGGTCTGCGCCGGCGCCGACGCATACTGTCTTTGTCACTTTGGAGGAGGAGGGAGACGCGGGGAATACTTCCGCTGCTGTGGTGGAAGGGCAGGAAGGGGTTCGGCAGACAACTACGACAACGGGGGAAAGGGATGGAGCTGTTGAGACGGATGCGTCGAGAGGGACGTCCTCGCAGTTACAGCCTGAAGAGACGGGGACACCGCAGCAGCCAGAGCACGAGGCAGAGGCCGACTCGCCGCTCGACAACGCGAATTTCCTGTCGTTCGAGGAGTGGAAGAAGAAGAATCTCGCGCGTGCGGGCCAGTCGCCTGAGAACGTGGGCCAGGGGCGCGGGTCGTCTTCTGGGTCGGAGGGGAGGCGGCGGCCCCCTGTGAATATCAATGCCCTCGACGCGCTGGGCGAGGAGTCGGAGATTGATTTGGATTTCAGCGGGTTTGGGAATGTGGATGAGGAGGGTGGTCCTGGGAGGGCTGGTGCGCCGTATAGTGGCGGCGGCAGCGGTGGCAGGAAAGAGTCGGATTCTGCGGAAACTGGGGGTGATGGCGAGGGGAAGATTGCACCAAGTTCGTTCACGCTCAGTAAGGATGCTGGGAAGACGTGCAAGGAGCGATTCAACTATGCGTCGTTTGACTGCGCTGCTACGGTGCTGAAGACGAATAGCAAGGCGAAGAGCTCTACCGCCGTGCTCGTCGAGAACAAGGACAGCTACATGCTGAACGAGTGTTCTGCGGACAACAAGTTCGTCATCATCGAGATGTGCGACGACATCCTCGTCGACACGGTCGTCCTCGCCAACTACGAGTTCTTCTCGTCCATGTTCCGCCACGTCCGCGTCAGCGTCTCCGACAGGTACCCCGTGAAGCTGGACCGCTGGCGGACGGTGGGGGAGTTCGAGGCGCGCAACTCGCGGGACCTCCAGCCATTCCTGATCAAGGAGCCCCAGATCTGGGCACGATACTTACGCATTGAGTTTCTTACGCATTACGGTAACGAATTTTATTGTCCTATAAGCCTGATACGAATACACGGAACCACCATGATGGAACAGTTCCGACGCGACGAGGAGGAAGCCAGAGGGGAGGACGACTTCGTGGAGCCCATTGAGGCCGCAGATGGAGAGCCAGTCAAGACCGCCGTGGCTGTGGCGGATGACGATGCTGCTGGAGCTGGTACTGCAGCTGCAGTCCACACCGAGCAGCTGCCGACCGAGCCGGATCACAAACCCGTAAACGTCGCACCCGACCCACCCAAGCAGAGCGACGACACCGCAACGGCCGCAGATGGCGCGGAGGCTAGCCATGCAGTCAGCCACAGCAGCGCTGGGCATGGAGACGCTGCAGATGCAGCCACAGATGCCGCCATCGCCGTGGAGCATGAGCCACTGCACAATGCCACCGCTGCTTCCGACGCCAAGAGCGCGAATGACCAGCGCGATGCAGCTTCAGCGGCTTCGTCGGACGCATACGAGGCTAGCGACGCGAAGGAGCCCGCGGTCGAGAAGAACGACAAGACGCCACGGGCCGAAGCGCCCACCAAGACGACGAAGCAGGCGTCGTCGACGCACAACAATCAGAACGAGTCAGCAGCGGTGGAGAGCAGGGCCCCTTCGATTCAAGATGCCAAGCAAGCTCCAGGAAAGTCTGCCGAACAGAACACGGCGGGCGCTGTGTCGGGAAGTGTAGCGAGCAGACCTGCGACCAATTCGACGGGCAATGGAAGTGGAAGTGGAAGTGGTAATGGCAGTGGTAGTGGGAATGGAGGCCAGTCGCAGTCCCGTCCTTCGTCGCAGACTCAACCTAATCCCGCATCGCCGACCACACAGGAGTCGTTCTTCAAGTCCATTCACAAGCGGCTCCAGCAGCTGGAGGCCAACAGCACGCTGTCGCTGCAATACATCGAGGAGCAGTCGCGGATCCTGCGAGATGCCTTCATCAAGGTGGAGAAGAGGCAGCTCACCAAGACGGAGAAGTTCCTCGAGCATCTCAACAGCACCGTGATGCAGGAGCTCAAGAGCTATCGGAACATGTACGAGCAGCTCTGGCAGAGCACGATTCTCGAGCTCGAAGGCATGAAGGAGAGGCAGCGAGACGAGATCGGTGAGATCGGCGCGAGGCTCAGCCTGGTTGCCGACGAACTCGTCTGGCAGAAGCGGATGGCCGTCGTGCAGTCCACGCTTCTCCTGCTGTGTCTCGGACTCGTCCTCTTCGTGAGGTCCGGCACGCTGGGGAGTCAGTCGGACATCCCCATCGTCCAACAGCTGGGCAACACGTACTCGCGGTTCTTCGAGTCGCCGCCAGAGAGCCCGAATCCGCCCAGCACTGGTGGCTTCCGCCGCCGACGAACCTTCAAGAACATCTGGAAGAGCGATACATCCATGAATCTCAGCAACGAGCCTAGTCCTGGCGGCGGCGGCGACGAGCACATGCATCGCCATCACCATCGCCACCACAGCGATGGCATGCCCAACACGACGACGACATCAGACGTCGTCGTCGAACACAACCTCCCCACCCCCATCACCCCAACCTGCGCGCCCGACCTCATCGACACCCCGCACAAATACTCCGACAGGAACCTCTCTCCCATGCAGGCTCACGCCCACACCCGTCCTGGTGGTAACCCAGGAGGAGGTCTAACACGCCAGCCATCAAGCCTCTCACAGATGGAATCAGACTCCGACTCCGCCTTTCCCCCCTCACAATCCCAACCCCAACAACAGCAACCATCAAATTCGAACTCGAACTCGATCTCGAACTCAGCCTCAGAGTCAGACTCCGACGACGCGGAAACCCAACAGCAACAAGAACAACAAGAATCCCGAGACCGAGACGATGAAGAACTAGAGGAGGATGAAGAAGAGCAAGCGCAGAGAATACAGTTCCTAGCCACGCAGTCCGGCCCCGCGACACCGCACGGCACGCGGGACACCCGCCCCTCGTGGGAGGAAGTCGACCGCGCCGTCGACATGCTGAAGGCCGCGGCCGTCGAGGAGGAGGAGAAGCGCCATGGCCACGCGGACGCGGAGTTGAACGGCGACGATGGCCGGAAGAAGGAGGAGAAGGAGAATGAGAAGCCGAAGTTGGGACGGTCGGCAAGCTATGCGGGGCGGAGGGGGGGGAGTGGGCTGAGTAGTAGTGATGACGATGAGGCGGAGGATGAGGTCGTGGAGGGGGAGTTGGATATGTGATGTTGGTGGAGAGGGAGGGAGGGATAGAGGGGGTGAAGAGGGGAGGAAGTGTACATAGAGGCATTGTCTACATAACTACAACCTGTATACGGAATACGGAATATAGTGTATATACATCTACATCCACATTCATCGTGCTGGCTTCGCTCCCTGTGTGTGCGTGGCTTAATGTTCGACATCGCATCTATCCATACAGGAATTCGGTCACAATTGATAGACGATTATTATAAGTCAAACACAACGGTCTACATCGTACATTTCTTTTCTTTCTTTTTCCCCCAACGTCACTCTTTCCACGAGCTCAGCGTGGATAAAGTACCTTACGAACATACATGTACGACCAACAAAACCATACATCCCACGTCACGGTAACCCGTCGATTCACATCCCCCTCCCTCCTATACTTATCCTAGCACTGTCAACGACCGTCGAAATCAAAGTAGGAGGTCGAGTGGGGCTTGCAGTATCGGGCATGAAAGTTTTGGTAGTGAAATTGATGGATTGTGTGTGGGATTGTGTGTTGTGTGCTATTGTGTGCCAGTGTCTGGAGGAGGGGGGGGTTGGTGTGTTGGATTTGGGGTGATGCGGTGGAGTGGAGTGAAAAAGGGTTGGTCATCATGCACTACCTGGTTTGGTGATATTGAATTGGAGTTTGATAGGGTTCGTGGTTTTTTAATTTTCAATTGGGGTTGCGGGAGAGTGTGGTTTGTGCTGTGATGAACAGCATTGGAAGCCTGCTGGAGAAATTATCTTTCGAAATATGGAACGGGTGAGTGATTGTGGATGCAATGACTAAGTCGGCTCTTAGTACTGGAGACTGAATTGGGGTTTAGGAACGAGAAAGGGGTGGTTTAATGCGTGGTTGGTTGCACTCCCAAAACTGTGGAGGAAATGTCACAGCTGTAGAGATTGGTGTCTTGTGAGGAAGGTCCCATCACTGCGGAAGTGTTCGTCCATTGTACAAGACGAGACACAACATCCTGGTCTGGCCTCGCCTGACTACGAACGTCATGGTACAGCATATCATTCCACAACGCTAGATTGACGGCTCGACTGCATAGGACAGAATTCAGGAGTACGCGGTGCCTGATGTCCCCGCTATGTTCTCAGCTTCAGGTCACGTTGTTCAAAGGTTGTGGTATATGTTGTTACGCGGAACGTAGTGTCAGTCCAGTCGAAGTGATCTGGGTGAACGCTCTGGATATGTTTTTTTAATGTGGAGTGGTGGCTTATATGACATGGATGCCTCGATTAAATTGATTCTTTGAACCAGATGAGGTGGACTTCACGTCGGTGTTCGAAGTGACGAAAGATGGATAAGGGTTTAGACGAAGGTTGGAAACTGGATGGATGGTGTGGAATTCAACTTGCAGTCATCACGACTGCTGGAAGATGAGCATAACAGACGCTCTTATGCACCGTCTGTCTTTCCACCTTACCTCTGCGCATTAGTTAAGGGGATCTGTTGTATTTTAGTATGTACGTAGAGACTTCCCTATTGAATCGATATACGATATCCTTCTTCAATGCATCCAATGACCACCCTTTCCTCGACCCACTGGACCAGAAAAGATCATCGATGTAATAGCCAGACACCTTTCAATCCATACTGATTCGAGCAGTTTTGCACCTGATGATGTTGTTTTAAATACCACAAAATAAGCCGAACAGGATAGGACTATACCGATATCTCATGTATCAGTTGCTTATTTCCTTCTGAACTTGATCACAACATCATCACCTGCCTGTCTGTCGTTTGTCCCAACCATGTAATGGTACCGTAATATGATCTTTCTCATCACTATCTGGCGCCTCTATTTCACCGCCAAACCCCATTCATTATCCGCGTATGTAAGTACACTTGATAGGATCGAATTACCTCGTAGAAGAATATGGTGTTTCCAAGCTCTCTCTCTCTCTCTCTCTTCGTGCACTTTCTGCTGCGAAGGTATCATCAAAGCATATTTCACCTTGTTGTTTCTTGGGAAGAGGGGGCACGAGGTCATGAGGATACCACTGATGCATTTACCAGACGTGATGGGTAGTCGGAAGATAACAACATCATCTTCAGGACTTCAATTTACGCCCTTTGTACTGGGCTTCGCACCAAACAGTTCAATTCTCTGTGTTCGTCTGTTCTCCACGACGGCATACTTAGGAAGCTCACCCCCCCAGACGACGCAACCAAAATCGACCTCAACGATATATACCAATGAACCTCACAACCTCACACCCCCCTCATCTCCTCCTCCCTCCTTCCCCTGTACCATCCCCCTCATTCACCGACAACATCACCCCAACAACCCGTTAAAACCAGCACATACGACCATAGGATTCTGAAACCAGGGCTTCCCGTTCGCTCAGCCGTACTTAAGCAGAATACCGGCGGACCAGTAGTTGAGTGGGTGACCATCAGCGAATCCCCGCTGTTGTATGTTTTTTTTTGCATCTTTTTTTCGTAGTGGGTTGGGGGGTTGTTGTTGTGGGGTTGGGTGGGGATAGGGGAAGAAGGATGGGGTGGGTGACCACGAGGCGGTAAGCGAGCGAACTGTTTCTGACGTAGATGATTCTTTTTGTGGAGGGGGAAGGGGAATGGGAGGGTGTATGCGAATGGTTGTGTTTGGAATTGGCTTGTAATTGTGGGTGTAGAAGTGGTACGACTTGGGTAGAGTTGATCGAGTTGAATAAAGCTCGTGAAGACAAGTTAGGTAGCAACACTACTCAATGATTAACGTATCCTCAGCAACAGACCCGAGCTGGTGTCTCAGAGTTGTAGAGACGGATTGTGAAGTTTTGATAGTGTATTCATAATTACGTTTCCCTCCTTACCCGGCTGAGAGAAATGAGTAGTGGACGCCCACGCTGTATCCTCCTACAAATGATAGAGACCGGCTACGACAACTAACTACTCGAGGTGTTGACTGATTGAGTGAATCCGAAAAGGGAGCATCAAGCTCCTGCTCGACCTGCGCTTGTATATACCAACGGAACGAAATAGAATCGAAACCCCTTTTGTGTCATGAGAAGCGAAAGTAAGTTGTAAGGAAGCAGACTGGCTGGACCCTGTCATCTACGCTAACAGTCTAAAAGAAGGCGAAAAACACTCATACGGTGGGAATGCGTTTATGTATGTACCTCGGTTGGAAGGGAATGCTGGCAGTGATGATGTGGACAATGGTGAGGCCTGTCTCCAAGTGTCGTTTTACCATGCCCTGAAGATAACCAGCGAGATGCTCCAGCTCTTCGCGTGGCGTCGTATTAAATGGACGCTGTTGATATTTGCGGATCGAGAAACCCATGCGGTCATAGCCCCAATCCTCGACTCTTCTCGGCAACGGGCGTCCCGCTTCTGCTCGACGCTTTGCCGACAGGTGTGCTGCTCCGGCTTCTCTCCTCTTCGCGGACGATCTCTCGTGCTTCATCGACCATATCTTTGAATTCGCGAACGTTTCGCCAGCCTCTGCTAAGAAGATCTTCCTTGCCTTCCAACCTCTGGAGCTCAGCACGGTCATCGAAGCCTTTCTTCGCGCGCTTGCCTAGCGCTTTCAGGTTGCTCTTCAACTCGTCCCTCGTGCGGCCGGAATCGACGATCAAATCGCTGTCACGTAAACTTGTAGTATTTTCAACACGCCTAGTGAGGTACATCGTGGGTGGGCGACCGTCTTGCTTTCGCTTCTCCATGATTCGGTTGATTTCCTCTTGATAAGCGGTTTCATAGACGTCAATATCGACAGCGCCAGGCGATTCGGAAACCACAGGCGTGTCATCCCCAGATGATGGGAGGTAGTCCTCTCCTGTACCGATGTTGAGGAATAGTGTATCCTCAAGGGGGTCATGAGCATGTCCTTTCCCAATAGTCGGGGTTGCGGGTGCGGATTGGGAGACGAAAGGTATTTGGATTGGTTGTGAAGGGGTGGGCCGAAATGACATGCTCTCGTGTATAACCTTCGCGTCGGTTAAGGCAACAGGTTTCGGGGATATCGGACTGCTGGTTATTGATGCCTTGCTTGGAAGAATGGAGCCGACGACTTCAGATCTGAGACCCGGTTTCGCAGAGGCCATTTCGTTTATGCTCTCGGGCACGCGGTGGATGTTGTTGTCGATTTTGATCTCGCGGTGGATACCTTCAGTCGTCAGAGCGGTCTCGATTGGTCGGCGGTTATCGGTATCTTGCGATCTGGACTTCCTCAGTCCCGATGGTCGTATCGATAGTGGGGGCTGTACAATGCGGGATGCACCCCCTAGAATACCCTCCATCTTCTCGGGTCGCTTCCGAAAGAGAAGCTGCTTGAAGCGCTTGACGGCCCGTACCTGCGGAAGAGGTCAGTGTCTTATGCGAGGATCAACTTCAGATGCACCTACAACTGTCACCAAATGGCCCATGTTCCCTGTAATAGCGGCATTCACCTCTTCGTCGGTGGGCGGTTCCACGATTATAGCTACGTTCTCCGAGGTCGACAGAAGCTCATCTGTTCCGTCCCTGGTTACCCAGGGATGTGCCTGCTTTGGTTAGTATGTCTATCGCACCTATATTTACCATACTACTCACGCGAAGGGCCTCCATGGTTATCCTTTTGCTAGGGTCCTTGTCCAGAAGTTTCGATAGCAGGTCTCGAACTTTATCCCCGCATTCGATATCGAACTCTAGCGTGTCGTTTCGTATGGATTGATACAGCTCAATCATTCCGTGCTTCTCGAACGGTATTCGGCCAAACAGTAAGCAGTAGAGTGTGACACCCATGGACCAAATATCGGCTGCTTTGCCTGACACATGGCCATGTTTGGGCACGCAGAGCTCGGGCGGCATGAAGGCCGGCGATCCCGCAGATTTGGCAGTTCTCATCTCGCCTTCTTTGTCGAACATTTCTGATACACCAAAATCAACGATCTTGAGTACGTCATCGGCTGTGACCAGACAATTGTCGGGCTTAATGTCGCGATGTATGATTCCTTGCGCGTGAACTGTATAAACAATTAATTTCCACTCCAAACCATCATGGTCTTGCAGACGTACGATATTCAATGCCTAAAATCATGTCTCGGAACCAACAACGACACTGCTCCTCGTCGTAGGGATCTGCCCGCTCGTCTAGACCTACCCGCATCACTACGCCCTTTTTGCACATTTCCATGACCATGTACAGCGAATCCTCTTCTGGGTCATCGAGCACTTCGATGAGAGAGACGAGATTTGGGTGGTTGAGCTTCTTCATGATGGCAATCTCCTCTTTGATCAGATCGAGCGAGTTGTTCTCGTCGGACGACGAATGTCGGTGGAGCGGAGAGTTGAAACCAAGACCTGCACCCAATGCACCGGCATGTCGTCGTCTTCGGGCACTTGGACGGCGGAGAAGATTCGACTGTGCCCGTTTTCGCAGGCGCGACTTGGAGAATTCTTTGACAGCCTGTCCTCGGCGCGTTAGCGGAGAGCCAAAGGGTTTGAGTCCTCGCGGGGCACCCGCATTGAGATCGAGATCTGTGTGTACTCCTTCGCTATGTGTGCCTGGTGGGTTGGATCCTCACATATTCTTGGCCATATTGGTCCACGGCAAGATGGACTGCTCCAAAAGATCCACGTCCAATTTCTTGCTTGATCAAGTATTGGTTGATGCGGTGCTGAGCAGTCCCGTCATCTTCGCTATTGCTGTACTCGGATCGAGCATTCAGGGTTTCCTAATTGATGTCGTCAGAGCTGGTCGGAGGACCACCATGGAGCTATCGGGAAGGTGAAGATGCGAACCTTTACTCGTCTGGTTGAAGAAGCGGCTCGCTTGTGATGTCGAAGTGGAGAGTGATATGCCGGTGCAGACCTAGAGAGAACATGGATGAGCATGGCAATTACAAATGGTCTTGCCTTGTGAGGGCCGAAAGGTGTCGTAGAGAGGATCTGCGGGGATCGATCTGCGGGGAAAGCTCACATGAACTTGACCGGTGCGGGTCGTCCAGTTTCTTCAATCGCAGGAACATCTAGGCTGATGTGATTCGAAGAGTGTATGCCTGGGACATCGACGTTAATCGAGTCCTTGATGGAAGGGCTGGATTCGGTGACGCTCATGGCTGGGCTGGGCAATGATATCGTAATAGGTGATATGGGACGGAGCGGACGGCCGCTAGGAAGAGGAGGGTCGGCCCCAGCTCAATGAAAGAAGAGTGTCTCAGACAGTAAAAACGGAAGCTTTCGGAAGACAATTGTCGGATATGAATCTGTGGGAAATTATAGTTCTATGGCCCGAGAAGTGTGAAGGGAGAGGGCGGGCACGACGTGTTGATGCATACGGTAGAGTAAGGTTAAGGTAGGAAATTGTATGTCAATGGAAGCCTCAGGCTCTCTGAGATGTCACAAACACATCCTACTGTACAGATTAGTACTAGCGTCTGATCAAAACGCACGGCCGCCTTCCAGAACTTGGTGGCGGGGTTGGGGGACTCTTCCTCTAACTAAATCTATCCATGTATCTACTGTGTACCTCCATAATAACACCCATTCACTCATTCATTCGACTTGATCTGATTTGACTTGACTTTGCATTGACTTGGCAGCCTCGGGGATTTGGCGACAATAATACCCTCTTGTCCTTCTACTTAGATACATACCCTAATCATCAATTCCTCTGTTCGTTCTCCTTATAATTAACGGGCGGCGCGCGCGACATCTTTCACCGCAATGGTGCTCTACTCATTCTACATCTTCGATCGTCACAGTATGTCTGCAATTCTGATCGACCATTGACACTCTTTTATTTCTTTCCCTCCGATGGCAGCGCATAACTAACGCCCTCTTCTTTCCCCACAGCCGAGTGTATCTACAGTCGTCGCTGGACTCCTCGACCCACCTCATCCTCAGGCAAGACCGCGCGCCCCCAATCCGGCTCAAGCATAACGAGCGGCGATGGCACCGTCACCAATCGCAGGAACATGTCGCATGCAGATGATGAGAAGCTGATCTTTGGTCTCGTCTTCTCTCTCCGCAACATGGTTCAGAAACTCGGAGGGGAAGACGACACCTTTCTGTCATATCGCACTGGCGAATACAAACTACACTACTACGAGACACCCACCCGCATGAAGTTTGTCATGCTTACCGACACGAAACAAAACAATCTTCGACCGTATCTACACCAGATCTGGGCGAATCTTTACGTGGAATACGTTGTCAAGAATCCTCTGGCGCCTGTGGAACATCCAGGGGGTGTCGGCGTGGCCAACGAAATGTTCGAAAGGGGGTTGGACACATTCATAACCGCCGTTCTACCTGCTTAACACGCGGCGTCTCAAGATAGCATACACACTGTACATATCCAAATCCCCCTAATTTATCCTACGAGGACGCTCCACAGTGCACCCAGGCGAAAGGCATACAAGCCAAAAGTAGGGAACAGGGAGCGATGCCCTACAGCCGACGTCCAGCCCAAGCTTCGGATCGCCCAGATGCTAATTCGGAGAACATGGGTCAGGGGAAAGCTTGCACGCGCAGAGGAATGCCTAGCCTCGGATTGAGTAAAAAAGACGCATCATCTTGCATATACTCCAACGTGGCTGTGGGTCGATCACGGTTCACGATACAACAATCGCAGCGAGCACTGTGGGGACCAGGAAAAGGGCTGTATTCAAATACAACTGAGAGTCTAATACTACCTAGACCCCTACCCTTTTTATTTCTTAAAATAACTTTTATGCTATGGGTATATCATGCCATTCATCTAACGCCTGGGGATTCATTCATTGCCCTCTTTGCAAGGTTGAAACCATGTGATCGTAAATCTAACTTTCATCGTACCTTTGGTAACTAAGCTTTCTGGGCTCTTGGGTTCTTTAACCTCGCTGGCCCGAGCCCCTTCCTGACTTCTTCGAGCTGTTCCAACCCAGTCTGGTGGCCGGCCCGCTTGACCCTCCTCTTGCCCTGCATCGAATGACTTCCCAGGAAATCGTCCATGATGTTATCGAAATCAGACCTGAGTTGGGGTGCCTCGCTCATACTAGACAACCCAGACATGCCGGACATACCAGACATCTTACTGAACCCTGACATTTTACTCATACCCGAAGCCATGGACATATCGTCTGGAAAGTCTTCGGCAGCATACTCCTCCTCGATCTTGTCAAATCGCTGATCGAGAAGCGTGAGAGCGTCAGTCCTGTGCAAGGCAGAAGAACTCATACTGTAGCTAGATGTGGAAGTGAGGGCACCCTTTCTCTTCTTCTTACGCCCTCCTGCTGTCAGTGCTGACGCACCCGTCAACACCGATGACTGAAGGTCGGACGGTGCGGCGGGTTTGGGGGCTTTTCCTGCTTTGGCATCTTGCTTGAACTTCTTGAATTCGTCCATCCAGGCATTGTCCCCGGCATCTGCGAGCGGCGGCGCTTCATCTGGAGCTGGGAGGGCGTCTAGATCTGATGGCTCGACGGGTGCTTTCTCCTTGGGTGCTTTCAATGATACACCACCTGACTGTGAGCCCGCCTTGATAGTGTCATCTGACTCCCAACCGTCGTCTTCGTCGTCGAGCAGGTATCGGTCTGTGCTCAAATCGAACTCACGCTGGTCGACCTCATAGCCATCCTCAGCCAATTCATTGAAGATATCATCTTCATCATCCACATACGCATCGTCCTCCAAGGCCTCGAGGACCTCTCTCAACCTCGGATCCATGTCTGGCTGGAGACCAGCAATTGCGTCTGGAATGTTCTGCTGGTCCTGGTATGTCATCTTCCGCACAAACTCAGACGGCGCCATATCCTCTCCGAAAACATCGCTGGCAGCCCTGCTCACACTGCTGCTCACAGAAATGCCAGCCTCGCTCTGCCTATCATCCAGGGACGCCTCTCGGAGGGCATCTGCAAGATCCATCTTGTGCTTGCCCTTTCCTTTCTTCTCGCCGGGTGCTTCGAGGAAATACGAGTCGCCACTTCCGCTGCCCAGGTCTCGCATATGCTGCATATAATCATACTCAGAGTCGTCATAGTAGATTCCATAATTAGCCGCCTCTCCTTCATTCTTCCGCACTTTCGACCCAAATTCGCTTTCTAGCTCGCCCCTGGACTTGATCTTGCTCCGCCCGGAGGCCGCCGAGAACTGTGAGTACTGTGATGCCCGCGAGCTCGTGGCCGGTTCGGAGGCCTGGCGCATGTTGGGCGCGTTGACCTCCTGGAAGACCATACTCGGGGCGTCGGCATCGTGGATTCGAGGGTCGTTCTGCGCGCGATGGACGAGGTGGAACGTCGTGGCATTTTTCTTGTCACTGCGGGAGGAGAGGGGTTAGCCGCGGGGTGGGTTCACCAGAGGTTCCGACGATCCTTACATGAATTTCCTGCGAGGCATGATGGATGACTGTTGGATTTGCAATTCTCTCGCGCACGTACGTATGAATAGGTGGCTTAGATATTGAGGGTAGAAGTTGGGAGAATGCTGGAATGGCTCGCTGACAAAAAAAAGTTGGGCCGGCGTTAAAGTCTGGTACCAAATTCCTAGGGTCCAAAAAATTTAGGCGAAAGTGTGAATGACGTGGGGTAAGATCTCTTCCCGAACTTTCATACTTTAATCAACCCCTCCATTCGCGACAACGCGAAGTCCAAAGGAAATCACATTCACGCAACAACACCCAGAATCATCTAGAGAAAATCGCAAAAATGGTTTTGGCGAAATCGAAGAAGAGCGTCGGGCTGGGTAACAGCCTGATGAATGACCGGTTTGGCAAGAACAAGAGTTCCGAAATGCACCGCGGAAGTGCACAGCAGGGAATTCAGCGAACCGGCATGGACGGTGAATCTGTAAGCGCAATAAATACATAATATTTATTGAATTGTTCTGACTTTCGTGTGTAGTATGTTATCAACGAAAAGAAAGAGGCTTCATGGGTGAAGATGCGCTCAGTCACCGAGCAAGGTGCCCTCGACGAATTTCTTTCCACCGCCGAGCTTGCCGGAACCGACTTCACGGCCGAAAAAATAAACAACGTCAAGATCATCCACAGAGACCAGAAAAATCCATACCTTTTGTCTCCGGCGGAGGAGCGCGCTGCAGTGCGGAAGCAGAAGGAGAACAGGAACCGATTGACAGTGCCCAGACGTCCGGCGTGGGATTCGAAGACGACACCCCAAGAACTTGATACCCGTGAGAAAGAGTCGTTATTGCAATGGAGGAGAGGACTGGCAGAGCTGCAAGAAAACAACGATCTTCTTATGACACCTTTCGAGCGAAATCTCGAGGTCTGGAGGCAATTGTGGCGAGTCATCGAAAGATCGGATCTTGTCGTACAAATTGTCGATGCACGAAATCCTCTTCTCTTCCGTTCTGAGGATCTAGAGTCATATGTTAAGGAGGTCGATTCCAAGAAGAATAATCTGTTGTTGGTGAACAAAGCAGATATGATGACGCTAGAACAACGACAGTTTTGGGCCGACTATTTCGTCTCTGCAGGCATCAACTACAAATTCTTCTCAGCTGAACTGGCAAAGGAGATGAATGAGGCTAGAGATCTCGAAGAGGAAGATAACTCGGATGACTCATTTGATGAGGAAGAGGAGGACGATTCCGAAGGTGACGAATTGGCTGAACAGGCACGAAAGATCGAACTTCAAGAGAAGAAGGAGGTCGATCAAGAGCAGGCTGGTGAGGAAACTAATGATGTCCCTGGTGAAGAGGCTCTGTTGAGCGAAGAGGAAGAGCGAACAAGGATATTAACCACCGACGAGCTTGAGGCTCTCTTTCTAGAGCATGCTCCAGACGTCGCCAGTGGACCCGACGGTGCCGTAAGGAAAACACAGATTGGCCTTGTCGGCTATCCCAACGTTGGAAAATCGTCCACAATCAACGCCCTCATTGGTGCGAAGAAGGTGTCAGTTTCGGCCACCCCTGGAAAGACGAAGCACTTCCAGACCATTCATCTCAGTGACCAAGTCATCCTATGCGATTGTCCCGGTCTAGTGTTCCCTAACTTTGCCACCACGAAGGCGGAGCTTGTTTGCTCTGGCGTGCTTCCCATCGATCAGCTTCGAGAGTACACTGGACCAGGTGGACTCGTTGCACAACGCATCCCTAAGCCATTCTTGGAGGCCATCTACGGCATGAAGATCGAGATGCGCCCACTGGAAGAAGGCGGTACCGGCACTCCCACCTCAGACGAGGTTCTACGTGCCTATGCCATCGCCCGTGGCTTCTCCACCCAAGGTCTCGGCCAGCCAGACGAGTCCCGTGCAGCACGTTTCATTCTCAAGGACTACGTAAAGGGCAAGCTTCTCTTCTGCCATCCACCTCCTAGCGACCCACCAATCGACCCGAAATACTTCAACCGTGAACTCTACGACGTCAACCACCTGCCCGCAAAGCGCCGCCAACACTTGCAGTCCATTGCTGAGTCCTCATCAATGGCCGCCACTGATGATGCTTCGCTCATGGACGATGAATTCGACATGGGCATGCCCGTCCAGGGGCCAAAGACCGCGCGTATGGACAAGAAGTTCTTCGCTCCCGGCCAGGGAATGGGTCGTCTCAACAGACCATTCCACTACCAATACAGCGAGCAGGGCAAGGCACTCAGCGGCAGGAAACTCAAGGCCGTGACGGCGCTTGAGAAGGATGTCGATCCCGCTGATCTGCAAATGAACTCGAAAAAGCACTTCAAGGCGAATAAGAGGAGAGCAAAGAAGGTTAGAGAGAACTTGAGCGAGTACTAAATCGTACGCGGGGAGAGTCTCGAACTGGATTATAAAAAGTATACATATGTGGTGTCTGGCGTCATCGGCTTACATGGGCGATTGCTGGATCACTCATTTCGATACCTGAATGCATTTTTTCTTCTCGTTACGATGAATATATATCACGCCTGACATGAAAGAATCCAAGTGAATTCCAAATCATGCATACCCCATCACATCATGATCTTGCCTCGCAAACATAACCATCATAGCTCGACAACGCCTCATCATTGATATCTCGCGCGACCTAACTAATACTAATACAAAGCCTCGCTAATTTCCAAAAGATGCGCATCCAGCTGCCTCTTAGCCTGCACGCCGACCTCCCTCCTCTCGCTAACCAGCTTCTCCGAGTAGGTCAGCTCTATGAGTTTCTTCACGGTGTCGTATCCGAACAGCTCTCCACCCTTCGCTTCCAAACCCATGCCCTTACCGTCTTTCTTCGCCCTGGAGACGATGGCGTCCGCGCCGCTGGTAAACAGGTCGAAGAACATCGCGGAGTACTGCAAGTCCGCCTTCGACTCGATGTTCTTGAGGTTCTGCTGCAGCACGAGCGTGTTGAGCTGCATGTGCGCGCAGCCGTTTGCGTTCATGGACTCGATGCCTTTCGAGAGCGAGAGAAGTTGGAGGTCCATGAGGGGAGAGAGGCCGGTCGTGATGAGCTTGTACTGCGAGGGTGGGATGAAAGTGCTGACTTCGCCGTCGAAGCTGATGAGGGCGTTGTTCAGGGAGACGACCGCGGGGTCGGGTTCTGTGAGTAGCATGTCGAGATTGTAGTCGGTCTTGACTGTGCGGTAGAGGGAGTAGATGATCTGTGTCCTGATTTCTAGGTGGAGGTTCTTCAGAGCGGTGTTGCTGAGGCTTTGGAAGCTTAGGACTACTTGGTCGAATTCACTAAAGACTTGTGAGTATTGCATATGGCGGGCAGGGTCGCAAATGGGGTAGGAACTTACTTCGCGGTCTCCTTGTTGAGAGGGAGGTAGACCGACAGGCCTTCTGCACTGGGTTCGGTGGATGTAAGATGCGTCCAGCGGCGGTTCTGGCGCTGGTTGCCCGCTTCTGACTGCGTGGAATTCGTCACGACCTCGCTAATATGGCGGAGTTGCGCGATCTTGGTTGCTAGCCATTTCATGCTCGTGTACAGCAGACAGAGTCCTGTGATACTCTTCTTGTCTCGAATGATGTCGGCATCATCAAGCGGATCGTTCTCAACTTCTTTGAGAAGCATCGAGATTTCCTTCTCCAAAAGTTCGCTGTACTGTGGCGCATCTGCCTGGAATAGAGAGGTGATGACTTCATTCATCTCTTCAGAATTGGCAAAAGCGGCAGAGGCTTTCATGCGGCGACCGCTCTCCGTTGCCTCACTCCTACTGACGAGAGCTTTATACCAACCGTTACACTTTTGAGCGTATGTCTTCATTTGGGTGATGATAAGTTGGCTGAATGCTTGGTCATGGGGTAAGCTATCAAGCATCTTGCAGAATGCAGTGATCAACGCCAGGAATTGGGCCGTTCCCTACACTCGTTAGTTTGGGAAATCCTAGAAGACAGTAAGCACTTGCCTTGAATATTGGTTTCTTGGCGAATCTGGCCCATTGTGGCTCTTGTTGGAATGCATCCAGGTCGATAAAAGTCTGTGAAGACATTTCAATAAGGGTTTCGTCAAGCTGCGGATGGAAGACGTTGACAAGGAAATCGTCGAGGAACGAGGTCAGAGTGCTCATGACAATGTCCGAACCTGGCGGAACAACTTCTTTGAGACGATTCAGGAATTCCAGAGATGGTGGCAGAAGAATGCCCATATTAAAGACACTCGGTTCAATGAGCAACTTGTGACCAGTCGCGCTACCATCAAGGTTGACATGGGCAGCAGTGCTCAAGTCATCTGGCTGCTTGGAGTCAGACACCAGACCTGGTACGGAAGATTTCAAAATGAATTCCAGATCTTCTCTCTCCGTCATGAGCTCTGTCGATTTGATGTCCATGTCGGAGAGCTTGAACATGGGCTTGTTCTTGTCACGAGGACCACGTGAAAAGACGCTTCCACTTTGGGTCTGTCCTTGTCCGCCTCGATAAGCTAGATCACCATCAGTGGCAAGGTAGTCATGTAGTAGCGAGCGCATCTTTGGTAGTGATGATTAGCTATGCAGGGTTGAAGCTGGGGATAGAGACTCACTTCGCTTTGGTATAACTTCCATAACTCCTTGAAACCACGGGTCAAGGTAGTTCCGGACGATGCACCTTCTCGGCGGACGATACCCATGACGACGTCATGGACTACTCGGTGGCTCTCAGCAATCGCTTCGAAACGAGCATACAATGTCCACAGAAGATCTTTCAGAAGCCCTGAGCGAAGGTCATTCCCGTTTGGACCAAGGTCAACTGATGTGCCCTTCTTCGCAGCATACGCCCTGATGACTGTCGGATGTCTTTGGGCAACCTCGTTGTTCGATTTCTCAACGACTTTGAACAATTCAATTGGTAATCGCTGCTCAATAGTGTCGATCGCGAGATCTAGGCGATTCATCTTGTTGAGCGATTCAACTACTAGTTGCATGTACTGGAATGTGTCCGCTTCTGGGTTCCGAGGTGAATCGTCCGTCATCTTTGCGACGTGAGTTACGAGGTCTGTTAGGGGCGTTTCAAGAACAACTTACTTGCTCAGAGGTGTCCAGTCTATCGAGGAAATGATATAGCAACCGATCCTTTGCGTCTGCTTGTGGACGTTCTGTGACATCTGACTTGGCTTGATTTTGAGCATACGCCTTCCACCGGTCTTCGCAATAAGGAGATTTGAGGTACAAATGATTGTGCAGCTCCTCAATCAGAATATCTGTGAGGGAATGTTCCTGGTTGCTCAAGTAGATGCGCAGATCGCTGAGAGCGCCAATCCCTTCCATCTCCGACCTGCGGATCATACGAAGCGCATCCTGAAGGATGTCAACAGCGGAAAGGAATCTTTTCTCGGAAATGCGAGCTTCCAGTTTATCTGGCACGAGTTGTAATTGTTCGATGACATTGAGGACTTGGATCATCTCATCATAGTTTTGGGAGGTCATGGCGAACTCCTTCAGCTCTGGTTTAGTTGTTGACAGTTGGGTTTTGGCCTGCGTTAAGGAGTCCTTCAGGTTCCTAACGCGGTGCTGTGATTGCTGAAGTGTCGTCTGGATCTTGTGGAATGTACCAATAGAGCTGTTGAAACCCTGGTGGTGCTCTATGGGATCGATTAGTCGGAGTAAACATGATAACTGCAGACCGTCGTTCGCTTACCGTTCACAATGGTCTTGAGACCACGCTGAAGCTCTTGATATGTTCGTCGGAAGTCTGAGTACTGATTCGCAAGACCGAGCGAGCTCGAATCCATAAATTTGAGTGCAATATCGATTGGTACGCATTGGTCATTTGTCATGAATTCGAACTCGTCTTGAATCTCCTGGAGAATCTCTGTTTGATTTACTTAGTTGAAGCTCCGTGAAACGAAACGTCAGAGCCCACTGACCTTCCATTTGCTGACTTCCAGGTCCATATCGACCAGCACCTGGTCTACTTCTACTCCGGCTATTGCTAGCTGTTCCGCTCCGGCGACGAGCATCGGACCGCTCGAGGCTGGTAGGTCGCGCAACGTGGGAAGACTCCTCTGTAGATTGAGAGAAGCCACCGTATCCTCCGTAACCCCCTGGCCGGCGTTGTTCACTGTCTTCCTGAGGTGGAGGGCGGGAACCGTACCCTCCATAACCTCCTGGCCGCCTCTCTTGTTCACGATCATTCTCAGAAAAACCCCCGTAGCCTCCCGGCCGACGTTCTCGGCGTCGATCGTCCCCGCTGGGCCGTCTCGAAGATTCGTAACTGTCGTCGTTTCCCTGGCCGTAACCACCATAACCGTTTGTATACCCCCCCGTCCCATTTGGACCCCCTCGCGGGACGCGTGACATGGTTTATTTAGACGTCGCGCACGGTGTTTGGCAGCTTTTGGGAGTGCCTCGAGTTCATATCGGTCGATTGGTTCAATGTCAAGTTTTCGAGCAAACCTCTTTGCGCATAGCTATTGCGGAGGTGCTTTGGGTTACGTTGGAGCCGCACGGATCATCACCGTGATGTCTCGCCAAGAATGGTGATGCAGCCGTGATGAGAATTTAACCTATCCTCACAGCAAACTGAAACAAGTGTTTGTATGTATTTTGACGTCTATCAGCATCACGGAACGCTCTCTCTACTACATCAATAACATATATTCGACCCTTTGGTTGTATTCGACTATTCGACGACGCGGAGCTTAGATCAATTCCACGCTAGGACCTCAGCGCGCCGCAAAGTTTCGCCGTTCCGTCGCAAGTCGAAAGCTCTCCTGCGCAACTCTTGAGAACCTTTGTCCATCATTGTCAAGCCAGGCTTCGATTAGCCTCGCGATCCGATCTCCATTTTGTTTCACTTGAAGCATGATTGCCTGAGAAATCCGATTGCCCAACGTCCTCCCAACCGTATCCCTACCGCGTCCTCCGCCATCGCAGACGCGCGCAACATGGCGGCCGCATACGACCACGCGAACGGTACGAATGGTGTGAACGGTACCGAAAGCTTTCCACCTGGTCGATACAGCAAGGTTCCACCCACGATCGTAGTCACAGTCACCGACGCCGAGGGACCCGTCGATATTGAAATCTCACTTGATGAAGACATTCAAGAAGATCCAACTGAGCTTTGCACGTTGCTCGAGAACGAACACAGTACTAAGGATACTTGGTTGACAGTAGCAATCGCTTACGCAAAGCACAAGAAAGCCGATGTAGCAATCGAGGTCTTGAGTAGTGGGATCAATGTGTTCGCGCGTGGATCACCTCAAGAGCGTCTCAGCATTCTCAACTGCCTTTGCTGGCTGTATCTTCTGAAGTGTCGGCAGGCTCCTCGAGTCCTTCCAGGTGAGAGCAGGTATCGCGCGTTCTATTGACTCAAGACTAACATAACTAGATGGCAAAACCGACTCTGATGAGATCAAGACCAAGGACTTCTACATTCAGGCTGCAACCAGTGTGCTCAATGACGCTTCTAGAATCAGCCCGTCGTACCCGCCGCTTTTCCTTGCACGAGGAGTTCTGTATCTTTTGCGCGCATCCCTACAAGCCCCTCCGACTGCTGCCGGTCCCGGACAGATTAGCTCGGAGCGTATCGACACGCTAAAGCAAGCTGCTAAATGTTTTGAGGATGCTCTGCGCGCATCGAATGGGAAGAATCTATTGGCCAAGCTAGGAAAGGCCAGAGTCAACTTCTCTATGGGAAAATACGCCGATGCTCTGAAGATATACCAAAACGTACTCGAAAGCTCTCCTGGGCTAATAGATCCGGATCCACGCATTGGAATCGGTTGCTGCTTCTGGAATTTGGGCTTCAAAGACGACGCTGCTCAGGCATGGCAGCGAGCACTGGACCTAAACCCCAAGTCCAAGCAGGCCTTGATCTTGCTGGGAATCTACAACGTCCAATTGACCGCTCAGTTACCGCCCTCCGATCCTAACTTTCTCAACTTGACAAAGAAGGCTATGGGCCAGTTCATTGGACCTGCTTTCACCCAAGACAACCGATATCCGTTGAGTTGCGCGACGCTCGGAAGCTGGTACACTGCGCGAAAAGCATGGGACAAGGTGGAAACGTTGTCGAGGCGTGCAATTGAGCTCACTGATGTCAACGATATTGCTAGTGACGGATGGTACTACCTCGCTAGGAAGGCTCATCAGGATGACGATAGCAAAAGTGCTACGGATTACTATCATAGGTCCGATCGAGCCCGTGGCGGCGACGACCGCGGATATATTCCTGCGAAATTCGGTTCGGCACAGATGCGTGTTCTGATGGGCGACTTTGACGGTGCGAAGTTCCGACTCGAGAAGATACTCCAGCAACAGCCTACTTTGGAAGCACAGATCTTGCTTGGTACTCTCTATGCCGAGGATGTTTTCGCTGCACAAGCCTCGGGCTCCAAGGAGGACAAATCAAGCGAATTGAAGAAGGCTCTCAAATATCTGGAGGATGTGGTCAAGGCATGGAAGGATCCAAAGAGGAAATTACAGCCGGATCAGTCCGTATTGCTTAATCTAGCAAGACTCTACGAGGCCGAACATCCCGACAAGAGCCTCAAATGTCTTGAGGAGGTGGAGCAATTGGAACTGGACGCCATTCCCGATGAAGACTATCCGGAAGAATATGAAGATGAGGACGCCCTGAAGAACTCCCTACGCGAATTGCTTCCCCCTCAACTTCTCAACAACATGGGGTGCTTCCACTACCAGAACGAGCGCTTTGTACACGCGAGGGCATTGTTCCAGACTGCTCTCACGGCCTGTGTCAAGGCCGCTTCAAGAGACGAGACGATCGACACCGATGCCCTCGTCACCTCCATCAGTTATAACCTTGGCCGCACATACGAATCCGAAGGTATGCTTGAAGAAGCCAAGGGCGTTTACGAAGGTCTTTTGAAACGTCACCCCGACTACATTGATGCCCGCGTCAGGCAAGCCTACATCACCCTGAGGCAGCATCCTTCTGATGAAGGACCGAAGGCTGTGGTCAAGCTATACGAAGAAAATAAGTCCAACTTGGAAGTGCGAGCACTGTACGGCTGGTACGTCAGCAAATCCAAGAAAAAGACGTTCAACATCGCCGACGACCAAGAGCAACGACACTACAAGCACACCCTCATAAACTTCGACAAGCATGACCGATACTCCCTTACCGGAATGGGTAATATCCACTTGGCCATCGCACGCGAAATGCCAAGAGGCACAGAGCAGGATAAGGAGAAGCGACGGAAGATGTACGAGAAAGCTGTCGAGTTCTTTGACAAGACTCTCATGCTCGATCCTAAGAACGCGTATGCGGCGCAAGGCCTTGCTATCGCCCTGATTGAGGACAAGAAGGACTATTCGTCTGCTCTTCAAATCCTGACCAAGGTCAAGGAGACGGTGAAGGACTTCGGCGTGTTCATGAACCTCGGTCACACGTACTGCGAAACCAAGCAATATACGCGTGCAATTGAGAACGTAAGCTTTGCCTCCTCCACACAATCCCCCTTCAAACTAACACTCCCCAGTACGAAGCCGCCCTAGCCAAAGACCGCGCTCGCGATCCCGCGATCCTAGCCTGCCTCGGACGCGTGTGGCTCCTCCGCGGCAAGCACGAAAAGAACCTACAAGCCATGAAGACGTCGCTGGAGTACTCGCAGCGCGCCCTCGAAGTGCTCCCCAACCAGACGCAATTCAAGTTCAACGTCGCCTTCGTGCAGATCCAGATCGCGCAGCTCGTCAACAACATGCCAGAGTCGCAGCGAACTCTCGAGGAGGTCGAAACGGCCTCCACGGGGCTCGACGAATCCATCGAATCGCTCTTCGCCATCGCGAAACTGCCGGACCCGCCGTTCCCCAAGAACGACATCGAGCAGCGTGCTTACATGGGTAAAACCATGCGGAAGCAGCTCGACCGCGCGACGCAGAGCCAGCGCACCTACGAGGAGACCAACGCCAACAAACTCCAGCAAGCGCGCGAGGCCCGCGAAGCCGAGCAGAAGCGCCGCGAGGAGGAGAAGCGCAAAGCGGAAGAGGAAGCCGCGGAGAAGAGGCGCAAAGCCCTCGAGGACCGCCGCAAGCAGGAAGAGCACGACCGAGCGGTCATGGAGAAACGAACCGAAGAGCAACGACAGCGCCAGGAGCTCATCGACGACAGCGACATGCGGAAGGCGGACAGGAAACGGAGGGGCGGCGGTGGCGGCAAGCGCAAAAAGAAGAGCGAAATGGACGACTCCGACTCCGACGGCATCGTGGGAGACTCGGACGCCGAGGACCGCCCTCGACGTCGCAGGAACAGCGCCTCTGGCACAGAAGGCCTCTCCGAAGAGGAGCGACCACCCCGCCAGAAGAAGAGGAAACTCGAGAGGAAGAAGAAAGAACCCGCAGGCAAATTCAAGTCCTCAGAATTCGTCGGCGACAGCGACGACGATGATGACGACGTGGACGTCGCTGCTGCCGCTTCCAGCCCCGTCCCCTCCGACAACGACAGCGCAGACGAAGGCGCCGCCGTCACTGCTCCCCGCTCACGAAAGCGCGTCATCGACGAGGACGAGGACGAAGACGACGACGATGCTGCCCCTGCACCCCAACGCAACGGCGACGCCGCCATGGACTCCGACGAAGACGAGTAAATCCTCCCGTCCCATGCTCCATCATCACCCTCTCCTCCAAAAGCTCCTGTCAATCCCAACCTCCTTCCAATCGATCTTTTTCTCTTTCTTCCATGCATTAGCGTCACCCCGGAACCTTTTTCTTGTCTTAGGTACTTCAGTTATCATAAATATCACATGGGCGTATTCACACTTCAGTCAGTAGGTTGGAATGGAGCTGGGGTATCATCATCTTTTTCTTCTTCACACTGATCAGCAGGAAGGGAGGGTGTGTATAAAACTTTTTACTTAACTTTGTATAAGAAAAGAGAAGAAGAATGAGTAGTAGTGGAAATACGTAGTACTGAAAGAAGGAATGGAAATCTTGAGATATTGATTTATATATTATATAGATGGGCTGTAACGCGTGACAATGTGTGATGTGGATGTGATGAATTAACTCCAACCCCCCTGTCCTCTTTTTTCCAAACGTCAATATTTCATCTACATTACCACCACCAACCCACCCATCCTAATTTATCGACGCATCAAAACAATTTATTGCATTTATATAACTGTAAACTATCATTAACAAGACAATTCTACGTCAAATTCTATCTCATCAAGTGTGTATGATTTATCATTAAGTAGATAGCCAAGCATTTCACTTACACACATCAACAACACAATGTAAAACAAAAATAAAATAAATAAACACACACGAACGCGTTTACACGTATATACATAGAGTAACTACTTCTTACACCTTTTAACATATCTTTAATAAATACATACATAGCACGAAGCGTCCACAATCGTGCCACTTCACTTCACTTCACCCACCCGCTACACAACCCGGCGAATGTCCGCTGAGACGACGACCTACTTACGTACGTACCCCCTCTGCTTCCTGTGAGCAAAGAGGGGAGAAAATGAATGATCTGGGGATGGATTTCTCAAGCTTATGTGATTTTGTGATGTTTCATCGTTCGCTTGTTTGAATTGTTGGGTTGGTTGGGTGGTTGGTTCGTTCACTTGTCAATGCACTGGTTCACTTCACTGCACTTCACCACGGCTCTTCACTTCACTTCATCGATTCACTTCACTTCACCACTTCACTACAGCTCTTCACCTTGTTCACAGACGTAATCGATTAAACAACAATATATCAGTCACCTTTTCCTTGACAGTGAGTTCAGCACCAAGATAGATCATGAAATGGGTGTGTGCATTTTTTCATTTCGCAAGCCGCAGAGATAATAGCTCTAATAAGCCCAGCCGCTGTCTGTAACCAAAACCACAGCTTAGCCAGATCTTAAAACACCATCATCCAAGAACAGAGAAATAGTTGGAAAACCAAAAAAAAAAACGACAACCAGAATCCTGTCGGAGAGAGAAAACTCCAAGGCCCATTCCTTTTTGACTCTACCTGCCACGGGAAGAAGCAGAAGAATGATGACAGCAGGTAGAGCAGGGACAGAAGGCCCACCTACTTTCTGCCCAGAGAAGAGAAATGAAGAAGGCTGTACCAAGGCACAGAAACAGTGAGAAAAGTTCCAAATGGGGAAAACCTCTATCAGAGATGGCATCCCCAGAACAACAAAGGCGAGAAAGCAGGAACAATAACAAACACCAGACGCCGTCCACATGTCTGGGAATAACCCTATCTCAAGATGATAAGGACGATAACAATAGAACGAGGTTGAATCTCGGAGATGACTGAGATCTGGCGTTCGGTGAAACCAAAAAATTAGAACAAAAGGGGTATTGAATCGCAACTAGTGCGCGCAGTACCCAGTGTACAAGATTAAATGTTATAAACAGAGACGTTCCCGGAGGCCTGCCCAGCTTTTATTGTGGAGATTCGTGACTTCGGAGACGTCGTGATGCATAAGAAGAGCGGGTCGAGGATGTGGCCATCTTCAAAGAGGTTGTGTGAGCGGTGGCGCGGTGATGAGGGATTGATGAGGCGCTCGGGTCTAGCTGGCACCAGCGGGGAGCTGCGAGAGGTGTGATCGCATGGCGGACGCAAATTTGGCATCGATCCCATCGTCTAGGTGAATGCCGCTGTCGTCGTGGTTGGGCTCCTGTTGGGAGGTTGCAAGGTCCAAATCGAGATTGAAGCTCACTTGATCGTACCGTTCAGGATATCGTCGAGTATTGACTGTTCATCTTCGTTAGTCAACGACCATAGCTTGGAAGTGAAGTGTGATAAGGGGAAAACTCACTTTCGGAATTCATGCTGCCTCCAACCGGCATGCTAACAGTGTTAGTACTCATAAAACTTTGGTTTGGCCCAAAGTCCGCGTCTATGCTGCTATACCGGCTCTCGGCATTGCTTCCAGTTCCACCGTTGGCAATGTCTGTGGTCATTGAATCACCCATCAGCCCTGGCGAGTAGGCCATAGCGTTGTGGTTAGGTGGTGCGTGGTCGAGGAAACCACCCAAGGAGGCAAGCCACTGGCCCATCTCATCGATGAAAACTTTCGTGAGCCACCATCCTTGGAAGCTCTGGCCGTTCTCGACAGTGATCTCACGGAGCGCGGCAGATCCGAGGGCATTGACACAGTGCAGGATGATACGAGCAGGAGCGTGTGGAAATCTTGAAGGAAGTCTAGTAAGAAACGCTGCGATACGGTCGATGACGGTCTCGTTTGTAAGGTCGGGTATATCTGGCATTGGCTCTCTAAGAAGGACGCCAGTTGGAAGCCAGGTTTCGCTCGGCAGGGGAAGAAGTAGCGCGCGAATCTCCGTGGAGAGGATGTTGAGCACGTCCTCGTGCCCACATGATGAGGGTAGCTCGTTCTCGATGATCCGCTTGATGTTAACATACGCTTTCCAGTCTCCCCACATCTGCTCGCGGTTGCTGTCGGCCATCAACATGACTGCGGCAGCATGTGCCGTCGAATTCACACGGAGCATCTGTCGAAGAAGATGAGAGAATAATGTGGCTGGCTCCAATCGCGCTTCGAGAGTATGGTTTGGTAGGTTGCAGAAGATCTTGTTTAGATGAGGATAGAGCATCTTAGAGACATTGTCGAGAAATTTGAGTACGGGAGGGGGCGCGACTTGTAATGTGAGCTGGGAGACATTGCGGATCATCTTCTGGTACATCATCCAATCGCATTCTCTTATCCAAGGAGCGATCTCTGGTTGTGCGAATAGTTTTTGAACAGGCACGGTCAATGTGCCATGGAATGAGGTGAATAGACGGAAGAATTGTTTCTCCTTGCAGTAACGGACCGAGTCGATGAGCGAGGTACAGTGGGTGCGATAAAGCGCGACCAAAGCCTCCGCAGCGTCTGAATCTGTTTTAGGAGGTAGATAAGGTGTTATGTCGGGCAAGACAATCGAGACGTTGTCTTCGGGTGCCATTTGTTCTGGCGTGGCGAATTTGAGGTCGTACTCCCACATCGGTGTGTTCCGGCTGTTATTGGCACGGAATTGCTCTGAGTATATGTCGGTGAAGAGGCGTCCCCGAGAGGTAGATTGCGAAAAGAAACTACTTTGCGAATCAAACGCTTGGTCTTGTGTGGGGAAGGCAGCAGTGTCGGCGGGTAATCGTGGCATGGAATTGAAGTCGATTTTGGGAGTCGATGAGCTCTGGCGCCTGAGCAGGCCCGGTGCCGACTGTCCAGTGACGGAACGAAGACCATCTGCAGCATCTCCACTGTCGTTGATGAGCGCAAGATCCACATAATGGTACTTGGACTCTCCTCGAACACCGAGTCGTCGCGTTTGGATGCCCGGGAAGATGACGCGCACGAGTTTGCCAAACGAGGCTGGATTGAGAGGGATGACACGTTCTGTACCGCATCTTTCTGCGTATTTCGAGTACACACGGTTACGTGGGACGGACGTCTTTGCTGTTTTGCAAACCGATTTCAACCTACGCGAGTGTTAGCATTCCAGCAATAGTAATCATGGACCTGACTTTTCATACCAGAGCATGGCGAAGAGCTGTTTTGATTTCTCAGCTTTTGATGTCCTGTCTGTGGCAATAACTTCTGCAGCAACGTCTTTCAACGCGCGGCCATCGTTTCGCGAAAGCATTTCTCTCAGTTCCTTATCGTTGGTCGCGCTCCCTGACGCGGAGCCCTTCTTCTTCTTGCCATTGATCTCTTCGGCGTCCAAAGAGGGACCGATGGAGACAACGGATGGCTGTCGCTGGATCATGGATCCCTGCATCATGAGAGCAGCTTGGTTTGGGTCGAACGCTTGGTGCGCGAGGTTGGGTTGCTGGGGTGGCGCGCTGCCGTCGGCCGAGAATGCCATCAACTGTTGCACCGAGTCCATGGAGAGGTCCTGCTGACTGGCATGTTGGGCGGCTTGCAGTAGGGCAGGCTCGAGGGGCGCAAATGTTGTGTTGTACTGTGGAGGAAAGCTGTGTGCGGGATGCTGATGTTGTGGGAAGCGTGCATGGGCGTGTGCATGTGCGTGTGGGTGGACGTGAGGATGATTGCGTTGCGAGTGGTCGTGTTGGTCAAACGAATGTATGCTCGCAGTGGATGCGCGTGATATTGGGCGATTGCTCTTGGTCGAGATGGAAGTGTTGGAGCGCGACCGGCGGATGTCGTTGGCCATTGTGAGGGTTTTGCGGTGTGTTTACCGGCCAAAACAAAGATGAGGCTTGGCAGCAACGAGCGTTTGCAACAGCAGAATGAGCAGCTGCAAAGCTCCAAGCAATCAGAAATAAAGATAATGGCAGTCGCGATGGGAACTGTCTGGGGTAATGTGTGGAGGAAGGATGGATGGAGTCGAGCAAGGCCGCTTTTGCGATGTTGTCAATTGACAAACGGGTTGTTGTGGGCCGTAGGAACGGGACGGCAGGGGGAGAAAGGGTCAAGAAGATGTCGGAAGCGATTGGAACATGGAAATAGATGTAGAAAGGAAGAATACCCAAGTGACAGTAAGGAAGAGAAAGGTGGGCGGGTTGTGCCTCTGGTGGGAAGAGGAGGAAGACGTGGATGTCTTTGTTGTGAGTTGAGGATGCAGAGAAGTGGAAGGTAAACAGCAGTTGTTACCAGCGAAACCAGCGAGGGAAACTGCCCTTGGGCTTGGCATTGAATCCCAGTCACGTGGACACACCGTATTCCTCTCAACATTACGGGCCATCTGGATTCCTTCCACGGTCACCCAACCTAAAGTAAATTATCTTCTCATTCTATTCCCTATATTAGTACAGTATACTACGGGGTAGGCAAAGTATAGTACTGTTCACTCCTTAGACGGTTCCACTACTTTATGCGAGCAGAATAAAGTGCAATCGATGTATTTGGTATTTGGTAGAACATAGACCACAATAACAAATAACATGACAATGATAAGATGATCAGATAACAAATGATAGGTATTACAATAGATGAAGGTAGACTGAGGAGCGCGTGCACAGCATTACTAGGGAAGATGTACTCCGTATGCAACCTTAGTTTGTTGTGTGTGATGATGTGATGCAGGCACGCGACGGTGGCAGGCAGATGAGACAACATAGGCAGATAAGACAGCCAGGCGAGGAGCGATCATGCATGCAAGCACGTTTGAATGGTGACTGTTTGTAGCCCCCAGTAGGTTATTGAATGAGAACTGTGGTTTGAAATATTGTGAAGATAATGTACGGAGTACATGGTGAGTTGTAACAGGTACATGGATGTTGGTGTACCGTGTTAGTAGTAGCAAGTACCTAACTATTGAATATTATTAGGAGAAAGCTGTTTGGCTTGTGAAAGGGAGAGAGAGAGGCAAGAGGGAATAGGGAAGGTCGGCAGTGCGAGGAAGGGGACTGGGGGAGTGACTGGAGGGACTGACGTATTTAGCGATGACGCTGCAGGTGCGACCCGCTCTCATCCCACAATCAATCCCATTCCTACCCACCCCTTCTACCTAATTCTATCTTAAACCCTCTCTCTTCCCCCTCAACACCACAACTACAATACAATTACTCTTCCACTACAATTACGACATATCTGTCACCCCTCTTCTACCGCTCACTCATCACTACCCATAGCTATCGCAGCTTTCTGAACTAACTACCGCCCAGCATGTCTATCCAGGACCGCGCCCAAAACCACATCTCCCAGCTCGACAAGGAGGTCAGTATTTACACTCGCAAGCCCAACATACGTCGTTCGTACCGGCTCGACGACTGCTAGTAATGCAGTCCGAAAGCTTCAACATCGCACAACATCTTTCCGTCACGTCCAAACCTGCTATCCAAGTCGCATGCTGATTATTTATCTGTTGTGATAGCTGTCCAAATACCCCGCCCTCAACAACTTCGAGAAGCAGACTTCCGTGCCCAAGGTCTATGCCGTCCTCGGTCTCGCTGCCCTCTACTTCTTCCTCATCTTCTTCAACATCGCCGGCGGTTTCCTCGTTAACATTGCTGGATTCGTCCTTCCCGGCTACTACTCCCTCGCTGCGCTGTTCAGCGTGAGCAAGGTCGATGATACTCAGGTGCGTTCCCAACCCGATATATCCGGCCTGTGACAGTGGTCGCAGACCTGTATTTTGCACACATTATGCTAATTGCTATTCTAGTGGCTCACGGTAAGACGATCCAACACGATGAAACAAATTCCATTTCATCCGCATTTTCTGTGACCGGCTTGGCTAACGCTGCAGTTCAGTACTGGGTGGTCTTTGCGTTCTTGACGTAAGTGGAATAGCTGCGCTAGATTGTTCGCCAAATACTAACCCCCGCAGTGTATTCGAGAGCGCCGTCAGCGCCGTTTACTGGTTCCGTACGTCTCCACACCGCCGTACATTTGAATTACCGGCCAGGCACTAACTCCGAGCAGCATTCTACTACACCTTCAAGTTCGTCCTTGTCCTCTGGATGGCTCTTCCTCAGACTGGGTGCGTTCACAACCTTCCATGGAATTGATAAAGCTCGCCATCATTCAAGCTAACAAACAATAGTGGTGCTCAAATCATCTTCCGCTCTTTCATCCACCCCGTCTTCTCCCGCTACTTCTCCCAGACTGGTTCCACCGCCGCCAACCTCCGTGCTCAAGCCGACTCGGCTGGCAAGTCTCAGTAAATTAGCTGAATATGATGGCGAGTCTCTGACAGCCGCTTGCTTCAGCTTAGGAAAAAATGTTCGCTGAGGCTATCGCTAAGGACGCGGCTGTCACGGCCCAGTTACGATCTCGAGACGACGGTAAACGACGAAAATCTGAACGAAAGGGCGAGAAGCGATCCCGCATGCGGATCGCGGTCTTGCAACTATGATGTCTGGTTGAGGGTAACTTTGGGTTATCTGCTTGGTTGGAGTTTTATAGATTGCGAGGAGGTAATGGTTTTTGGTTCCCTTTTTCCTGTTCGGCCACTTTCGGGGGTCGTGTACACTCCTGCAATGTGATCTGTTGCCAGATCAATCTCATATTGTTTTCTCCGGTGCTCAGATGTGTTGGTCCATGTCACGTGATGTTGTTCGTATCTCATTATGTCTTTGATAAGATCAAATAATCTGTATAGTTGTGTCGAGGGGCAGATATCTTTATTTTGATAACATTTCACAGAAGAACTATTGTCTCACTCACGTATCTGAATGACCAAAGCATGCATGTATCACACTCAGAAGAAAAGACGAGTGAGTAGTCGGGTGAAAAGAGTGTTTTGTTATATATTGGTAGTGACTTGACAAGAACCAAGAAAAAGACTAGCTACCCCTTGTCTATTTACCTTTCTCCCCCTTTGGAAGAGAGAGAAAAGGAAAGAAAACAAGAAAACGTAACAACGATTGTGATTGATCCAATTCTTCTTCCCAATATACTTTCCAGGTCGATCACCTTCCTTTCGCCCCCCATTTTCAAGAGTCCATGGAAAAAGGGAGGCGTTTAAATTTTATTGTCTTTGTCGGTCTACTGCAGTCGTTCTCGTCCAAGAAAAAAGGGGGTTGATATGTACAGTTTCGTGTAGTGTTTGTAATAAACATTTTGCGCTTTGCTTATCAAGCTTCGCTCGCTCGCTCGCTTTTATCAATCTAGAAAGCGGGCTTAGCATTCTTGACGAGGTCCTCGAAGTACGCCTGGTTCCACTGTCCAGCCTCGGGGGAAGGCTTGAACGCGTCCTCCTTGCCGCAGAAGCTGTCGTATCGCTTGGCGCTGGTGTCGCTGGTGCCGTCGGACTCGCCGCCGGGCTTGACCCAGACGAAGGCGTCGACGAGGGAGTTTCCAGTGCTGCCCGTGGGACGCACGCCGAAGCCTGCGCCGCGGACGTTGCACCAGTTGCCCCACTCCTTGCGGAGGCCGGTGACGGCGTTGCGGCCCGTGTCGATGATGGCTTGGCCGGGCATGCCGGCGGACTTGAGCTCTGGGGAGAAGAGAGCGATGTATTCTTTCTCGTTCTGGGCTTTGTTCCATTGGGCGTCGGTGGCCTTGGAGAACTCGCCGGGAGAGAGGTCGTAGGCGTTCCAGCCGGCGACGTTGGTGGCGACGCCGCGGACCGTCTTGGGGCTGCCGGCGGCCTTGTAGGCGTTGGCGAGTTCCTTTGCTCCGGGCTCTGTAGTATTTTGTTAGCAGGAGGTAGAGAGGGGGTGGGGTTGGAAAGGGGGAGGGAGCAACGTACTCAGGTTGTCGTTCCAGCCGAGCCAGCCACCGTGGCCAGCGTCAATGTACATGGCGATGTTGGGGAGGTTGAGCTGCTTAAGAGCATAAGCGACACCATCGCGGTAACCAGAGGCAGAGTCCTTGCAGGCCTGCTTGTCGATGTTGGTGACGAGGTTGGGGAGCGAATCGGGCTCAATGACGAGGGCGAAGGCAGTGTTGGGGAACTTCTTGAGGATTGTGACGATGGCTGTTGGGAATTGGTTAGCTGCTGGCTCTTTCTGAAGCATATTTGGAAGTCAAGACTTACGGTCAATGTACTCGGACTTGTAGACGGGGAGATCACCAACAGCAAGTTCACCGTTGGAAGCCTTAGCGGCGCAGTCACGTCCTGGGAGATCGTAGATGACGAGACCGGCAATGTGGGTGCAAGGAACGTTGGACAAGTTCTCCTCGATCACGGAGATCTTGCTGCGGGTGTCGCTGTTGTTCACGTTAGCACCTGTGCCCCCTTATGAACCGGTCTTTGACAAGAGAACTTACATCCACAAGAAAGATCCGACATCAGCGACCTTGGCAGCGGAGGCAGCCAAAGCGGTGTCAGTCATGGCAGCAGCAGCGGACTTGACCTCGCTGGCGTAGAAGGGGTTGGCATAGAGGGTCCTGGAAGCGAATGGATTGCCACTGAGCGTGACGGGAGTGGCGCAAGCTGCGGCAGCAGCACGAGCAGTGACGGGACCCTTCTCGATGGGGCTGGGAGCGGCGAAGACGCCAGTGAAGGCGGTGGCCGCCAAGGCAGTGTAAAGACCCTTCATGTCGACGATGTGGAAAGTGTTGACCTGGTTGTAGAAGTGGATGCCGAACCCTTCGAGGAGCGAGAGGTCCTTCTTATATCAATTGAGATATGCACCCCTCAAGACTTGTCTCCCTCTTTCTCTCTCGTGCCATGGAAATGCTTCGCTGATCACAGGTGCATCTCATAAGGAAGCAGGCCCGTAAACTGCGGACTGGGAATGTGCTCAAGGGTCTGTGCATCTTGACGCTGGCATCATGAGGCTTAGATGACAAGTCGTTAACAGTGGCAAGGGGTTCTACTATAACAGGGTCCACAATCGAACCATTTGGCGTCGATGGAGCATGATTGGAACCGCTCTGGTGAGTGGCGCTTCTCGGAATATTTCTTCAATCCTACAGAACCATGTCCTGGCATTGTCAATAGACGGTAAAGTACAGCAGCCATTGAGGAATGGAACAATGATTGCTACCAAACATGGTGATTGTGTTCAGTATGTGATAGGATAGGGTAGACGTTCGGATAGATTGACATCAATCCGCAATATAGGGCTAGGTAACGTGTTTGGCCGTGATATTGCCCTCAAGGGTCAATAAATGACAGTTAACTTGAGACGCTTTGTAGTCCCGGAAACCTAGCACTACTTCGGAGTACCTACCCCGCGATCTCCAGTGTGTGACGATGGACCCCGGCTTTAGATCTTACATGACAACCACAGTGGCTGCAGGAGTTGTACCACCCGTCCACGAGACCATGGAGCGCACGGACAGAGCTTGCCCTGAGCGGCGGCAAGGCGATATGCTGAAATTCAATGAAATATAGATTGGGAAAAGCTGCCGCTGCCTACCGTCTGGTACTTGATGCCGCGTATGCAACCGATGATCGAATTAACATGTATGTACCAGCAGTGTTAAACATACAGATGAGGACGAGAAAAAGCTATTGAATTCGACAGAAGTAAGGAGACGTGCTAGGACAATGCTAGCCTAGGGGTTGGCCCCTCAGTGTAGCGGCGTGGCGACCTTCTAGTGATATTGCGAATATACTGCCCAGCGATATTGGCCGCTCTGCAATAATTAATCAAGAGGAGACAAGCTTCGAATGAGCAGATTCCAGACAGGTACAACGAAGGTGAGTACCGGGAGTGAGACATATTGAAGGGACTTCTGGAAAGACCATGGAACATCTGAAAGTGCGCATTAATTGATTCGGTGACTTGGGAGGCTCTGGAGCTTTGCATTTATCCTGAACGCACCCCACATCTGACCGAGGCAGCGGTGCATTTGCTCGTTCGCTAATGTACTTCTCATCTCTCATTTCGGACTAGATGTACATTGGGAGGTAAATACACCATCGCGATGGCTGCGGCGATTCCCTGGAATAAGGAAGACGTATCTCCGACGGGTAGGTTGGGGTACATCCCGACTCAATCATTCAGAGACTGGCAGATCTTGACGCCGATACGAATACCCCTGTTGTGTGTCTGTCGACCTGCCGCTGAAGTAGCCGGCGATGAAATGTGCACAGCGACTTAGGAATTTTCAGTGCCGAATATTAGCACTATTACGACACAGATTTACTGAAAGTGTGAATATCTCTTTCCCCACATTGCTCAGCGTCTAGATCTCTTAAACGCTGAGTGTCAGCTGCTCTGGACAGTACGGTAAAATGTTCTTTTTGTTTGTGTCCCAGGTTTCTCCAGAAAACCTAGGCTAGGCTAGCCCCCGCGTTCTACAGCCGTGCATGCTCCTGCTCCATGTCATTCCACAACCTATCATCGTGGTCAACCGATTGATGGAATTTCGCCTTGCCCCCTGCAGGGTATCTGAGAACGCATTATGAGTGGCTGTCGTGCAACATCGTGAACGCCTCTAGACGTCTGGCGATAATTTAAAGTTTTCCCGTGACCGCGCTAAGTCTGTCAATTCCCAGATTGGAAAGGTGCCGGCAGTCGAGTATCCACTTTGTGAATCCCCCAAAGCATGGCATAACAAGAGACATTCGAAACACTCTTTTCACACCTAAGAGTTAGCAAGCTCAGAAAACTGGTCGATCGAAATGCTTAGGAGCAAACTTGAACTATAGCGTTGTTTTCCTATCCTTCCTGTTGTTCTGTAATTCCTCATCCACCAATCATCTGAGCTGTGACCAGGGCTCCTGGCCCACTCAGACGCCCCTCAATCTATCCCACGGCTTTACGGCAGATCGTCTGGCAAAATCCCATATTAGCAATATAGGGATAGCTGCTAGCCAGCTAGGGTTGTGACTATGGTGCCTTGGCAGGCGACCTTAATAATTTCCCCTAGATGGTCGACAGGTGTCGATATAGTGTTTCAAATCATGATGGGTGCTCTCATCTCCTGTGTGCAATGCTGCGCGGCCGAACGGATCTTGTGTGGCTGCGGTAATCCTCTCGCACTGGCAGCGAGGGAAGCATCGTTGAGCCAATGTTTGATATCTTCGCGGAATTCTAAGCATTTCGTATCGACTGATTCTGCGCATCAACGTTCACTTTGACTTGGGATGATTGTAACAATAAGTAGCTCGAGATTTCGGGAATATTGCTATGATGACCTATTAAACGCCTTGAGTGTGCAATGGTATCTCATAAGCCTTGAGATGGACCAGACATCGATTTCAAAAAGTGAAAACGCCATAATGCATTAGACATTGTTGGGCCCTGGACCAGGACCATTTCCTGGATCAAGTAGCAGATGTGGCTTCAAGAACCCATCGTCTATCTGTTTGAATGCTGCGGCAGGATCCTGAGATAGTTCTGAAAAGAGCTGCTTTACAGCACCAGTAGCAGTAGCGACTCTTGACGACTCGCCGACTGTTCTACTCGAAGTGCCGGAAGTAGGGTAGGGCGTGGTATCCTGTGGCAGTCCCAGCGGTGAAGGGACCCTGTTTGGCGATCTTCGAGCGCTTGGGGGGAGATCAAGATCTCCGTCGTCTTCGTCGTTGCTTCCACTGTCACCGGGACTGAGCAAGCCTTGATCGGCACCATCATGGCGCCTTGGCCGGCTTGAATTTCGTCTAGCGTTCAAGTTAGAGGGTCGGCTCGGGGGACTACTTCTGTTGACATTGCCGCTCGAGTAAGATGGCCCATTGTCATTGACATTGTGCAGCGCAAACCCATTCGAGCTTTGTCGTGGAGTGTGACCAAAGCCAAGGCCTTTGTTACGAGAGTAGGTACCTCCACCAACTACCTCGATGTCGAACTCATCGTCAGAGTCAATCTCTTCGACCACACCAGTGCGAATGTTCAAAATTTCCAACATGCGAGCCGTTGTCCCGCCAAATATGATGACTGTCAGAACAACAACAACAAGAACGGTTGCACGAAGTGCATCACCGTTGACCCCCGAAAGGCCGGCAGCAAGAGCGACTCCGACAGCTCCTCGCAGTCCCGCCCAGAAAATCATAGCTTGATGGGAATATGGTATCTCTTCCCCTGCTTCGTTTCCAAAACGTCGCTGGCGGTACCGAATTACGGAATTTATGATCCGCGATAATGGGAAGACTGCGCACCACCGTGCCGCGCATATTCCTGCCACGGTAACAAGAATGAAAAGCGGCTTATATGTGAGAGAATCGTCCGTGAAGAGCGAAAGACCGAGGTAGATGAAGATAAAATTTTCAGACAACTGCGCGGTGACTTGGAAGACGAATTTGGTTGTCAACTGCGTTCGTCGAGACATGTTTAGATACGCATAGTGTTTCATGCAGATACCGCAAAACAAGAGAGACACAATTCCTGGATGATGTTAGATGTGATAGCAACTGGACAGGTGGTATGCTTACCAGACATGTGAATGGCGTTGGAGAAGAAGTAAGTTCCATAGGCAATAAGAACGATGAGACAACTTTCCGTTTTAGGGAAGCGCCTCACATACGTGAATTTCAGCATCAAAGAGGCGCCAATACCCACCAGGATGCCGATGAACAAGCTGCCAAAGAAAACGCCAAAGAAGATACCAATAGCTTCGAATAGACTCAGTATGGTAAGCGTCATGTTGGGATCTTTGTACTTTTGTGCCGTCTCAAAAAGCACAATAGCGATAGCATCGTTCAAAATTGACTCGCCAAAAATAACAGTGTAAAGCTTGGGTTCAACCTTGTAGGTATTGAAGATGGCGAGAATAGTGACGGGATCTGTAGCTGAAAGCGTAGCACCGACCGACATGGCCTCGACAAAAGTAATGTTCAGGCCATCGAGGGGGATTCTCGTCCAGAGGAAGAGGATTACACCAAGAACGACCGCCGATATGAAAGTTCCAGCGAACGCGAAGGTCAGAATAGTTCCGATGTGGCGGAAAAAGTTCCCCTGATGCAGCTCGTAACCGGACGATAGGATAATGGGTGGGAGAAGCAGGTTGAAGAAGAATTGGTAGTCGAAACTGACTGCTTCTAAAACGGAAACAACGGCTGTTAATCGTAGGATCAGTCCAACGACCATACCTGTGGACTACTGTTAGTGATATTGACCGTGTCATGGCGATGCATCAGACTGGGCGCATTGGTGGTGTTGAGATGTTTGCGATCGCGCTTTGCTATCCTTTCGTCCTCCACAGACCTTGAAAGGCAGCAGAGGCGAAGGTTAACACAAAAGCGATGCCGATTGCATGTGCACGATCCTCAGACCACCGCGTCGCCACAACTTGTACAACTCTTAAGATGCTGCCCAGGCGCGTTGCTTGTTGACTTACCTGCGAAAATAGATAGAACCGTCTCATGGACCGCTTGTATTTTGCGCGTCTGGAGGATGTAGCTAGTGAATAGAGCTATGATGAGTAGCACGATGAGGATCGATAACGCCCATGATGTGAAGATCTCCTTCTGTCCCGCCTCGGGCTCTGTTTGGCATTGTCAGCCTGGAGGGTGCATTAATCGGGGTGTGTAGCGATCGTGGTCTGACCTTCATCTGGGTCTGCGTCGATTGTATCTCGTTCTGTGGTGGATGATTGTCAGCCTAGGCTTCTCCCTACAATGCAGCCTCCCTCTGGTTGTACATACTCAGTATTTCAGTGATTGCCCACCCCACCGTCGAAGCCATGTTGGGCTAATGCAACCGAGCGATCATTAGCAGAAGGGTATAGGTGTGTGAAGGCACTGGCGACTGAGAATGGCAAGATGTCCTTTTGAATGTTGTTGCGACGGAGTACGGGTTCCTGGGGAGCTTCGAATGGCGGCCTAGGACAGCAACCCTGTCTGTTCTTGAAACGTATTCGCGGATGTTGATCCGTAGATGGGTGGGAATGTTGACGCGCGGCAGGCGGCGCACAAAGATGGAAGGTTCTAGTAATTGTCTCGTTCCTGGATCGGGAAATGTTCGAGGCGAATAGACTGGTTGAGAAGAAGAAGAAGAAATGTGTCCCTGTGAATCGTGTGAGGGACCACGAGATCCCCGATAGCGAATTCACGAAACCCTTGGGACAGCTTCCGCGTAGCTGCCGCTTGCCGTATTGGATCTAGCGGTTCTCGGCAGCTGCAAGGGATTGGCACCTTACTAATATGGGTTAGACATGAGGACATACGTCACTGGACGAGATGAACAAGTGACCATGACCATGACTATGACCACACGATGAACCATCTATTCCTCGTCTTCGTCCCATGATGAAATAATAGTGAGATGAAACTTCCCATCCATCACCCCAGCTAGGACTGACCACTTGCGACTTGCTTACCGCCTCCACACTTACCGTCTCCACGCTTACTTTACCCAACTGCCATCTGCAAGTCATCATACTTCCTCTCTACCCTGGAACTACGAATATCACCACCTCGAGTTCCTCCATCTTCCATCTCCATCCTTCAATAATACTTCCCATACCCTTCTCCCATCTCCGCCTGGATTCTCCTTATACGACACGGCAATATCACCGGTACTATCAGCGACCTTATTCCTTCACTCTCTTTCTTTCCATCGTCCGCATATATAGGCTCTAGTTAGATCAGGTCTCTCAGGTCACACGGCTTCGCGACACTTACCCGAACGTGACATCCTACTGGCCGCAGCATGATACACTGTGGCTTGTAGAGACCTAGGCCTTGCCCCTCTAAATCTCTCTCTTACCTAGTAACTAGGTTCGCATATTGTAGACCGCTATTCCCCACAACCCTTTTGCGCGAACGATTTTGTTTCTGTAAACGTCATAGCCATATAGCGCGTGCTAAGTGGTATTACGCCTACATCCGACTATTTCGCTATCACCAGGCCTCGGGAATACTCCCTATCTTCCCTCTGCCTTGCGTCCTCAATCAAACACGTTTGGCCGACATGGACGGTCCGGCTGCTACCCATCCCAAAGTCGTCTCTTTTCGACAGAGCGAAGATTCTCGTGGTCCATTAGCAGAATACATAAATGAGCAGTCACCTCTCATCCAACCTCGTCGTTCGGGTGAAGGAGATGCACTGCTCAAGGTAGACTCTCCGGATGGCCTTGATGACTGGCAAGAGGAAGCTGATGAAGAAACAAAGAGCAGTTGGTATCTGTTCTTATTAACACTCAGTGGCCTTGGTTTGCAGATTGGTTGGTCGGTTGAAACCTCGAATGGCTCGGTATGTATATCTGCCGCCACCATCGTCTCCCACGAACTGCTATTACCCATCAAAGTATGACCCTAGCAAGTCACTAATTGGCTGTCAGCCCTATCTGCTCTCTCTCGGTCTCAGTAAATCATTCCTCGCACTGGTCTGGATTGCAGGGCCCCTTTCGGGAGTGCTTGTACAACCCTACGTAGGCATGAAGAGTGACAACTGCAGAATGCGTTGGGGCAAGAGAAGACCCTTCATCGTGGGCGGAGCAGCAGCTACCATTGTATCCCTCATGATACTCGCGTGGACAAAGGAGATCGTTTCTGGGTTTTTGGGGATTTTTGGTGCAGACAAAGAGTCCCGAGGGGTTCAGATCAGTGTTATGGTCTTCGCAGTACTCTTCGTTTATGTACTAGACTTTGCCATAAACGTCAGTAAGTGATATCTACTGATCATCAAATGTGAGCACCTTGCTTAGCCGTCACAGTCCAAGCGGGTATTCGTGCCTTCATTGTCGACTGCGCCCCGACTCATCAACAAGAGTCCGCCAATGCCTGGATCATGCGTACATCTGGAGCTGGGAATATCCTAGGATATCTTGCTGGAAACATAAAGCTACCGCAATATTTGCCCTTTCTGGGGGATACGCAGTTCAAAGTTCTATGCGCCATTGCATCATTTATCATGGCTCTCACGGTTGGAATCAGTTGCGTTGCGGTTGAAGAACGAGATCCCCGGTTTGATGGAGAAGCTCAAGTCGAAGAGGGACTTCTGGCCTTTTTCAAGTCTCTGTACCGTTCCGTACGCAAGCTTCCACTTCAGATCAAACGAGTATGCCAAGTACAGTTCTTCGCTTGGATAGGCTGGTTCCCCTTTCTATTCTACATCACGACATACGTTGGGGAGATTTATACGGAGCCCGAGTTTGAGGCACACCCTGATTTGACAGACACTCAAATCAACGATCTTTTAGAAGAAGGAACTAGGATCGGTTCTCGTGCTCTTCTCATATTCGCCATTACGACGTTTGCGGCATCGGTTTTCCTGCCTTTTATCATCCCCCCTACTTATGAAGCTCCAAAGGCTGACCATGTTACTACACCAATGACACCTATGACGCCGACTACCCCTCATTCCATGTCTGGATCTGGGTATTTTTCCTATGATCCTCACAAATCTCAAAAGAAACCCCAGAAATGGTCTGACCGTTGGGCTAGATATGCAAATATCCTCCAAATTTCAAGCCTGACACTTCGGAGGGCATGGTTTCTATCGCACATCATGTTTGCTGTTCTCATGGCCGCCACCTTCTTTGTTCGATCAACCTTTACCGCCACCGTGCTCGTCGGTCTGATCGGCATTCCTTGGGGTATCACGAATTGGGCGCCTTTTGCTCTTATCTCCTCTGAAATATCCAAGCGCGACGCAATGAAACGAGGCCTCATTCGCCCAGCCTCTCGAGACGCGGCGTTGATTGCTGCTGGGGAAGATGATGCTGAAGGTGCAGATCAGGCTGGTGTGGTACTGGGCATTCACAATGTGGCCATTGCGGCACCACAAGTTATCGCCACCTTCGTCAGCTCGATCATCTTCAAGTTACTACAGAAGCCAAGGGGAACACCAGGAGACAACAGTGTAGCATGGGTCCTACGTTTCGGGGGCATTTGCGCATTGGTGGCTGCATATTTCACTCTGAGAGTCAGGGAAGATAAAGAGGATACCGATCTTCAGAGTGAGCGTAGACGTAGATTTTCTTGAGTTTTGGGAATACATTGCAGGCGTATAAGCGCATGAGCATAAGCATGGCGTTGGCATTTGGATAGGCATCGGTTCATGAGCCTGCTGGCGAAGGGACGGGAACACCTCTGACTACCCAAGTACCCAGTGAGACCTGACGTTTTACTGCGTGTTCCATCTTAGTGGTGGTGTTCTAGGGAATCCGAGGGACACAAAGCGAATAAATTAAATAGGTTAAGCCATTTTGGCTCACTTTTCAGATACATCCTCTTGTGACTACTCGTTTTCAATTGATGCTGGACAATATCCATCCAATCCCGTGATAATTCTACAACTCCTCGATATTTGGGTATCATAAACAACTCCCTACCTCCTCCCCTTCTTCGCACCCTTTCCACCCTTCCCACTCTTCCCGCCCTTCCCACGATAACTACCCTTCACCCCATTGATATCCGCCAAATCCTTCTTACTCAACTTCAGCATCCCGCCCTTGAACGTCCCAACATCTGGACCACCGACCCCGCGATCCCTCTCGCCCGAGAACTTCTTCGCCCTCCTCTCCTTCTCCAAAATGATACCGTTCTCTTTCGCCTCTCGCCTTCGCACGTCCTCCCTGTGCTTCGCCTTCACCGCCATGCCCTTCCGATGCGACATGGGCATGTTCTTCTGCATGTGGATGGAGCCCTTCGCGCCGAGGGACAACAGGTGGAGGTCTGTCGACTTGTGGCGCGAGGCGCCCGTCGCGTCGAGCGTGGGCGTCGACACGCCGGACGTGGAAGTTGAGGAGAGGAGGTGGGAGTCGCGGAGGAGGCGTTGGAGCGCGAGGTCATTTTTCAGGTGTGCGGTTTCGGTTGGGTCGTCGGCTTCTTTGGTGGGCTTTTTGGGGGCGGACTTGGAGAGGGCGGTCGAGGCGGAGGGGGGCTTTGAGGACTGCAGGGTACGTTAGAGGTGCTTTGCTCTTCTGGGATGGATAGAGGGGGAGAATTTACCATGAATGATCTCATCTCCCGCCGGTGCTCTTGCTCGTCAACTGGTGCGGCATCCGCGTACTCAACGACTTCGACCCCATCGTTGTTGTCGTCCGCGGACTCGATGCCAGACCAGTCTGATTCTGCCTCAGATTCTTCCTCCACCTCTTCAATTTCTTTGACTTTCTTTTTCTTAGGCTCTACATCCAATGGCTTGAACTTCGCCTCGAACGCCCGGCGAAACGCATCCCGCATGTCCTCTCCATCCTCGCTGTCCGACTGCTGTGGTCCCGGCGATGGCGGCGATCGTGATGGCTGCTGGATCTCCTCGCGAGTGACGCGCTTTCGTTTTCCGAGTTTTGGTGGCATATCCGTTTTTTTTCTTCTCCTTATGGTCCCACTGCGCGGTGTGGTAGTATTCAGTGGTATTGTTGGTTACGCAGCGAACTTGACAGTGTTCGTCACAGCCACCTTTAAAAAAAAGTTACGCAGATCTCCGCGCCAAGATTTCGCCAGCCCTACGCTGCTCGTATAACTTAGCTAGAACTCATTGATGCAATTAACTATGGGAGAGAGGGGACCACCCCACCAATCAACCCCTCCGATGACTCCGGTAGATCTCCGCATCGCTTTAATAAATTCGTAGATATAATTCCTCCAAATCCAAACCCAATCCCAATTGCTCAATTGCGACAATTGCAATTGCACCAAACGCATACGCACAGCGCACCTCCCCCCACCCAGTCGAATACTATCACAAAACGACAATGACGCGCTTCCGACCCTGCATCGACCTGCACGCCGGCAGCGTCAAGCAAATCGTCGGCGGCACCCTCTCCACGACCTCGGACAGCAGCCTCAAGACGAACTTCACCTCCGAGCACCCGTCCGCGTACTACGCCGCGCTGTACAAGACGCACGAGCTGCATGGCGCGCACGTCATCATGCTGGGTCCCGGCAACGACGACGCTGCGAGGGAGGCGCTGGCTGCGTGGCAGGGCGGGATGCAGGTTGGTGGAGGGGTTACGGAGAAGAATGCTGCGGAGTGGATTAAGGCTGGGGCAGATAAGGCGAGTATATCCTGCTGCGTTCGTTTGGGTTCTTTGGGAGAAGTTTGCGAGGATGTGGAAGGCGTAAAAAGGAATGGCTAATTGAGACTGTAGTAGGTGATTATAACGTCGTACCTATTCCCCGAATCAAAATTCTCGCTCGAGAGGCTGCAGGCCGTTCTCAAGGCGCTCGACGGCAACAAGGATAAGCTCGTCATCGATCTGAGCTGTAGGAGGAAAGACGATAAGTGGTTCGTGGCTACGAATAAATGGCAAACTATCACGGATTTTGAACTGAATCAAGGTAAGCATTCGATTGCTTGTTCTGTGTGGGAGGTGTTTGGCTAATGTTGTGGCTTACAGAGTCTATCGCGCTGCTCGAACCGCACTGTTCGGAGTTCCTGATCCATGCTGCGGACGTTGAGGGGTTGCAGCGCGGTATTGACCACGAGCTTGTTAGTGCGCTGGCGGGCTGGTGCTCGATCCCAGTCACTTATGCCGGTGGAGGTCGCAGCATTGAAGATCTCGAGCTCGTGAAGAGCTTGAGCAATGGCAAGGTTGACCTGACCATTGGCAGCGCTTTGGATATATTCGGAGGAGCCGGCGTGAAGTTTGAAGATTGTGTGAAGTGGAACCAGCAACAGTAAGAGGAACGAGGTAAAACATCAGTCCTCGAGAATGTCAAGGCAGGATCGTAGATGGTATGACATAAATGGCCATTGGATAGCAACAAGATTTACGGTTACATTACGAGAATGAATAAGAATACACAATATCTTTTGTTACAGTGACAGTTCAGACTTTGGATTTCATCGTTTGATTTGACACATACTCTAACTAGCCTTTTGCAAAGCAGAAAAGCATAGTACTAAACCTGCACCACTACTATCTCCTTTCTGAACCCGGGAAAGAAAAACCACCCAAAGCAAAGATTCAATATGAATGTCAATAAAAAAGTTTCCTTCGCGCCTATGCCGATAGACCTTGACCTCCGTTGGAGTCGGTGCATAGGTGTGCCACCAATAAAATGGGTGTGTTGTGTGCCAAACGCCAATCTTGTACAGCTTATAAGAAAATGACAAGTTTTGAAAGTGGAAATGCGAATCTCAAAGCTCGCCAACTCGCGCCAAGCCACCTGTACGTGAATCCCCCTTCGATTATCGTGTCAAGAATGATGCATGTAGTTCTATAGTGGGTATTGTTCTACCTATTATTATTAGCATGTGTCTCATATTCACAGACTGAGACTACTTACATTCAGCCTGCAACTGGCTTGGGAGTTCCGACCGCTGAAGTGATGGCCGTAGAAAGCCCACCATTGACGCTGCTACCGTCGTCGAAGTCCTGCATATCAGGATGATCTTCAGTCGCCTTCTTGAGCTGATCAATGGCGGTCTGTTCGATAAGATTGGCATCCTGGTATAATAGACTCGTGTCTTCGTTGTAGGTGCGACAGTTGTTGCAAAGAGTAGTTATGTCCTGGCGGAATTGTTTGAGGCTCTGGTATTCCTTCTTGTTGATCCTCTTCTTGATCTGGTTCATGCAGACGGGATTCTTGATGATCTGGTAGTAATCGGGGTAGTCCCATTTGTCAGGAAGCTCGATGAAAGGATCAATGATGCCGCGTGGTGGGATGCCGTCTTCCGTGGATTCCTCCTCCAAATCGTTCAAGGCTTCGTACACAACGTTCACGATCTTCTGGAGAGTGGCACGTTCTTCGGGACCCAGTGTTTCCGTGACCTTGCTGGGCGTAGGACGGCCACGCTTGCGAGGTGCGGCGTCACCGTCCAGGGATGCCTCATCTGCCTTGCGCTTTTCAGCTGTCTTGACCTTGCGTCCACGCTTCTTGACTACTGGTTGTGGTTCTTCCGAGCTTTCCCTTGACGGCACAGGGGATTCGGCGACGTCAGACTTGCCAGATTTCTTCAGACGTTTCTGCATCTTAGCATCGCGTCGAGCAATAGCATCTTCGATCGTGTCGTCGTCATTATCGACCGCGTCAAGCCATTGCTCTTCGGTCAGGCCATCGTCATATCGAACACGTGTGCGTTCACGAGCACCTCGACCAAAGCTCTCTTCTTGAACCTCTTCAACCACAGGGACGTCGTCGGTAAGATAGATCTCAGGGAGTTCACTCTCACTTAGGAGACGAGTGTACTTCTTGTTCGGTCCATACTTGTCTGCTGCGATTCTTTCCTTGTCCATTTTCTGGAATGTTGTTAATTCTTCTTCTGAACGCATCATGATCAAGTTGAGATCGTCGTCATCCATCTCCTCGTTCTCAAGACTCTCAGCCGCCTCTGCGGACTCCAACATGATTCGAAGCATGGCGTCTCGTTCCTCATTGGTCGATTTATTGTCGAATTTACCGGCCTGAATGACTTTGCCGTCCATGTCCAACTTGTAGTTGGCTCGCTCGAGAATCTTCTCTTCAACGGAGTTCGATGTGATCAAACGAAGAATGCGGACCTCGTTCTTCTGTCCAATACGATGGGCACGATCCTGAGCCTGCAAATCCTGATGAGGATTCCAATCAGAATCGTAGATAATGACTGTATCGGCGGTTTGAAGGTTAAGACCTAGACCACCCGCACGTGTGGAGAGCAAGAAACAGAAGTATGGCGAATTTGGCGCATTGAATTCCTTCAGAAGGTCGGACCGATCGTCGGCTTTGGTTGCTCCATCGAGACGCATGTACATCATACCTCGAAGGCGTAGATAATCCTCCATGATGTTCATGATCTGAGTCATCTGGAAGAAGATCAAAACACGATGCCCGGTAGCCTGGAACTTGGGCAAGATCCTGTCTAGCAACTCGAACTTGCCCGCAGTTCGCCAAAGCAGATCGTTTGTGCCTCTGCCCGGATTGACCTGGTCCTCGACCTCCTCAAAAACGAATGGATGATTACAAAGTTTGCGCAATTGCATGAGCATATTACTCAAACCTCTCATACCTTGCTTGCCGCCCTTGCCATCGCTGACCATCAATTTGTTGTGAGTGACAAGTTGCTTGTACAACTTAGCTTGCAAGGACGAAAAGTTGCATTTGATGACACGCTCGGTCTTGTCGGGCAGATCCTTTTCCACATCCTTCTTGAGACGACGGAGCAAGAAAGGACGAAGAACCTTATGCAAACGACGAATGACGAGAAGCTGCTCTTCTTCAGTAAGCTCCATCTTGTCCTGACCACCAGTGTTTGCGAAGGGGGTATTGAACCACTCATCGAACGATTTGACGGATTTGAAGATGGTCGGCAGCACGAAGTTGAGCATGGCCCATAGTTCAGTAAGATTGTTTTGTAGAGGAGTTCCAGTAAGAATGAGACGGAAGCGAGTTGTATAGTACTGCGTGATGGTACTGCTGAGTTTCGAGTTTGCATTCTTCATACGATGACCTTCGTCGACAATCATATGAACCCACTTGATCTTGCCAAGAATCGGGCGATCCTTGATGATGAATTCGTATGTGGTCAAGAGGACTTGGAATTGACCCCATCGAATTTGCTGTTGATGCTGCTTTCGTTGATTGGGAGGACCCTTGTACACAATGCGAGTGATGCTCGGTGCCCACTTCTCGAACTCATTGTTCCAATTTGTCAAAGTACTCAATGGGACGATGACCAGGTAGGGTCCTGGTTGCTGCTTCTTTTCGATCAGGTATGTGATCAAACTAATCGTCTGAATTGTCTTTCCGAGACCCATCTCATCGGCAAGGATACCGTTCAAGTTGTTGTTGTACAAGGATATCATCCATTGTAGACCCTTGAGCTGGTACTCCTTCAGAGTACCACCCACAAGATTGGACGATTGTGCTGTGACCTCTTCCTTGATACGATGAGCAATCTCGTAGTAATCTGTTCGTTTCTTGCCAGTTTCTTCTTCCTCGTCAGTACCAACGTCTTCTTCGGATTCGTCGTCTGAAGGCTCGTCTGATCCTGGTAGCATGCCATGGCTTCGCTGTTGTTGTTTCACGGAAGCCGAGAGCTGCTTCAAGAAACCGTCGGTTTGTTTGAGGAGATGGGAGATACGAGTGTCCTTGGCCTGTCCCAACAACTTGAGGTAAGTCTCTTCGTCGTTGGCCTTCAAGGCTTGCAGACGCTGCTTGGCAGTTCGCTCGATTCGCTTCTGCTCTTCCTTTTCGATGGTCTGGTGGGTAGAAATCATTGTGCGACCCAGCTTTTGCAGACGATGGCGTTGGGCAACACCAGCCTCAGTAAGCTCGTTACGGTGCTTGCGGATGGATTCGATGAAGTCGTGGTGCTTCTTCTTCTCCTTGGTTTCACGGGCATCGCGCTGTTGTTTCTCGAGCTTCTCTGTGATGCGTGCCTCGCGCAGAGATTGTTTCTTGAGGCGTCGGTAGATGGAACGATTGGCCGTCATTGCAAGATTGTCAGAAAGAATCATTTCTCGGCTGATAGTCTTGCGAAGAGCGCGTTGCTTCTGTAGCAGACCAAGCATCTTGTGTTCGATCACCAGAGCACGCTTAGCTTTTCCGTCATCTTCTGGAGTATCTGAACGGCTTGTATCCCAAGAGCCAATGTTGGCACTGAGCTTTTCCAACTCTGCCCGACGTGCCTCAATTCGATTGTGTCTAATCGTCTCACTTTGGAGGCGGACATCGTCGATGTTGACGCCTAGAGGCATAATGGATGGGAGATAAGGGCGGCAATCACGGTAAGTATGGGCGATGTAGTTAACGTTTTCCCTCATATACTTCTCGCCCCAAGGATCCTCGAATGTTTCGGGTCGGAATAGATCCTTGGGATCCTTGAGAACACCGCTGGGGTCGACGACAGGTGCGTTGGCTGCACGGGTAGCATTAGTAAGGACCTGTGAGGCGGCTGCAAGTACATCGGAGGCGGTTTGAGACTTCTTGGCTTGTTGAGAGGCAAAGAGTTGCTGCTGCATATGGGCTGGGAGAGGAAGTCCCTTGGACAATTGCTTGAAGGCAGCAATTTGCTGGCGCAGAAGCCTCAACTGTTCTGGTGCGAACGCGTTCGCCCCAGCACTGGTCGCGGATGTAGGGGTCTGCGCATCAGTTCCAGCACTTTGAGGTTGCGGACCTGCTGTCGCAGCTTGAGCGCTGGATGGGCCGGCGCTGGAGCCCGTCGAAATGGACGGCCTACCATCGCCTGGCACAGCCGGCTTTGTCCCGTTCGTAGCAGTTCCATTTTGTTGTAATCCTTGTTGACCGGCTGGGCCTTGCTGTTGCTGCCGCTGCATCATCTGCTGTTGCATCATGGCAGACTTTTGCTTCTCGAATTGGGTCTTTTTCTGGACCAATGTCAAGATGCTGCGCGCCTTCATGAACTCGGGGTCAGTCTCAGGGGTACCGTTCTGTCTCATCTGGTTGTATTTCTGATATTGTGTTAGCGCAAAGATGCCCGGAATATGCACGCTGTCGCGCAATGTAAGGTTCACGGTAATCAACATACCAGATAGACCTGCTGGACCATCTCCTTTGTCATGTTTAGGGGCAGCGCGCCCGGCGCGCCGATGCCGGGTGCTGATTGAACGGACGCCATGATGATGGAGCCTCCGTAGAGTTGTGAAAGGCGATGCTATCAGATGCGCCTTCCAGGTTTTTGGTGGACCGTAGACGCGGACACCGCACGTAGGCAGATGTGGCCACCAAGCGCGTGAAATGCAGAAATGACCGTTGGGGAGTGTAGGAGAAGTGAATGGGGCACGAGAGATGCGACTATGACATGCTCGAACGATGCGGGCGTTGGGAAGAGTCCTTCGGATGATGAGGCTGATGGAACTCCGCCGGGGGTGTCGCTTTCGAGATGTCGCGCTGATGAGCCAGGCTGAGGAGGGCGCAGGGAAATCGGGATGGGGGAATGTGCGGGCGCAAACGCGCGTAGAAGTTGCAAGAAATTGCTTCACGCGTCGTTGCAAGCGTGTTGCGATCGGACTTGTGATGCGGGCGGGCGCGGCAGCGAGTTGGGGTTGGGGTGGGCGGTTCTCGTTCGTGCCTCTGGAGGGAGAGGAGAACTTGCCCAGGTGGAGCGCGAAACAGGACTGTGCCAAGAACGGTGTGCGAAAGTGGACTAGCGTATGAGGGCACGTGAAGAGTTTAAAATAACCTAACGCCTTTTCCGTCGGCCGAACCACTCACAACCAACCACCAAAATGGTGAATATCGTGATCTCAGTTATGGAGGAATAATCTGCCTTTTTGTTGACACAAGCAGCTGTCATACTCAATATTGCGTTTAGACTTGTATCGGATTATGAAATATGCGCCTTCGCAACCCATTATATCCATATCCCGTCCTTGATGCCAAGGCTCCTCACCCCTATCCAAAGTCCGGTGCTCTCTGGCGCAAAGTATGGCAATACTAACAATAATGATAAGAGACAGGTTTGGATGGATAGTCGAGCATGGCAACCAGGGAACATGAGTTCTCGATCGATCAGATTAGTGTCGAACCACGGGAATGCGCGTGTGTTTCGTACCCATTTATTAACGCACTTGTCCCCCCGCATCCTCCAGATCACCCAATCCAGCCGCGTTCGCTTACAGCCAGTCCGTGAACATAATTATCCTGAATTCGCGCTCGTACACTATGATGGACATTTCCATGTGAGACTCATCATCTCTCAGGTCTTCGAATGTCACCAAATAGCACGTTAAAGTGTCATTGATGATGCACTCACATCAAGAGAGAGAGTCACAGATGGCCCGTGCAATGCACACCGCCATGGACGTGGTGTGCAAGATCTCCAACGCGAGTAGAGCCACTGGCTCATCCAGTAACAGCGTAGTCATATTAGTAACACCGAACATAGGTGATGAAGATTTTCACAGCACGGTCAAAGCACACGATAATTTCATGACCAGTATCATTCTTTTTGTACATCAATGTGAGGCTTATCTGCCAAGTGAGCGATATGAATAGATACAACGAATCCAATCCCTCCAAAACAACCACCGCAATTCTTTCCGTCCACTTATTGCCAGCTCTATGTGAGCGTAGGGGTAGTCCAGTCAATGTACTTGCTGACATCGGCGGCGGGACCCTTCTCGATGTTGGCAGTGCTGTCGGACTTGTCGAGCAAGAACTTGTTGATGAAAGCAGTAAGCTCGGCCTGTTGATTGCTTGGGAATGAGCAATGGTTGTGGTTGCCAGAGCCAGTGAAACCCATGTTGTCGGGAACACCGAGGGCCTTGTAGATCAAGCGTCCAGCCTTCATGCAAGCAGTGGTGGAGACGGGACCGAGCCAGTCAATCTCGTTCTCAATAACGAGGAGACCACGAGGAGCCACGAGACCAGCAAGCTGGTGATGATCGGTGGCGGTGGTGGAGGACTTAGTGGCGAAGGTGTTGAAGTTCTTGGAGAACCAGACGTTCTCGCCAATAATCTGGCCAGAGGTCTGGATGTTCTTGCCAGCAGCCTTCTCTGAGTCGGAAATACGCCAGCAGGCAGCACCACCGGAACCGGACTCCTGGGGAAGACCGAGAGCAATACGGGGCACAAGGGCGGCGGCGACGAAAGCACCCTTCCCGTTCCTGGAGCATCCAGTGACACCGACCTTCTTGGGGTTGATGCCCGTATCAACAAGCTCGAGCGCATCAATGACACGATCGACACCCCAGGCCCATGCTGTCAAAGCACCAGCGCTGTGGCCGGAGCCGTAGAGATCGAAAAATTTACCTTGACCACGGCTGTTGCCACCCTGCTGGGCACCGATCTGGTCGTTGTTGAAGGTGATGGTAGCAACACCGGCGGGCACGGGAATACTAGCACCGCCGTAGGCGATGATAGCGGGGAAAGGACCAGATCCGCTGGGCTTCTTGATGGAGACCGAGAACGAAACCGACTTTCCTCCCTCACTGGCGGTAATGGAAAGTGAAGAAGTACCAGATGCAGTGACGGTCGCTGGCTTGGGTGGGAGTATACCGAGTTCCTGTGCCTGGACAGCGGCGTTGACTTCCTTGTTGCGGCATTCGAAGTCAGCCTTGGTCTCAACCTTCCTTCCGTCGAAGAACTTGAATGGATCTGGGAGCTTCGAGTTGGAGGTGCTTGGGAACGTGGTTGGCACGTTGCAAGCGGCCTGACGCTGTTCGACAGGGGCCGCAAGCACGGTGGTAGCGAGGAACGGAAGGACGATGGAGTACTTCATTTTGAACTGGTCTAAAACACTGGTGAGGACTTGAACCGCTGCAGTGATAAGAATGGCATGGCTAACTCTTATATAGGAGCACCGTTTGCGCCACTCAACTTTCAAGTCTGGTCACTTGCAATATCCGGCGGTAAAACATCTATATTATATGAAGTGTGAGTATGGGAACATGAGCCTCGCGACGTGACTATAATATAATTAAGTCAACACGCCTTGGCAATAGACCAAGGAACTTGCGATGAAATGGGCTTCCCATGCGCAAGACCATTGGCGCGTAGAGTTGAATTGTATGTAATCGAAGAGCTCATAGGCTCATACAATGCCGATCGACGAATTCTAGAGCTCTGAGTTGTGGGGGCGTTCACCCAAAGGGTGATAGATTCCATGGCTGTCATAGGAGAGGTTGTGATGGCAATGTTGGTTTCCCTTCCCAGCAGTCCCAGGGAATGGCAAGAGCTATCCGGGAGTTGCTTGCAGCCATCGTGATCCTTGCATCTCCTCGATTGCATCTATCAACAGCATCGAATGCGATTGATGGAAAATTGATAGAGATCGCAAAGGCTGCATGTTCTCGAAGCTGGTACCACGCGCTTCTGTTCCATTGAGCCGTTCGAGAAAATACGATTGTACTTTACTGTACTGGGCAACCAAACATCAAGTACACCCAAATTAATACTGTAGATCTGGTAAGCTGGTCGGCCAAGAGTCCAGGATTCTTCCCCAGAGTGGCATTGCGGAGGTTATCAATCACTCTGTGGGGCAACGAAGCCGGCTGTAAGGAGGCATCGATTGGCAGTGAACAGATAGTTCCACACAGCAATGCCTGTCACGAGAAATCAGAGTGCAATTAAGATTTGCGGTTATTTTCCAATTCTGCGGGGTGCAGTGGAGCCCTGTCGTTCGGTTTTGGTCGTGGATTGCCGGATTTAGCCTGTTCGCGTGGACGAAACAATAACCGGAAAGTGTCGACCATTTCGAGGGCATTGGGGATAGTCGAAATGCTTCGAGGAAAGCTTGATGGCCTTTATGGGAATCTTGGCGGCTATGACGCTCTCCAACGGTTCGACGGCTCTCGGGACATCCAGAGCAGTTATTGAAGTGTGTGTGCTGGCAAAGGAAAATTCTGAATGTCACAATCAACAGAAAACCAAGTTCTATGAAAGGTCAGTCCAGTTCTCGTATCTGTAATGGAGACCTTACAATAAGTTCATGATTCACAGGATTGATGTAGCTGTGCATAACCACTGCCCAGGAGGAGTCCAATTGTAGACATAAATGATGATCATATCCTGATGCGAGGAGGCCCCCAAAACCCTGGAGGTCGGTGAATTTTCGGATATGATAATCGTCCAGGGCAGTCGATGCATGTGCGGACGTAAACGATCTTAGCGTACGCGTCCTGCGGACCTTGTGAACGAGATTTATAGTAGACAAAACGCGAAGCGACTTCAGGGAAAAGGCTGAAACCCCACTATCCAGGGAGATTAGAACAGGGAGCTAAGATCAAGGGAATGGAAAGTGCGGGGCGGAAACCCATGTGATAATTTTACATGGGAAAGGCTGTTTCCTTACTATGCTGTCATTACGTTGGTGGCAAGTGCATGAACAGTATTGATAGTAGGAAGGAGATAGATAATACCACCTATCATCTATAACTACGATCAGGTTGTGAGCTCTAACATATTTAGATTTGGTATCGTCGGCATAGCAGAGGTCTTGGTAGAGTAAATAGGAAGGCATTCTGGCTGTGCTTTCCTTGGAGTTATGCCCTGATCAATGTTCCTGGGGGCTCTGTTTGACGAGACCTTTGGTTGGTATCGTGAACCTCCAATACGCTGGGCAGGTGAGCATAGGCACGGAACTTGGAGATGCGCAACTTACTCTTCGAAGATTTAGAAGGGTAAGTTGCTAACTGTTGTAGCTAAACCAAGACCAGATATCGCACCAATATTCTGCAGTTTGTCTTTGACCCATACTTTGCGTATTCGATCCGCCGCTGGTGATGTAAGAACAGCAGTCATGGGCCAGAGCATCCAGAATCCTCGATATGGTAGATTTGGATTCTGGTGTACAGAATGTGCACCATTGAGTGGAAGTACAATGCGGATATCTTCGTAAATTCCGTCGAGGGTTTTCGATATCAGTTCATTGTAGAGGGCAATCGTAGCTTGTGTATCATCACAGTGGTCAAGCTGGTCTAATTTGTTACGAAGAAGCGTCAACATGACCTGAAGTATGTTCAAGCTGACGCTTCTGTAAAAGCTTGCTGCAATTGCCTCAGTCACCTCGGTGGAGAGTATGAAAAGGCTATTGAAGGCCTTCCGTTCGCGGCGTTGCACAGGCTCAGTTGTGTCCCAAAAGCTAGTTCTGGCGGCTGCGTCGTCAAGATTTTGTGCAATACTGATTCCAGAATCACTGAGTTGTAGGAGTTCATGTAAGCCGGGTTGGCTACCAGACGGATTCATAATAGCGTGCAGATGAAGCCTGAAGTCGACTGCATCTCGGATTTCATGGTCGAGAATGACCCCGACAGTCCATGAACTTTCGAAACCTTCAAGTTTGGACCACATCTGGGTGCTGAGGTCCTGGAGTGTGAACATTTCCATCAGCTAAAAGAAGCACTATTAGTATTTACTTGAAAGAAATGCTATGTATAAGGGCAACAGTACCGTAACATGAGAGATGAAAGCAAAGAGGCTTTTATCAAGGTTGGTGCAAAGCCCCAGTTCGGCTCGAAAAGTTAGTAGTGCTAATGCCCCCTTGGAATGAGGATGACAAGTATCATTTGAATCTATGACCTTGGTAGCGAACTGTGTAGTTACAATAGTCTGTCCGGGTGAGTATGCCGTATCGTAAGGGATATTTAGAGCCAGTGCTACAACTCACTTCAAACATGCCAGCGAGAAATAGCCCTACAAGTAGAGAACTATCCTTTGACAATTCTGAATCTTGAAAAGCGGCATTAGCGCCTGCAATGGCTTTGCCATAATATCTTCTAGCTTCCACCATTAAACGTGGCTGGCAAAACTGCCTCGATGAACTTGCTAACGCGACTGCTCTGATAGCATCCTGACAGAAGCCTGTAGAACCACCTGTGTCGAGCATAGGAAAGACTTCAAACATAGCGAAGCCAGAGTGATAGGAATAGTCCAGATAAAATTTGGTAAGGCTGTAGACATCGGCACCAACGTGCACATCTTGTAGCAGTCTTGGGGTTGGATTGCTCTCGTCTTCCTCGGCCTGTTCCCTAGTTCTTTGTTTTATTCTATCCCGGACTTGCCTCTCGGCATAGGAATTCTGTTGGCGATGTGTCATTGCCCAAGCATCAGGGTATCCGGGGCATATACGGTTCCCCCGCGCACAGCGACGACACGAAGGCTTTTGGGCGTCGCACTGGTGCAAATTTATGAAATGTCCATTGATTTGTTTAGGCATCGACGTACCTTCATACGCCTCTCTTTGCAGGCAAAACAGCCCTGCGACGGCTTTCCCGTATTCACCATGACAAGATAGGGATCAACTGGGCAAGGCTACTTTGCTTCGCTGCAGTTCGGCAAGTTCAGCACATTTTGCGCGCTATAGGTCGGTACTTAGTGTAAGGAAGTCGAGGAGGGTTAGACAACCAAACCCCACGCCTCGTATGTTGTGTTGTTAGCGGCGGCGGAACACCCGGCATCCATGAGTATCAAAACAAAGCTCCGAACGTATTAAGAGATGGCGCTGTTTTAGTTGAAAAAGTACCAGACTAATTACATTGTTTGATTGTCAACCAGCCAGTACACGTTTTATTCATCACCCATGGTTTGCAGGTCTCAATAAGAACACTATTTTGCCTTCACACTAATCAAGCTATGAATTTGCTCGTGTACCATTTTAGGACCACTGTGATTTGTTCTTGTATACGGTCTTAAAGTACAATTTTACCTTCTTTGTAGCTTCAAATTCGAAGTAATTTGGACTAATGCCAACCATACTGGAAACATGGTGAGCTATGTAAATTTCTATCCGCTCCTAGTGTTAATTGACAACTTATATTCATTCCTCATTCGAATGAACTCCTTGAAATGGTTTAAACTCATCTTAATAATTCCTTTCGCTGAATCTAGATCGTCAAAACGAAATGCTGTGTTTTCGCGTAGCGTAGAGTCAGACAAGCTTGAAGAGTACAGCCAATCACAGACGCCATTCGCATGGATCGCTGGAAGAGGGTTAGCGTATTGTTGCTTCGACCACTGTGAATTGAAAGTATAAGAACATGATACTTCTCGCAAAATATTGATTCAAAAGTAAGATTTCATTGGCACTGTCTCTTTCAACTTAAGAGCGAAATTGTCTGACTTATACCATCTTTATAAACCATCTCAACCTCCGATTACCCAATTTCAACATGCCTTCTGGTCAGTGTATGTGTGGTGCAATCAAGTTGCAGGTCTCTGGCGACCCAGTCGCTGTAGTATGTATCTCCCTTCTTGTTTTTATACCTGCCTTGCGCAGACTAACAACAACCATAGGGCCTCTGCCACTGTCTTGACTGCCGCAAAACCTCTGGCAGCACGCATGCCACCAATTGGTTCGTCCCCGAAGCCATGTTCTCAGTCGAAGGAAACCCCAAGACCTTCGAAACAACTGCGAACAGTGGCAGTATTGTCACGAGCTACTTTTGCGAAACCTGTGGAGTCACAATGTATCGCGCTGGAACTGGCATGCCAGGGATGATGTTTGTCAAGGCGGGCGTTCTGGACGACCCTGAGCTCATCAATTCGTTTGTGCCGCAAGGCGAAATCTTTGTTTCTCGGCGTGCGGAGTGGTTGTCGCCTATTTCTGGGGCATCGCAGAAGGAGGAGATGATTTGAGGGGCGGATGGTTAAGACATGCAGTAGGAACTGAATGTTAGAGACTTGTTGTAAACCTGTGGAGCAATTCGGATAGCTTCCCAGACATTGTCTCCTGCATATTACTTCGTGTATGACAATTGATTCGGTCCACGGATTTCACTCTAATCAATGAGTCTGTAAAGATGCAAACTAGCAGAAAGAAACGAGGAACGCAATGAGGGTATCGTTGGTGCATAAAAATTCTAGATTTACACATGCGCAGCATATGAGCGTTTGCTCTAAGTATACAATTTTAGGCCCAAACGAGGCTTGTTCAAGTAATGGCCGTGGTCGTCGATAATGCGGTCATGATTCGACCGATTGATGAGGGGGAAAGAAATCAATGTGTCGGAATAAAGAGAATGCATAATTGCATAGATCTTCTCCTGCATAAACAAGCAACAGAAGAGTAGCATTGTCGCCAGTTAAACCACGATACGCCGATCGCGGATGAAGGATCATTTGCTTCCAGGCACCGTTGGAGGTAACGATTCGGCATTCGCGAGAGAGAATTCGCAACGTGTGGTATCTCCATCTGTCGGGCATTCTGGGCCTTCGGCATAACTTCCCCTAATCCTATTGCCCCATCATATTAGTTGATATTGCGGAAAGAAGGGAATGCGCAGCCTGTAACTTACAATCTTCCGTCTGCCATCGTGTAGTTGTACAAGAGATTAGATTTGAGGTCTGGCCAATCCCAAACAAACGACCCTCCGTTGTCGCACGGAACCTCTCCACCTGATATCGATCCCTTTTCTTCCGTTTTAGAGCAGATGGTTTCTCTATCTGCGTTGGAAATAGTCCACTCTTGAGCTGATGGGACGTTTATGTCGTCCTTGTTAAACGAGAGCTTTCCATTCACAAAAACGATTCTATCTTTCGCTACCTGATTCTGATCAGGGGGATTCTGAGCTGATGCAAGATAAGGTACAGCAATAAGCATGTACAGAGACAAAGATGAGAGAGAAAGCATTGTAACGAGATATATGGTGTTGAAGCGCAAGTAGGATGTAATGAAAGGACAACAAAAGTGAGAGGTGTAGTACTATAAAATTTATGTTGAGATCACCCTATTATATACTAATGACTCTTTTTGAAGGGATATATGTTACACTAATTATAGATTTTCTTCAACGACTTCACGAGTGCGTGGATCAAAACCGAGACAGGCATCCCCCAGGGATCCACACTATCACCCATCCTCTTCCTCTTCTTCATCGCCGACCTCCTGGGAGAGTTTAAAGACGTCAAGGACGA